GGGGGGGGGGGGGGGCTAAACAACCTCCTTGCATAGAAGAAAACTGTCTCTATCGCATTGCGCAACCACGTACAGCAGCGAAAACAGGTTTTGATATCATATCATTTGACGAGGTCTTTTTGTTTCTTGCTACTCTGGTCCAAATGCTTCCCTCTCACACATGATACACATAGTATGCACAAGAATGAGGAGTAAACAAAAACTTGGCGATGGAAGCAACCACATTGAGAGAAGAGAAGAAAATGAAACGTATCGTATGCAACCTTCTCACCGTTTTAACTTGTCATGCAGCCACAAGATTCTTGGCCGACTGTTATTGTTAGAAATTGGCTGCTGAGAGGCTGAGTTTCTGAGACAACCCCCAGTTCAATCTTATTGCTATTATTGCTTTTTGCGCATCATCGACCAGACGTTCATGTGCAGTAATATAATTTCAACTCGTTCATTTCCTTTGCGGTATAAAATGCGAATGTTTTCTTTTCTCTATCTAATTATCCTCAAACTCAAAAATCGCTCAGCAATACAGTTTCAAGTCTACATCGCCGCTCAGCGTAACATTGTGAAGCTTAGCCTGCCCATCATCCTTACTACTTGTGCCTCTTGCGTGCTCTACGGTCTACTCTGTACCCTACCGAGGGACCTTTTGATAGTGGAGCGCAACTCAATTGTGCGTGGTAGCAACTAACATACACAAACGAGCTTGTAGCCTTGTGTTATGCATTCTGAAACGCATGAACATAATGCAGTTGGGATGAAGAGTCCAAGCTTTACCCCATGAATCACGGCTTTCTACAAAGCCGTTCTCTGAGCAGTGTCAATCAAGCTAAAGATAACTTCTATCTGCCATTTATGCTCTGCACAAAGTGTCCTTCGGGTTCCTGCAGATGCAATTTCCCAACCCTTGTAGGATCCCTTGCCCGTTCTTGGAGCGCGTTTCGCTCGCTTTGTCATGCCACGATGCTACCTTGCTGTCCCGTGTGCTAGTGAGCTATTAGCTGCCACTACCGAGCAAGCGAAGTGAGCTGAGAGTTGGGTCGTCGATCTTAAAGTAGAGCTGGGTAGTTTAGGGTATGCAAATTTGGTGGCCGAGAGCATACTACGTAGGAGACGAAATGATTTGGGCATTTGATCTAAGTCTAGTCTTAGTATTGGACCCTTTGTTAATTTTGATCAAAAGCTTAGGATGATAACTTCTCTGTCGTCCGCAGACAGGAATGTGAGAAGGCATCGCTGAGACAGTAGAACGCATCAACGAGGGCCAGGTGCTCCGAGAAGCTACATACATGGTAAAAGTAAGTGTCTGATCCGACGTGGCAGGAACGTTGAACAGACCAGAGTGTAATATAACTGTGAGCTTTGCAGCTTGCTCACTACCGGGCTATCTACCTCAAGTAAACGCTGAAGTAGGTAACAGAGAAGTTATCATCCAAGTTTTAGGACACCAAAATATAATAGTCTAAAATATAGTCTCATCTGGGATAAGGTAACCAAGTCCTTTCGTCTCTTATGCTCTTGGGTACAATTCTTCTGACAGCCTGACGACTCCCTTGCATAGTGTCTATTTACAAACATTCAGCGTAAAGCCGCCACAGTTCAGGATCTATCGGTATCTCCTCCGTCATGTCCACCTCCAGGACTGGTGCATCATACAGCAAACCCAGGTTAAGATCTGAATCTTGACTCTCCTCTTGACTCTCCTCTTGACTCTCCTCTTGACTCTCTTCTGGAGCCTCCTCTGGACGCTTCTCAGGACTGTTCTCTAGACTCTCCCCTGGAGTATCCTCCATGCTTACGTCTTGAGACTCTTTTTGAGATAATTCTTGAACCTCTTCTCGAATCTCTTCTCGAGTATCTGCTGGAATCGCTTCTGAAGTATTCTCTGGGGCTTCCTCTAGAGTATCTTCTGGAGTCGTGTCTGGAGTCTCTGGACTTCCTTCTGAACTCTTCTCGGGGCTCTCCTCTAGACTCTCTCCAAGGGTCTCCTCTGAAATCTCTTCTTGAGCCTCTTCTGGAGTATCTTTCATGGTTTCATCTTCCACGGATTTCTCTCTGATCCCCAACATTGATGCGATATGTTCCGCCATGCAAGACCGGTCAATGAACTCTTGGGAATGTGCCCTGCTGATTGTTAGCAAGCAATACATAAATAGGTGGGTAGGGTAACAGAAGAATTGTCGTCCAAGGCTTAGAGAGGCAGAATCAAGTAGCCTAAGTGCTAGTCTAGGCTAGCATAAGGTGACTCAATTATTTCGTCCCTTATGCCTAGGCGGCCAATTCTTCTGACACCAACGATAAGTAGGGTTGACTTACAAAGGTAAATTCCCGCTCTTCCATTGATATTCGTCTCTAGGGCGTGGCATAATCTCAACAAGCGCGTTGTCGACCGTATAACGGCCTTCACCTGCGAGTCTCGCAAGTCCGGCGCCCTTATCAGCGAGCATGTTACCAAGTGTTGTGCTTCGAGGCACCCAGTGGAACTCGGTATGCACACCTGCTTCTTCGAGCTTTTTGATCTTGAGACTCACGTCCCGCACTATTTTCCCACTCACTATTGACTTCCTCAGTAGTTTGGACATTTTGGGATTTAACAAGTCTCCCTTCGCTTCTCGTAGAAGCATCAGGGCACCCTGAGAGTCCGTGTATACTTCGAGGATCTGCAGTGGGGTTTTGTCCCCTGTCTTTCTTTCAACAAATTGTACTGCGTAGTCAAGGGCAAGACCGATAGCCTGGAGCTCTGTGATGTTGACGTGGGGCTTTCTCTTTTTCGTTACTGTTTGTCCTCTTGCTGTGATACGCACCCAGTTGAGGCCTTCCCAAAATGCAACTGCCCATCCTGCTACGCTGTCTTTTCGGACTGACGCATCAGTCCAAAGCACCAGTTGTGACGCACTTGTGGGCTTGGACGATGCACAAGCGGCACGTCTGATAGCTTCATCCCGATGGTTGATGACGATTTCTGATTGAATACATAGCCTCGTCGTGAGATCTGCTGGGACATCGGCCCATTCGACCCATCCCGAATGCTTGGTCGCTTTATCTCGATGGTTGATGGTGGTTTCTGAATTATCTGGGACTTCGTTCCACTCAGCAGCATGCGCAGTCGCTCTATCTCTATGGTTGATGACAGCTCCCGGCGGCCAAATGGGTATTCTCCTTGGAACATCCTGGACTTCGTTCCACGCTGCAAAGGCAGCCTCGAAGGCTCTCTGGAGTCTACTAAAATAGCCTGGGTCTGCATAGAGGTCCGTCCTGGGTTCCGGAAAGTTGGGTACGACGCGCATGGTATCGGGAAAATCGAGGGTTGAGAGTGAAGATGTAAGTTGTTATCTCGACGGCTGATGGAAGGAATTGTCCCTCCTTCACAGGGATATATTTTGTGTATAAATCATCTATTAACTTTCCTTCTTGTGAAGGTTATCTGATTTGAGTTGCGTTGACGCGATATCGCTGAGTGTGTTATTGAACTCTCGCAACGGCACTTACAGATGAAGTATCCCCTAAGCCTTAGAGCACGAAAACAAGATAGACTCAAATGCTAGTCTAAGTGAAATGAGACGTCTGAAATACTTCGTCTCTTAGGTTCTCTGTTTCTGGTAGCTTTAACTGAGTGCTTTATCCTCGTAGCAGCGTGCGTGGCCTTGGTGTAAACTACACGTGTCTGTTTAAAAGTTTAATGGAATGACTCACTATACCTACCCTCTTATAGAGAACTAGACTCTTATAGAATCTTGTTTAATGCATTTCCATGCCAGACCAGTCAGTTAGAGATGGGTGACCGTACAAATCCATCACAGTGTTGTGCTCTCTAGGTCCACAGGAGCATAAGAGATGAAATAATTTGGTTGCTTTATTCCAAGTTAGACTATAATTTAGACTACTTCTAGGTCAGTAGGTATATACTTAAGTATTTACGACGTATAGATGATCTGCTATTAGGTAGGTATTGTTCCTAGCAATAAACGCTGTCTGAATTAATCGCAACTTCCAGATTGGTAATAACCTCGTTGAGCCGAGGTACGGATATTTTGTGTCCGGGGTAGTCTATATCCGGCTCCAATTCGTCTCCATGTTTCGTCAACACTATTCAACCTCACCAAATCAACAAAATGGCAGCTCAAGGAACGACCAAACTTTTCACACCAGCCAAAGTTGGCAATGTCGAGCTTAAGCACCGAGTGGTGCTGGCTCCTCTGACACGTCGACGTGCAGACGAGGCAACCGCAGTCCCGCCTGACTATGCTGCCGAATACTATGCTCAACGCTCCTCAGATGGCGGACTTCTTGTCTCTGAGGGTACTTTTATCGCTCATGAAGCTGGCGGTATGTCTCGTGTACCAGGGATTTATTCGCCTGAGCAGATTGCGTCATGGAAGGCCATTACCGATGCCGTTCACGCCAAAGGAGGCTATATCTTCTGTCAACTCTGGGCCCTAGGGTAATCTTCACTGTCATCTTCCCAATTTACTAGGAGATAATTTAGTACTGACCATGATCTCAGTCGAGTCGCGAACCCCAAGATTGTGCCCAATGTCTGGAGTGCCGGCTCAAAGCCCTTCAATGTTAAGGGCACTGGGTCTTCGGAGCCTCCTCCCAAGTTTACCACTATGACTGAAGCCGATATTGACCGATTTGTGGGACACTATCGACAGGCTGCGCTGAATGCCATCGAAGCTGGATTCGATGGTGTTGAACTTCATGGCGCCAATGGATATGTAAGTTTCGGTATAGTGTATATGAATACTGCAGTTGACTGACATTGCAAATAGCTTATTGATCAATTCGTGAGTACATGAAGCGTCAGTTGAAGACTAATCGCTAAGACATGATAGCTTCAAACCAACAGCAACGACCGAACAGACTCTTACGGAGGCAGTCTCGAAAACCGATTCCGCTTCCCCTTGAGAGTCCTCAACGCTGTCTGCGATGCTATAGGCCCTGAGCGCGTCGGCATTCGAATGTCGCCCTTCTCTCGCTTCCAAGGCATGCGTGAGGCTGATCCCCTTTCCGTTTTTGTACCTTGGGCAAAGGCTATTGTCAAGGCTCAGCCATCTCTGGCGTTTATCCACGCTGTCGAGCCACGAATTGAAGGAGGAAGTGACTCGCCCGACAATGTCCCAAAGGCAAATGATACTCTTGAACCCATCCGAGAGGTTGTCAACAGCACGGGAGTCAAGTTCATCGTCGCAGGAGGATTTACTCCCGAAACTGCTATCAAGCACGCAAGCCAGACAGACGATCTGGTAGGCTTTGGACGTTACTTTATTCGTAAGTCGCTTTGTGGGAAGGTTGTTGTGGACAGGCACTGAACTTTATTACTAGCCAACCCGGATTTACCGGCGCGAATTCAGAATGGTTGGCCGTTGACCAAGTATGATCGCTCGCTCTTTTATACACCCGATACAAAGGGATATACGGATTATCCGCCTTACAGCCCTACAGCATCTAGACTCTGATGGACCAATACGCGATGATTTAACTGAGCCTGATGGAAAGCGTTTTGTATGACGAATATGAACGAGTACTTTAGCATCAGGATACCTTAGACTTTAGATCCTCAAGAATATAGATACAGTATTTGTGATTATGATGAATCATGACTTCCACAACTACAGGACATGCTAAATAGGCTTCTCTGTCTAAGAGCTCGCCTCACATAGCATTAGGCTATTGCATAGTTAGCTTTCTCGCGATAAGCATAACCACGCGCTCCGTCGGACAAGTAAATGAGATAAATCTCCAGGCCGAAATGTGTCTAGAACAAAGCCTAGATTGAAATATTGATTCAGTTGAAGAGATCGGACAATTTCTAATGACCCCCTTCGCTATCAAGGCCAGCCCGTTCACCCTAAAGTCTCTAGCTCACCAATCATGTTGGTCTTCGCTCCTTTCGCGCTCAAGGGAACCTCCGACATGCCGACTTTCGACATTGCCTAAAGAGGAAACGAGCCAAGGGCGATCTCCCGGCGGTTTCGCGACGCCGATGACCGATACCGATTATTGATGCTAAAGGTCTGGTCTGGATGCAGACAGAAGATGGATGTTTCACTTATTGGTCAAGGAACATGGCATGCATTCGAGTATGTATGTAGCTTAGATACCTATATAGGATTACTGATATCCTGATCATCATGCCACTTCTTGTTCATCATCGAGACGGGTTCTAGTTCTCAACTTGTACACTACTACTGAATGTGTATCTGATCATACAAGAGACTCAAAATGTCGTCACAAAATCCAAACAACATGCCTCAAGGCCCTCCGTATCTTCCTCGCACAGCTGGACTCGGCGGTCGTCCAACACCCTCAGTCGATGATCCTATCAGCGGTGTCATGTTGGGTTTCTTCGTTACAGGCGCAGTCCTCAACATGACTATCTTCCAACTCAACCGTCGACGCTCCCACAAGTTCGTTCTATCTGGTCTCCTCTTCGGTTTCTGCATGGCCCGAATCACTGCAAATGTCCTTCGTATCGCATGGGCTTCCAACCCCAACAACACGAGCCTCGCCATCGCTGCCAATGTCTTTACAAACGCTGGTGTTGTCCTTCTATTCGTCGTCAACCTCATCTTTGCCCAGCGCATTCTGAGGGCATATCATCCGCATATTGGTTGGGGCAAGCCTGCTTCGTTGGCTTTCAAGTTCTTGTACTTTTCTATCGCTGCGAGTCTTATCATGCTCATTACTGCTGTGGTCTACAACTTCTACACCCTCAACCCACACACCAAGCAGCAACTTCGCGACATTCAACTCACCGGCAGCACGTTTCTCGCCATCCTCGCATTTCTGCCTCTCCCTATTGTGGGACTCTGTTTTGTCCTTCCTCGAAAGACAGCCATGGACAAGTTTGGTCAGGGTCGCATGCGTACCAAGATCCAACTCCTTGTCTTCACCACCATTCTCCTGACCCTGGGCGCCTCCTTCCGAACCGGAGTATCTTTCAAAGTCCGTCCGGCCAACGATCCAGCCTGGTATCACAGTAAAGCGTGCTACTATTGCTTCAACTATGTCATCGAGATCATCGTCGTCTTCTCATATGCCCTCTCACGATTCGACCGTCGCTTTCACATCCCTGACGGCAGTCACGCGCCTGGCGATTATTCTGGAAAGAAAGCCCCTCAAGATCCCATGTATCGTGTCAATACCGAAGAGGAAGTCTTTGGCGATGACGAGCGGCCACAAACAGCAGAGCAGAACCAGCAAAGGGAACGGCAATGGGCGGCGGGCCTCAAGGAGGAACTTGATGAAGAGACTGTATGAAGTTGATTCTTATTAAGACAATGTTACACGAATGTCTTATTTGTAACACCAAACAAGATTGCGGAGGTACATGTGGTCATGAAATCTTGTACTACTACTGTTTTGTAGCATCCCTGGGTTGCGTGAGAAAACAAGCTGCATATTTAGATTAATGAGCTAACGCCACTCGTATGATTAATTAGAGCCTCAGATGGTTCAATGTAATAAAGATAATATATCCGTGCAGAATCAATCGTTACTTGGCTGTTATAGCCCATGATGCTTTTGCGTTCGTCTATGTCCTTACTATTATCCGTTCTTGAACCAGTTCTCAAATACTCATATAGACATCACAACACGAAGAGCAGGACTGAAAAAATGATCATGCATGCGTGTTTCTTTCTCTTACAGCGCGGAACTCAAATATGCGTATCTAAGCAGTCCTGAGACGGAGCGCCGCAACGTAGTCTGCCAAACCCTTCCCAGCAAAGGTATAGCCGCACCAATGCTATCGTGCCTTCGCCGCAATGTTCGGGAATTTGCCATGAGCAAAGATGCTATATCCGTACAATTCCTGCGCCAGAGCTTTTTTGTTCGTTTGGGAGGTTCGTCGTATGGAATCGTACAAGGCCGAGCTGCAACATCTTTGAGGCTGGCGCAGTTGCCCCAAATCTTGCAGTTCGACATTGGCTGGTTCGAGATTGGCCAGACGTGGGTATACGTGACGAGATTAGAGGAAGTAATCGGGAGTCCCTGTGATGATTGTCAGCTAGATCGGATAGGCTTCCGCGATTGATAAAGACTTACGCCTTGAGACCATAGGCTCGCCGGCTCTAGGGCAAGGGTCAAATTGCAGGCTGCACTTGGTTAGTTCATCGAACTGCGTTGAGGTATAGAATCGAACATACAAGGTGTACTTCAAGTGCTCGTCGATTTCCATAATAGCGGCTTGATTACCGCATCGGTAACAGTAGTTGGGTGCTGCATCGTGTTAATCTTGCGAAAGCCGTTGCGCATCTGAAAGTTCTGGACAAACCTGAGAAAATGGTAACCACATTACGGTCTTGAGACCAGTTATAACCCTCCATAACCAGCTGATGAGCTCGCGCAATCAAGGTCAAGCCGTTGTTATGGTTAAAGGCTTCTGAGATATCCTGACCGAATGTGTACCCCGCACCTCGAGGAGAGATTCCCCAGCCGCATCGGTCGTCGGGGTCTGACCAGAGAAGATCACACATGGGACCCTCGTGTGGGACTTCCTGGATACGGTCCAGAGCTCGGATGTTATCGAGTGTGTCGATGCTAGGTGAGAGACCGCCGTGAAGACAGAAGATCTGGTTGTCGATCAAGGCAGTGAGGGGAAGGTAGTCAAAGAGGTCGGTGAAGTACTTCCAGACATTAGCGTTTCCGTATTTGCGAAGACACTCGTCGTAGAAACCGTAGACCTGGGTGATCTGACGGGACTCGTGGTTTCCTCTAAGAATGGTGATTCGCTGAGGGTATCGGATCTTGAGGGCGACGAGAAGGGTGACGGTCTCGACAGAGTAGTAACCTCGATCAACATAGTCACCTGTTCGTAGTAAGTATCGGCTGCGTAAAGTTGTAGGATGGTTGAAGCGTACCCATGAATAGGTAGTTGGTGTCGGGGTTAGGTCCACCGATCTTGAAGAGCTCCATCAAATCATGGAACTGGCCGTGGATATCACCACAGACGGTAACGGGGCATTTCTGGCGACGGGATTAGCTTGAGCATCTTGGCCAAGCGGCGCATTTCGACAACATACCACTGGCTGCACGTTTGACTCTTCCTGTAGAACTTCTCGGGCCTGTATTGCAGGTCAGCATTCGGTCGCCATCACGCGAGAAGCGTTAAAGCTTGTTGAGTGATGCACGGGTCGCCGTTGTTCGCGACTAAACGGTCGTGTGCATCACATGCAAAACATCTCCATCGCGTCCAGCTGAATTGACATCCTGCTCACCTTATCGCACAGTCTCTGAACGTCAGCTTCGGCCAACTGCTTGCAGGACATCAAGCTCTCAATCCAACCGTCGAGAGTGGGGATAGTAGTGGGCTCGAAGTTAAGCACGGGCGAAGCTTCAGCAGGCGCTCGCCCAACATCCTCCATATTGGTGTCCATTGCTCAGTGGTATAGAAGTCGAGTATCGAGATGTGTTGATTGTGGGAGTGAGGTTGAAATGACGTTGACGTTGGATGCGGTCACGCCTGAATCGCGAGCGGTGGGGCACGAGGCACAAAGGCGGCGGTCGTCAGGGGAGGAGGAGAAAAGGGAAACAAGGGAGATGAGATAATCAATCAGCTACCGACACCAGCAGTAGCAGCTTCTGTCGCTATAAAATCGATCTATCGCAGACGGGAGAGGAAGGCGTAAACAGAAGCCCAGGACGGGAGAGGGCGGGCGAGGCTCGTTGGTGAAGAATTTTTGGTGGGCGTTTGTTAGGTGATAAGTTAGATGGTGATGGGGAGCGAAAGGAGGAGGGAGGGATGGATGATGTTGGTGGTTGCCAGCCTGGGTTTGGGCCAGCCTAGCCAGCCTAGCACTGGACGCCTGGGCCTGGCCTGGGCCGCTACCTTCCATTAGCTGCACCACCAGCTCAGCAGTCCCTCACAGCTGGAATTGGAGCATCGCGTGGCGTATTATAGCTAGCAGATACCTCTGTTTATGGCCAAAGCTCTATTGGATTTAAAATAAAATTCTACTGATAGATTTATGCCCGGCTATGCCTTTTGAACGTACAAAATCAACATCGTACAGTTTGTACTCGATCAATATTACTGCATCGACCTAACGCTTGTCCATTTCGTCATTATTCATGGCCCCTCGGTTGCATCAGAGCTTACCTCAAGCGGATGTGGCTTAAAGGCCAACATAACATTGTAACATTAAACAGCCATGTTTCATTATATCAGCTTCTCAATACTAATCATATCATGCATAATTACTACAATGGCTCTCCAATTCCAGCCTGGGTATTGCCATACGAATGATCCCTCATTCATCGATGCTGACAAGATAACCAAAATGTTGCCAATCATCATCGCCAACTCATAACCTCAACACCTTGTGATCGGGTTATTTACGATAATCCCAATCCCACAGAAGCTTCCTGTTCAACTGGTTCATAGACCATCAGGTTCTTTCCGACCAAGTTTTCAAAGTCCAATCCGACTTCGGATAGCAACTTTGAGTGCTCCTTTGCCCTCTCCAAACACTGCGTCCAGACCTGGCCTCTGGGCTCCGTACTACTAAGCTGGCGTGCCAGAATGACATTAAATGCATCGACCTCTTCCTTTGCCCACTTGACGCATACACTCATCATGGGTGGTGGGAAGCACGACTGAAAGCATTGCACGGTGTTATGGATGACCATAAAATACACAAATGAGAGCTCCCAGATGTACAAATGCAGATCTCCCTGGAAAATGCATTGCCTATAACAAGTCAGTAATTGTTCCTTGAAAAGTACTCCAATTCTACTCACCTAGCTCGTTTGTGAATTGTGCTGCTCCTCGCCGCTAGATACGACTCTCGGGCGCTATCCTCAAAGCCAAGCCTCGTCAACCAACTGACGTTGCGTCTTGTCTTTGTGTTATTGTCGTGTGTCATTTCGAGTTCACGGACAATCATGTTGGCCAATTTGACACATCGTTCGTTGACTTTAAAGTTGATGAAGTCTTGAGCGATCGCATGGTTCTTCAACCCGCGAGCAATTGCTTTGAGCTTCTCAACACGGACAACAGCATCTTCGAATCTCTGCATTGCAACGTCGATATCGAGATCGTCCATCTCGCTTTCAACCCAACGCAGGTTTTGTTGCTTGCCATCCACCTCAATGAGCATATCCTTGATGTCTGATAGCGTCGCAAGAAGCTCTGTCTTTTGCAGGAGACCTGGATCTCGAGAGGCAAAGTAATTGATGGTCTCACGAGCTTTGTTGTTAGCCTCCATCTCCGATCGAAGGCCCTTGCGCAGCTGTTCTATAGCCTTGCGCACATTAAGGAGCAGTTGTTTCTTTTCGGGGTCTTGGGGTTTCTCCGTCCGATAGATAAAAGATTCCTGACCAACACCTCGCACCATAATAGCGTCCGCAAGCTTATTGCGTCCGCTACTTGATGATTCTCCAGTGCTCGACATGTCCACCACTTCCACATCCAACAGGGGCCAGCAGCGATCCGCCACCAACTTCATCATCGGCCCTCGTGCGTCTGAACTGGGCGCATCTGTCTTTCGCTTCTTACGCGATGCGATAAGAAGGTGATCGTTAAGCAGAAAGATCTGCATTGCTCTGCGTGACTTGTATGTGGCATTGTCGAGCTCAATCCAAGGGCCGGCGTCTTGGACAACATGTCGTCCTGCCGCATTAGGGAGGAACTTTTGCGATCCCTCGACGCCCTTATACAGGGCCTGCATCTGAGAGTTCCACATTGCGCTTCTGTCGGCAATAGACGTGCGCCTATCTCTTCTGCTACTGATGCCAGGGGCAGCCCCAAAATCGCTCGGCGCAGGCTCTTCACTTTTTGCTGCAGCAGCTCTCATAGCCGTCGTGTTTACCTTGAGCTCCGACATGAAATTCTTTAGGTTTCTCATCTCGCTCTTGAGTTTCTCGGCCTCCTTGCTAATTTTGATAAACTGTGTTCTGTTTTGCATGACACTTTGTTGCAAATCCATGCCTACACGTGTCTTGACCTTGCGCAATGAATCCTCGAACTCGCGGATTTGGTCCTCAGTTGCATCGCTCAAAGCCGCTTGGACATATCGATCCGGCTTCAGCTTAGGATCGCGCAGGCCTTTGATGTCGACAACTGGAGCAACGCCAGGTCCCGAGCGTGATGGGGGCGGCCTGGAAGCGGCAGCGCTCTCTCTGGACTCGTAGTTACCCAGTGAGGGCATCTGTGGCATCGGGGGTGCTGCGCCATTGGGACCAGATGATGGCTGATTGAATCGTGTGGAGTATCGTCGCTTAACAAGGTCCGAAGTCTATTGAGCAGTGTGAGTATGGCGAAACGGGAGATGGGTTCTTGGATCATCTTACCTTTCCACCAGCCATCGGAGGGGGACGCGGACGAGGTCGAGCTGGAGCTTGTTGACTAGGATCTGCATCTGGGAGAGGTGGTGTATTCGATGCATCTTGAGGAATCGGACTTGAGATCTGTCGAGGCGCGCTGATAGTTGGCCTCTTCTTTCTCCTGCCGCTGCGAAGCGATATCTTGTTGCGATCCTCCATGTTGGGCGAGTATTGAAGCTTGGTAACAACGCTGGACAAACAGGGCGACGGAAGAGAGGTGGAATTGGTAATAGAGATATGTCGTTGAGCCGACAATTAGGAAATTTATACGATAAGGTGCAACGATGTCTCGAAACAAAACAAAATGCTGGTCTGGCCTTGAGCGCCAGCCGAGCTCTATCATAAGGTACGTGTAATGGTCGAGGCTCGGAGCTTCAGTGAAGCAGCCACTGGAATGGGGTGCATCAGGAGGTGGGGGTACGTACCCAGCCTCTTAGCCGCATTGGTGGGCTTTAGTAGTTGGAGATGTTTGTTAGTGGACTGTTGACAGAGTTTGTAACGGATTGTAATTCAACATATCATGATAATATGTACAAGAAAGAGCTGGAGATCCTCTTTCAAGTATCAAGCGAAATAGCTCTTAGTATGGTTGCCCTTCCATTGACTCTTGTCCCTTCCGGGTCGGCTTTCATGTGCCCAGAGGTTATCGTTATCGGACTATCAACGCCTCGAGTCCAGAGTGATAAGATCTGATACGTCAGTACCAATATCAGAGCACAATTCCAAAGATTCACTACTAATTCAACTATGAAACATCACAAAAATTCCTCTATTATTGTAAGAGTGAGTGTATGGGACTTCTCATAGCATAATTGATTCCTATGAACTTTTAGCTATTTATATCCATGCCTGCCTGCCTATGATGTATGAGGATTTATGGCAGCCCACTTGCCAGGAAAGCTCCCACTCTCCCAATCGGGTTTAGGTTCACATCATGTGCTCCATTGCTAAAAAATTAGGAAAGCAAGCGACGTCTGAAAGCTTGCTGCTCGCTCCCGACGCTCGAGAAAAGCGAACTCATCTAATTGACGACGTAATATCCTCCGTCACCCGATCTCCGACGTCGCCAGACAACACCTCGAACCCCGAGTTTGCCCATTGTCGTAGTGCAGTGGGAGTGTCTTTGGTCTTTAGTTTACTGAGTGCGCTCCAATTCATCCACCACCTCCGCACTCGCACCCGCATCACCATCCCGCCTCAAAAATGGTTCAGACTTCAGCTTTGGTGACGGCATCCGTCGCTACCGCCGCCGCCGCCATCCTCGGTATGACTGCGCATTCATCTCGTCCTATGACTACGAAATAGCGACTTGCACTATACAACGATGCACATTGGCTAATCACGGATATCCTTCGAATAGGTTATGCTGCCTACTTCGACTACCAACGTCGAAACCAGGCCGAGTTCCGCCGAAACTTGAGGAGGAACGAGCGCAAGCAGGCCCGCGTAGCAAAGGAGGAGGCCGAAGCTTCTACTCAGCAACAACGCCACAGCATCCGCTCCAAGGTCGAGGAGGCAAAGGAGGAGGGTTTCCCCGCCGGTGTTGAGGAGCGGGAAGCTTTCTTCAATGAGCAGGTTATGGCTGGAGAGATGCTCAGCCAAGATCGTACGGATACCTTGTATTCAGAAACTGTTTGCAATTTGCTAATTGTTGTTTTACAGCTACCAAGACTCTTGAGTCTGCTTTGGCCTTCTACAAGGGTCTTAAGGTCTACCCTGCTCCTGGCGACCTGATCCGAATTTACGACAGCACTGTTCCCAAGGCAAGACCAATCTCAAAGTCCGATCTATTGAGAAGCAACTGCTAACACCTATACAGCCTATATTAGACATCCTCGCTGAGATGATCGCATACGACTCATCTCTCGACATCAGATCCGGTCCCGCCCCCGGTGGTATCAATCTTTCCGACATTCCCAATGTTGGTCTCGACTAAAGAGGGATAAGACCTATCCGAATTTCCTCTCCGCTCTTGGCACATATATACCCAGACGTTGGAAATGATTGAATTAATACCCTCCCTCAAAATCTGTACCATGGAAAGCTTGCACATTGTCAAAGCTTTCCGAACAAGAAATGTCTAATGGAGACCTGACGGCCTTCAATGTACCATAGTTTCGCTCTTCCCACTTCCATAGAGCTTTGTGTAAACAGATGTACGTTGAAATGAATGAGTTTAGAAACAAAGAATGCTGGCAACGTTTCGGCAAACATCATGAAGTTATTATTCTTTTTAATATCGAGCACCATGCTGTGTTGATGTCATGTATATGCCCTGTACCCTAGAAAGGAAATCTCTAAAGATTGGCTGCATTTGATCTTCTGAGGAAACGTTCGAATTTCGAATTCGTACTTAAATCATTTATTTTATATAGGGAGACTCATGATGCTTCAATCTTTCGTCCCTTTCTATCTACTCGGTCATCGCGAGGATCAAATCCTCCGTTACCCCACAGAGCCCATTCGGGAGTTGGTGCCCCCATGTACTCTTCTGGGGTAAAGTTTCCAGGTCCACGCTCCTCGAGAAGCTCGAAGAACTTCTTATAATCGATCAAAGTATGCCACTTTCCATCGACGTTGAATCTCTCACTGGCCAAGAGAATACAGCAACTGTGTGCGTGCTCAGCAGCGATGCCGTATTTCAAACCCTTTTCCTCCAGTCTCTTGTTGAGAGCCTTGACAAAGTCGCAGACCTCCCAGTAGAAGGGAACATTGGACATGCTCAAGCCAGCATTGGATGAGGTCGATGTACCACAGTATGTGACACCCTTGACTTCAACGAAGCATGGCAAACCTTGTTCCACGAGTCGGGCGTATCCTTCAGCCTCTTCCTCAACGTTGAAACCCTTGACGAGTGTCAGGCGGAATACTGTTCGGTGGCTGAAACGCTTCTCCCGAAGGATATCGAGGCAGCGGTTAAAGCGTTCCCAGAAGTCTCGGTGTAGAGGTCTGTCGATTTTCCGTAGTGATTCCTTATCAGCTGCATCGATGGAAACGTAGAGTTGAGTCACAGCCTTGAGGTCAGCGAGCTGATCAGGGTGCTGGGCGTTACAGACGAGGAAAGAAGAGATACGTTCAGCATGCAACATGCCGAGGAACTCGTTGATGTAAGGGTAAAAGATGGGTTCTCCGACGAGTGATAGAGCGCAGTGTCTGATCTGCATAGCTTCAGCGAATCGCTCAGCTCGCACACCAGGCATACCACGCAGCATCTTGATCTTCTTGTAATGGTTTGTCTTGACGCCATCAAAGATAAGCTCAGGAGGATCCACAACCCATCGCCATGTGGTTCCGACTGGGTTTGTGCCGTGGCGCCAGCAGAAGACACACTTATTGGAGCAGGACAGTGAAGGCGTTGTTTCCATGCATTGATGACTCGCGATACCGTAAAATGACCATTTGTAACAGGAGCCACGTCCGCGGAGAGCTGATTTCGTCCATCGGCATGTCTTGACTCCGGAGTGGGATCCGACAATGGCGTAACCTTGCTTGGTGAGTGCTTTGTATGTAGGCGATTCCTCAGCAACCATCTTCTTGGGTCCTTGGGGTACTGATTTCTTTGTGGATGAACCGTAGTTGGTAAAGTCAACAGCGAGAGGGGCTTTCTGAGTGGTCGAACCATCATCTTTTCGAATCATGCGTCCAAGATCCTCGACATCATCAAGATCCCTTCCACCCTTTGTCTTGTTACCAGTAGCGTCGTCCTCGATGATGACTTCACCATCGTCTTCGTCTTCGGAAATGTCCTCAACGTCGCTTTCTTCAGCTGCTCCACTGCCGGGAAGACCTTCTCCCAAGTTTCCGGTGCGGGCAGCATGTTCAATAACTTCTTCGACACCCTTAGCCCATTCCTGTAGACGCTGTTCGTGATCACTTTGCATATCGCCCATTCCAACAGGGTAAGCTCTCTTGCGAGCAGTAAGCTTAGCCATCCATCTGTCGACTTCCTTTGCCTGGAAACAGAAACCGTCTGCCTCGGTAGGCCAATTTTCCTTGTCGCCGAAACCGAAAACAGAGTATCCCATCAAGCTTGACAGAGGCGCGGTATCAATTCGGAAGTCATGGTGCGTCTCCTGGAGATGCTCGAGGAAGGTGTCGTTGATGGTATCGATGTTGTAGCTGGGAATCAGAAAGAGATAGAAGAGGTCGGCATCGCCATGCGCCTTGTAGGGAGTAAGGAAATAATCATCGAAGTCGATCTCAGTAAGGTCTCGGGTTTCGGGCTTGAGAAATTGTCGGCCTGACTTCTTGGAAATCTCGTCCAACTTTCCTCCCAGCTCTTCAACATACGCTTCCGCAATTTTGGCCGTTTTAGTCGTGATGGAAGAAAAGAAGACAAGAGGTACGACAGGTCGAGTGACGTCCTTTTCTTCCTCAGTTTTCTTCGATGGTTTCCTGGCTACGCCACCCTTGATTCGTCGAGGACCCTGGGATTTGGCATTCTTCTTCTCTTCGGCTGGCTCGATGATGGCGGTCTTTTCTTCGATCTTAACTTCGGGGTTAACTTCTTCGACTACGATCTTGGGCTTGAGGGGCTCTTCGTATGCCTTCTTGGCGGGCTCCTCGTAAGCCTTCTTGAAAGCAATAACTTCTGTCTTTTGTCCATTGAATTGGAAGTAAAGTCGGACAGCGACGAGGATGACGCAGGTGGTCAAAAGAATTGGCACTCGGTGGATATGCCAGACATCCACCAAATCTACAAGAGTCAGTCAGTCAGCAGCATATACGGTTTTGCGATGCGAATAGAATATTGAAGAGAACTTACCATCGACAAGCGAGTCGAGGCGCGAATGCGATGATTGATTTGTCCAATCCATGATGACGATCAGCCTGAATTGAATCAGCCAGACTGCCTCTCAGGATTTTACAAATGTATGAGAGTTGGTTGGTGAAGCCCGCACAATCAATTGATAACTAAGAATTCATTCTAAGAAAAATAAATTGCCCCGCGCCTCCACCTCCAGTAGCCTTAGCCTTAAATCATTCTGGGAAAAATTGCCCCGCGGTAGATTTTGTACTGTAACTTACTCGGCCGTGACTAATCCTTGTTCCCTTTCATGTAAGTGGTTCATGAGTGTTCTTAGTTCTAATCTTGTCTATCTAAATTATTTTACAACTGTAATCTATAAATGCAGAGTTAAAAGGATCTTAAACTCTTCTATCTGATCCGGCAGCTTGTGACTTTTCTCGAAGGTCCTTCAAACATGGTGCATGGAACATTTCTCCGGTAATCGCCAGCTTGAGAGTTCTACTGGCAACGACAATCCACAGTAATACCACTGCGAGCGAGATGATCTGTTAGAAAGTTAGCTTGTTTATCTCATAACTGAAAAGAAGCTTTCGTACCATAGTAGCGACCTTGAAGAAATCGCTATCAAGATTCTGTGCCAGAGAATTCGAGCACGTTGCCAGCACACCGAGCGGAAACGTATAACCCCAAGCTCCCAAGTTGCGCGGCACACTTGGCATCATGGCGATGCTAATGAGCGCGAAGGATAGCCAGACAAATGCAAATCCCCACATGACGATACCAAAGAAGACTCCAAGGACATATAGCATCTCACCAGCTCGCGCAGCTACTTCACCAAAGGCATTGCTCTTGGGAATAACATGCATAGCCACCTTGCCAAGCTGCTGAATTCCAAACCCGCCTTGTCCAAGTGGTCCTATCGGCAAGAAGACGCTGACAATCACCTCCTTAGGCGGGATTGAATGGATGGTGAGTCGGTGGAAGTAGAGAGCCAGCACAATAGCCGAGAATGACTCTCCGATGCCCCAAAGGACATAAGATGCAATCACTGTCGTCAGCGCATGATGATGATTGGGAAGCTCCTCTGCAACTATGCCACCTGTTGCAGCTGCGACTACAGCCGGAACGATGGGAAGTAGTAGAGCCGCAGTGATGTTTTCCAGGCCAGGACGATGGCGGTGCATGACGATAAAAGGCATGCTGACGCAAGTAGCGACGGAGATCCAAACATCGAACCACCATAATCCCCATGCTAGGTAGATGACCCAGTCACCCCAGTGCTTACAGGAGAACACCATCATATTTATGATAGCTGGCTAGACGTCAGCAAGTGTTAGGCCAGTGATGCTAGATAGAACTTACTTGCAAGCCCCATAGGGAAACAGCCGAGGAATAGAGACTGGCCTGGATGTGAGATCATGGCAAACCAGATGGTTGGGTATAAGGTGTATCTAGCGATGGACATGGCCGTGAAGACAGTGAAGAGAACGACGTTCAGCCCAAAGAAGATATAGGATATGTACTGAAGCCATAGCGCATTATATGGTAAGTTGTGTAACAGTATGGACACGATACCAGTGCCCATGTTGACTGCAAACCATCTTTGTAATTCGTGTTAGTGAGTTGTGACGATCAATTGGTTGTCTCACACTTACGAGGGCGTGAAGTTGCGAATGACCCTCCTCCAACCAGTTTCCTCCTTACACGACAGAGTTGACTCGCATGGCTTCGGTGTAGAGCCGCTGCATGCCGGTTGGACTGTGACTGTGCCGGTAGAAGTCGTCGAGTTACTACAGCCAGACATGCTGAGCGTAGACTATTGTATTCAATGTGTGACGTGAGCTGCTGATCGATGTAACTATCAGACGCTAACAAGGTTTAGAGGATTGTCTGATTCAAGGGTTCGAAGAGAGTTATTGCAAGGCCTCAAAAGGCAAGAAAGAAACAAATTAATGGTTTAGTTATATGTATTCAGCAGTAATTTGCAAGTCAAGATCAAATTCAGGAAAAATGCTTTATTAATATTCTCTGACCAAAGTCGCAATCGTGGCGGCCATCCACATGGCTAATTCCGAGTTGTTAGCTAACTCAGCACCGAGATCCGCTAATCGCCTCTTCTGAAGAACGCCCGGGCTCCACTTGGAGGCTCAGTCGGCAGTGGTAGATAGTGGGTATACCGCCATAGTTGAGAATTGCGTGCCCGGAAGAAAAATGGTCAACTATTGAAGAGTTTTAATAGATGGAAAACTTGATAGACTCTCCAAATGACCCCATCACAGCCCTTGAATTTATGCTCCTGAAAATCATCCTAGACTCCAATCTCTTTATCGTACCAACAAGGTAGATATCAATCGTATACCGCAAGATACTACTGACAAAGAGTTTCGGGGGTTTTAGCGTCGTCGTATCCAACCAGCAGCCTTCAAATCAGCTCACAGGACCAGCCTTAATCTTGGATCGCCGACTGAAAGCTCGCCGACCCAACTCGACTCAGCCAAGTCCGTCTGTGCCTCCCGTAAGATACAGTATGATGTCGGTAGCAATACCACGACCCACATCAAAGATGCGGTGATACAATCTGCCGTCTTGTCAAAGCCCGGGTATGACCCATGACAATCGAGTATAGATGGCCACACACGTAGTGAATCCCCGCCTGGCGGTCTGGTAATAAGGAGTCAGTCGTATCGTCTTCTTACTTATTAGAGCCCCTTTCCCTTTGAACAATTCCAAGTGAAAGAGCATCAGCATTCTTAGTACTCAGACGTAACAACCATCATAAACAAAACAATCATGGCTATCGGCATCTTTTCCAAACCGGCGTTGGCTATGGACCACAGTGGGATTCCCAACGTCGGTCCCTGCCAACGTAATCGATTCGAAGAACTCGTCGTCCGCCTCAAGGATGCCCTTGGCCCATCATCAGGGTTGACTTCGGACGACGTAGATGTCAACTACCTTCAACAACTGATGGAAGGCTACGATAGCTCCGATAACCAATGGAGTCGATATGCCTTTGGCGATAGTAGCAGGGGATACACCCGCAACCTTGTCGACGAGGGGAATGGCAAGAGCAATCTGGTAAGCCTCTACACAAGTCAACTTTGACCTGTCCTGACACTGACTGACGTCTTGTATAGCTCGTACTTGTATGGTCTCCAGGAAAGGGGTCACCCATCCACGACCACGGAAAGGCGCACTGCCTGATGAAGATACTCCGCGGCGACTTGACCGAGACTCGATATGCTTTCCCAGAAAACAACCAAGAGGAAGAACCAATGCAAGTCATAGCCGAGACAGTGTATAAGTCGGGCGAGGTAGCATATATGAGTGATGACCTTGGTCTGCATCGTGTGTCCAACCGCGGCAGCGACTTTGCTGTCTCGTTGCATTGTAAGCATTCCCCAAACCACGACACTTGTCGCAGTAACTAACATGCAACTCTGCAGTGTACACTCCTCCAAATGTAGCCAAGAAGGGATGTCATATCTTTGATGAGAAGACAGGACGAAAGAGTCATGTGCCGGGCTGCCACTACTACTCAGCATATGGGCGGTTGCTCAAGGAATAGATGAAGTGGATATGGCTTCAACAGCCAGATGTTTGATGAGAAACGACCTTTATGTTGTCCACTGGTGGTTCATCCAGATTGTTTTATAAGCAGGTAATGATGGGCGGAGGAGGATATCCAAGGTAATGCGTGATATTAGTATAGCATGGCATAATTATAGCATAGAATTGACAAACTGCCTTGATCATGAAGAGACCCGCATTCTGTGCAAAGAGTGAATAATGAAAATGAACGATTATGAAGGAGGAAAAGAGGAATCGACTGACTGCTTGCTATATTGATGGCTCTTGCCATGACATGGAGCGAGCACGCAATCGACGCTTTGTCCCAGAATGGTAATTGACTCTGGGTTCGCCATACCGAGCCGTACCGACAACCGACTACACAATCCCAGCAATGACTTTAAGACAAAATATTATGTGGGAAAAGAAGTAATTATTCAGCAGAAAGTAAACTCGATGTTTATTGAATTGCTCAGTGGTATTTACAAGTTTCTAGCCAAGGAAATGGATAATGTTGGGTCGTCCCGATAACCGACACTTTGGCGTGATTGCATCTTGCACTTCAGTCGAGTAGGAAGAGCCTGCAGAGGCAGCATTTCATAGACCTTTATTGACCAATTACAATACAATATGTAGAATCTCAAGTACTCGAAATTCTATGAGCTTGCCTCGAAAATACCTTGAGTTGCCTTTGTGAGCCTCCACTGCTATTGGCCCCAAGGCCCCTTCAGCTTAGAGGAATGTCGCTCGCATCATTGGTGATCTGTGTCGAATCTACAATAACTATTGTGATATCTGTTGTTGATGCCTACAGCTACATATGTTCCTATTTTACCATAGCTCAAATCTACACTACGTCAGGTCTATGCCACCATCGTTCAATACTCGTAACTCGGCCGACGATGGGATGTTTGACCACCATCATCAATTATTTCCCACCACTCAACCCGTGCTTCAGCTCCATTCGAGCGCTACTAGCCCTTCTAGGACCTTCCTAATCACATTTCGAGCTTCAGAAGCTGGGGCTATTGAGATCTTGAAGTCATGATAAGTTCTGTGCTCAACCCCTCATCAAGTTATGCGCCGTCTCTCTACTGGAGCGCTTCAGCAGCGGCAAGGGTAGTCAAATCCAGGTCCGAGATCGACAGTTAAGCTACCAAATGCTAGTCTCTAAACGGAAAGAAGTTCAAGTTAAAAACACTGTTTGTTCAAATCCCCAGATTGATCGTTTGTGGGGAGGCGGGTTGATCGTCGTAAATGCAGGGAAGGACTCGTGATGACATCTGATAATACTCGGGATATTGCTTCATCGTCGTGTTTACTTGGACTCGTGCAGGGGTGTCTTGCGAGATGCTGAAAGGAGGAAGAAGCGTCCATCCTAGTGAGTACTTCGGCAATGAACAAGATACATAAATAGCTACGTTTCCAACCTCAAACTTCACTAGCATACAATCTTTCTCTGGTCTATCATCATCAACCCTTGTGAGGATTGAGAAGCCACTATGCGTGCCTTTACACTCTTAGCTGCTGCTCTCTCGGCGTCCCTCGTTGAAGCTGTCCCTGCTCAGAAGGCTGCCCAAACTGACTATGCCGGATATCTCATCTCGACCTTTAGTGACCCAACTCCGCAAGTACAATGGCATCTCTCAGATGGAAAGTCAGCGTCGAGCTTCAAGTTCTTGAACGGTGGCAGCCCAGTCTTGACGAGCGACGTCGGCACCAAAGGCGTCAGGGACATTTTCCTGGCCACGAACAGCAAACGCTCTGAGTACTTTACTATTGCCACTGGTACATGATATATACCAGATCATAGAAAATATTACTGACGGTTCTTGGATGAATAGACTTGGATATCAATGCCCCGGGCTTTTCATGGGACTGGGCCACACGAAATGGAAGCCGAGGTCTTGTCGTTTGGTCCTCCAAGGACCTTATTAACTGGTCGAAACCTACACTTAGGATGTAAGTAAACGAATCCATCTTGTGCTTGGGCACCCAAATGACATCTTGTAGTATCGAGACTCCTACTGCAGGCATGGCATGGGCACCTTCTGTTGTATGGGACGATGCCACTAAGCAATACTACGTCTTCTGGGCATCGCGACACTACGCTGCTTCGGATACCCAGCACAAGGGCGAAGCAACTCTGAACAAGATTAGGTTCGCTACAACTAAAGACTTTATCAAGTTCAGCGCGCCCAAGGACTATCATTCCGTCAGTGGCACTGGTCTAATCGACCAGGAGTTCCAGTACCTCGGCACGCCAGGACATTTCGTCCGTTTCCTCAAGAACGAGACCCTCAATCAAGTCTATCAAGAGACCACAACGACTGGCCTCTTTGGTACTTGGACTCGTGTCCCTGGGTATGTTCGACCTGAGTCTCCGCTTGAAGGACCTGGCTCATTTGCCGACCTTAACACTCCTGGACTGTATCATCTGCTTCTTGATGATTATACTCAATATGTACCTTTCCAGACCTCCAACATCCTGTCACCAAAGTGGGAGAAGTCGGACTTTCCTAACTTTCCCAAGGGTTTGAAGCATGGTTCTGTCACGCCTCTTACCAAGAAGGAATATGATGCGGTTGCTGCCAAGTATGGCAAATAAGCGGTAGCAGATGGTGGAAGCAGTAGCTGTATAAGAGTAATAGCAAGAATTCGTGGTCCACTTGAGCAATGCCTTCGTTTGTATCGCCGAGAAAGATAATTGTGTGGACGATTTCATGAACTCAGTTATCTGATCCAGATTAGAAGGGATCAGTTGTCATCATCGTTCGAGCGACATATCTCCCTCCATTTGCCCACGTTCATCTTGCCTTCGCAGCAAGACAATATTTTAAGTAGTGCGACCAATTTACAAATGCTTTTCACGGTATTTGAACTACTCTGATAGAGAAAAGTTTTGATCTCAACTTGGGCTCTTGGCACTTTATATTGCCTGCTTGTCCATGCCGAAGCTAATTTGACAACCCACCAAACTCTCTTTTTCTTGAAGGGCTTTTACACATTTAAAATCCTAGAAGGTCTATCTATTGATCCTCGATCAAGGCGTTTTTTATTTTATTTTTTTAATGTAAGTTGGCCTAGGGGCTGACCTACCTAGCTATCGAGGTAGTACCTAGAGCGCTGTGATACAGGCCAACCCACGTTGCTGATGAGCCACTGGACGCAGAATAAGTTATTGCCTTCAAATTGATCACAATTACAATATTCATTTTCTCGATGCTGTTGAAGGTTGTAGTATACCGGTGTTTATATGTCTCTGGTGAATGCTTACGTTAGCCGGTGATGCGGCGGATTCCGACGGTATGCGGGGTTTTCGCATCTCAACAATTGCTTCATCTCATCCATAAAGACAGCAATAATGACTGGCAAAAGAACTCAAGATCAAGAAATTTCTGCAAAAGAACCACAGGTTCCAAATGGAGCGACACAAAATGATAATGAACCTTCCAAAAAGCGACGTCGTCGCATCCTCTCCTGCGATGCCTGTCGACGACTCAAAACGAGATGTGAAATCGAGTATGGCTCAGATACTTGCTCAAGATGTCGAAATCTGAGGATTACCTGTATAAAAAGCGATGGCACCGAGAATTCAAATGGATCTAATGAAGCAAACTCGAATACAGATCTTGTGAAAAGGTGACTTCTTTCTTCTGCTCCTACTGACAAAACACTCTTAACCTCGTGTTAGTCTTCATCAAAAGGTCTTGAATCTTGAAAACTCGATGCAAGAGATGAAAGAACAATTAGCAAAACTCCAGCCTCAGACTCAGAGAGAACCGGTAGAACCACAGAGGGAGCAACAAATCATCTCACCTGCAGTATCGGCCAACAGCCATAGACAGGTAGTTGACCATGTCGAACCGGCTGACCAACATGTTCACGCTGCTCCTGCTGAAGTCATCAGAAGGGTCGCTTGTCAAGTAGTGGGGGACTTTAGAAGAACCTTCCACACTAAAGAAGACGTCGTGTCAATAGGCATGCTAGATCCTGCAACTGCAGACTCTCTAGTCAAAGCGTAAGCACAAAACACCTTCTCATTGACACCTACTTACGCCATAATAGCTTCGTAAAGCGACGTCGACATGTTCTTCTGATAGAAAGCGAAAGTGATTTGGTCACACGAGGGACTCTAGTCCAGACTTCGCCCTTTTTACACGCTGTGTGCTGTACGCAAGAAATGAGATACACTCACCGGAGCCAAACAGATGCTTTGAAGCATAGACAAGTATACGAACACGTGAGAAATATGCTGGGACAGGTAATGATGGCAAGTCCTTTGCACCTGGAAGAAATAACCGGTGTTCTTATATCCACGTTATTCGTATGGTCGCCGTCGGTAAGATTCTGTTGTGTTCCAACATCGGGTTGTTCCTAGCTAATTGAACGTTCAGTTCGAAGCAGAGTATGTCGATAGCTGGCTACTGAGTGGCCATTGTGCTCAACAAGCCATGTTATGCATCCAGTTCTCAGACATCATCAAGCGGAATAATGCTGGTACTTCAACAATGATTGATCTTCGCTCGATACGGCTTTGGGCCAATGTGTGCTTGGTACACTTGCAGTGAGCTTAGTTCTTAACATCTTCTTTGATAGACTGTATATACTGATTAATTGGCAACAGTTGGTCAGCTACGACAGGAAGACCATCGATCCTGCCAGGATCCTACTTCAGCCAGTGTAGGAATTTGCTCAACTTTGAGCAGGCAACCATGCGCGATGCCATGTTGATTGCCGAGGTCTCTCTTTATTGTACGCTTCAGAAAAGTGTATGTGGGAAGCCTGACTTTGCCAGCGATGGGAGTTGTGAGCATTTTACAACCTGGAAGCAGAAATGGGGATATCTTCTTGGTGAGTGCTTCGATCCAATATCTCAACGTGAAGCTACGAGTTACTAATGTCTATCAGAGTTACCTACCAGCCTTGTCTTGAATCTCAGCTATTGGACCGCAAATCTGATCCTGGCCAAACGGTCACTCGATGAGATCGAAGCTCGAGCATTGAGTGCTCCTACACCTATCTCCCCAGCAACATCTCGCAGTTCTACATCACAATTTCAAGCTATACCAACAAAGGATCTACAAGACCACGTATATGAGCTAAGTTTTCGAGTGACTTTGGCTTTCGTGGCCATTCCAAGCTCGAGTTCAGGAGACTTGCCAGAGTTCCATTCCCTCTGTGTCGCCTACTCCATGCTCATACTATGCCAGTACGACGAGTTGCCTCCTTCTATACCTCACGACGAACTCTTCTCAGCTTTGACTGAAGTCAAGAGTCGCTGCAACGACTATTCCGTCGCGGTTGAGTTTAGTGCTGAAAGAGCTTTAGAGAGGCTCAGGGCAGATATGCAGGCGCTTAATACGACAGATTCGGTGAATCAAGAGGCGCAGTTTGGTAGCCATGCGGGCCATCCTCAGAATGCAGGCGTCGGTAGAGCCAATGTGAATATCAACGAGACTGGGCTTGATAACCTCGACTTTTTCTTCAATGGAGGATATCTGGACATTCTAGATATTGACAACTTTCTTCTTTAGTAGGTAGCATTCCATAAAATTGTTTTCTCAAAAGGGTATAATCTTGAACTTCGAAGTATAATTACATTAATCTTGATCATCTTCCAAACCATTGCTTTATTCTCATAATCATAGGCGTCCAATACAGCGCATCCAAAGAATCTCTCAAGTAATGATTGAACCCATACGTCGCAGCGTTTGCAAATCCAACAAACTGCGTCGAAGTGTTCAAAGCAGCGATGGTCGTTTCTGAGACAGGTGTCCCTAGTGCTTCGAGCAGTCTGTTGACTAGTCCTGGCGTCCAGAGGAGGACGTACATGAATGGATATCCGTTTAGTAGCATCATTCGTTTGATCTCAACTTCGACGTCGCAGGTGTTTCGACGCTGAGGAAACTCGCTGGCGTTGGTCTGGAGAACATTGGTGTTCTGTTGTGGTGAGATTCGTGTTTCTTGAAGAGGTTCAGTGTTAGTGACTTCTGCATAAACTAGGTCTGATCCTCTCTTTGACGAGGTTGGTCTGTGGCGGATGGATCTGCTATTATATCTGCCATTGCTAGCTTCGCTCTCACCTCGTATGTCATCTCGGATTTCCTCGATTTTGTCCTGATGCAGATTGTTCCAGAAACTCTTTCTCTGGTCAAACATGGTTGGTGAATTTGGAGCAATGTTTGGTTCAAAAGTATCAAGCTCGGTGTCATTCTCCTTCATCATCTTAAAACCCATCTCTTTCGAGCCTTTTGAAAACACAGTGTTGGTGTTGTGCGTTGAGAACGAAAGAGTTCGCCTTGTCGTTTTGTTTCCCATGCCGAGGTGCCGCCGTAGATAAATCCATATATAAATGTAGATGACGATAGTCATGAAGATGACAAAGAGACGCCAGCCATGTGTCATTCCATATCTTAGGTCAGGCCGAGTCGCTGATATCCAGCACCAGTTGCCCCCAACTGGCTTCATCTCACCCGCAATGGTAGGAATGAGACTTGTGATGACTGGCATGATCCATATTGCGCCACAGATTAAAACCTTTCTTGTTTTTGACGTGGTGGGGATATATAAATAGCGAGTTACTGTGAGTAGAGTTGTCACAGAGATTGCCAGTACCGAAAAGTCAGCTGCTGAAACTGAGAGTTGTCCGATGAATCCATTGACAGCACATGGTGTTCCTTCTTTGAGTTCCCATGTATTAAGGTATATGATTCCAGACACTGAGTTGTTGAGAGTATTAATGAATTCTATCACATGGTTAGTCTCGTGGTGAATTCCAAGGTGAGTCTACAAACCAGCAACCATGAGATTTAGAACAAGTACATGGCGGAAATTCTGAAGATGTCGACGATATATGACAAAAGATATCAAGACACAAGTCGTTGCTACACATGACAACAGACTTCCCGCCAAGGTGACAGACGAAATCACCTTGTCGACCTTGTCTCCCATATTGGGCAGTTTGTGATGTTCATAATAGACTAGAGACTGACAAACAAAGTTTAAAGGGAAAGGGTCCGACGAAAAGAGAGACGTCGAGTTATAATGTCTGAGTGTTTGTATTTGGAGATTTTATCCACTCTGTAACAAGGGTGAGACCGGGGAGCCCAGTCTCCGTATAGATTAATACGGGGACTAGTCTCGGCGTCTCCATGAAGTGAAGCTTGAGCCATTATCGTGAGTCAGTGAATTGAAGATCTATATGCTCAGAGAGAATTCTGACTTGAGTGTCAGAGTACTATCTGAGATAAGAACAATTTGTTAACACGGCTTATTCTGAGACTATTACCATGGCCAAGAGAAGATCCCATTAGACGGTCTAGAAACGGTCAAAATAGAGTTTAAACATGATACAGACTATTCTTAAGCGAGTTTTATAAAGCCTGTCAACGCAAGGATATATCCATCCTCGTGGCTATACTTACACGAAAGTCCACAAATAAGACCCCGACAACAAACTCTGACAAGTCCCTTTGACCGGAGATCACAGCTCTTTTGGGTTCGGATATCTTTGTCGTAGCGTGGCCTTACAGGGCAACTTGAGAGTTGGGACGAACAAATTAGGAAATGAATTCGGGTTTTAGAGAGATGATCTTTAGCCGGAGGTTTAACTCCCGAGGAGCATGATACTGCGAGATTGCGTATTCTTGTTTGGGCGAGTCAATACGCGGGTACAGTTCAATATCATGAATTCGCTTACTTCATCGAAACTACCATGGCTTGGTCTAGAACTGCACAATATACGGAGGGCTGAACAGGCACTTTGAGTGGTGGGTATTTTTCTTTGTTTATTTCCTTACGCGGAGACGTTATTACCTCTCTCTAACTTATCCATTATACCAGTCCTTCATACCTTCTTCCATCATCTTATAGTCTTGTCACTCTCTCAACCATACAACTCTCTCGCAACCTCATAGCTGTTAATAAACTCAATCTGCTCTTTCCTCCAAGTATCATCCTCCACCCAATTCTTGGTAGCATTAAGAACCATGTTCTTGGGCTTCGACATATCATACTTGGGCCACTTGGGCAAACTGCCTTTCTTTGATCCTTTTGGATTAGGATCAAGATTGTTGACGAACCTCACATAAGCTTGGCCTATACTATTAGCCAGCTCAGCGTGACTATCGTATTGAGGGCTTGGGCCCAGAAGACCGGATATGTTCTGGAAACTGAACGCCACATTATCAAAATGTCTGACGCCATCCCATTCCGCTCTCTGGGACCATCGTTGGTCGAAGCGATAACTGTACACAACATCGCCAGTTTCTGTGAATAGCTCGGCTAGCTTGCGACGTCCAGATATCATGGCGATATCTCCGCCGATAGCACATGCTCTTCGGCCTTGAAGATTGCCCTTTTGTCTTGAACAATCCGTGATATGATACGGTGGCTGATGGCAAGGATCGTCAGGGTAAAGCTCAAGCAACTTTCGAATCGTCGGCGCGCTGAGTGCATAGTTTCTCCATCTATAGGCTTCATAGAAGAGATCTTGTTCCGTGTTGGCTACTCCCACGCAGAATCCTTCGTCAGTATTGGCTCCGATAATACTTGGCACGGAAGAGAATTTCTTTTCTCGTATAAGTTGGCTTGGATATCCTGTGAGGTATGTGCCGTCTATCAAGGGGTTCCAGACAAAAGAAGGGCGTGCTTCATAAAGGGTCTTTTCGTCGAGTCCGCGAAGACACGCCAGTTGATCTTTTGCGTTGAAGCAACCAACTGTCCTTGTGAGATTTTCAAAAGGAACGGTGTAGTAGCTAAGATCATGAACCTAATCACATCAGTTAGCAAATATCAAGCGATGAGATAGATTCCATACCTGAGCACCGGTAATTCCTCCACTTTCGAGAATAGCTCCACGATACAACTTCTCATCCTCCCCATCGAAGCTGAACATATGATACGCAATAGACTGGGCTCCTGCACTCTCTCCCCACACAACAACTCGATCTGGATCACCTCCGAAAGCTTCAATGTTCTCCTTAATCCAGCGAAGAGCTAGTCTCTGGTCCAAAAGGCCGGCATTGGCGTTCCCTTCTTTGAGAAGATTGAAATTCTGTAGGAACCCCCACATGCCCAGTCTGTAGTTGAAACTGACAGCCAGGATGGGTTCTTTTATGTCTTGACTGACTTTCACTATACCAGAGAGGTTATACTGAGGATCTGCTGAACTACCGGCATAAAGGCCGCCGCCATAAATCCAAACGCTGTGTCTCGTCAGTTTTATCACATCAACACTCTCTAAGCTTGACAACGTACAGAACTGGTAGGAGCTTCTTCGGCTTTCCTGCTGGTCTGATAACATTTACCGAAAGACAGTCTTCGGACATGGTCCAGTTCTGAGAGTATTGCATACAGCTGTCTCCATATTCCGTTGCTGTACGTTCTTCGTCAAAGGAAGCACTCAGGCTCTGTGGCCACTTGAATCTCAGGTCTCCTATAGGTGGCTGAGCGTAAGGAATTCCAAGGAAGGCATCTTGGTTCCAGCTGGAGATGTGTTTCCCGACGTATGTTCCGTTCAGTGTCTTGGCCTTGGGTGAAGCAGCACTGATGACTTCGGTAAATAGAGCAAAAAGAATGATATGAAGAACTGAAAACATTTTCAAGTTGGCCATGACGGCTTACTGGAAGGAAGAGAAAGTAGTACTAGTCCTTCTAGAGCTCCAGACCTAATCCTGAGTGGTGAGCGGGACTTATAAGCCCCGTGTTCTCTTCATTCTATGTCCTGTAAGACTCAGAACCTGTTCAATAAGCCCATAACCACGGCTATCTGAAATGATCATCTGGATTAGCGGTCTGATTATTTCCACCAACGATGAGCCATGTAGTAGCATTGCATTTAATGAAGTTACATTTCCATTGCTGGAAGATACAACTTGGGATGAACTCAGTTACATTCCCCGCGTTACTAGCATGGGGATGCGTCGATCTGGGGTAGGACCGTCGATGTAGGTGGTCGGAATTAGTCCTATATGGGAAGGAGATCATGGTCTCTAGTCTAGATACTGTCTCTGTTGACGGAGCAGGTTCTCTGAAACTCTTCAGAGTTCTGTGATATATACTTTCCCGACTTACATTACTTGGAGATTTGAAAAGCCCATTACAGACATTCCGTATTCAACACTCCAGGCTAGCTGCAAGAATAAGAAAAACAGTTCGCCTCTCTCTTCTCGCTAGTAATGCACCGTCTTTAGGCAAATTGTCATGGTCAACAAAAGCACTAATACGACCCTGGTCATTTGATATTCAACCGGCAAAATCATTTACCCACCAATCAGCATCCTCTATTCAAACAGAATCCAGCCTCATGTCCTCGATACTCGTGAATATTTGCCGAGATATTTGCCAACTTATGCACATAGCTTGAAATTGAACTTAACCAGCCCTGTGACAACATTCATAGTGTTCTTCCTCTTCAGGTAGTGAAAACCATCAAGCTTCGCCCTCTGCTCTGCGGTTCCGATTCCAAGCTGCTCCAGAACTTCAGCAACTACTGCGTATAAAATCTCGAGACTTCCATCTTCGATTTTTACAGCAATGCCAAGTGGGCCTTTTGCTCCAAGACGTCGAGTATCTTCAGACTCTCGGATACCTATGCCGTAACAAGCATCGGCGCCAACCTTGCCAAACAGCTGGCCCTTGTAGCTACGCATGAGATCTGTGCAGAAACGTCCCGTGCCGCCTACTTGTTCTGAATGAGCTGACATGGCGTTGAAGACGCGAGCACAATTGCGAGTTCTCTGTGTTGTTGATGATCCAGATTTTTCGACTTCATCGGCTGCTGCTGCAAAGATTGCAAAAGTGCAGCCCATGTCATAGAGAGGGTAGGCTGGCGCTGGGAGGTTGCAGCCATCAACACCCCATCCCACTTGTTTAGGATCAAGAGATAGCTCTTCCACGACTCTCTTGACCTCACGTTGCATGGGATGATCCAACTCATGATAGTTGGCAGCTTCAACACCCAACGCTTCGGCGCCAGCCATCATGGCAACATGCTTTCCAGAACAGTTGTTGCAGATACCCGTCGGTTCAAAATCAGCCTTGATCCACGCACGATTCACTTTCTCCGAAATTGCCGGGTGGCCACCACACTGAAGGTCTCTCTCCTCTGCTTTGATCTTGCTGAGTATATTCTTGGCGCGTGAGATATGAAAGTCTTCACTGTTATGAGAAGCACACATGAGAGCCAAGTCAACGTCATCGAATCCGTATTTCTCCATGGCGCCGGTTTCGATGACAGCTACAGCTTGAGCTGGCTTGGCTGCTGATCGAGAAAGAGTCATTCGAGAAGGGTTTCCGGCTGAAAAGAGGATATTGCCCTTTGTGTCCGTTACAGCAATGTGTACGCCGTGGGTGTTTTCAATGATGCCACCTCGGTCTGTGACTACACAGTCTCGGTCGAGTAAAGAAATTCGAGTCATGTTGGGATGAAATGTATTGGTAATTGATAGATGTCAAGTTTTTGGTGTTTGTTGAACCCAAATCATTTTGCTGCCAGCAAACAACATGATCTTATAAGTTGGTTGAAGAGAATATGTTAGAGAGAGATTCTCTCTTCTCTCTTGTGTCGTCCAATCAGACATTACCAGTGGAGGTGAGTCAGAGCAAGGGCGCAGATGGAGTCTTGATTTCTGACAGTGAAAGGAAGGTGCTTGAGTTGAAGCTCTAAATGTTACCTGAATAGGAATAAAATTGTCGACAAGTCTTGTTGGGTGAGATGATCTACTATGACTCACAGTAGAAGCGAATCAGAATTGCTGTATCTTGACTCAAACTTTGATTGACACAACCAACAAATCTTGGCGGGGATTAGACGGCAATTGTGTCAGATAAAGTTGCAGTTGAAGGCTTCGAGAACGGGTTTCTCCATGTCGGCAAATGCCTTTCCATGACAAAGAGAGGCATTGAAGGGCACGTCTACTATTTTTAGATCTCGTACACGAAATCTCAGGAGGTATGGGATGGGGATTGCCGATCGTTGATCATATCATTGAACCATGTCACTCAAGGGTTGACCTTTGCCTCGTGGAGTGTATCATAACATCAAAATTATTCACATCTAGAAATGTACTAATAGGGATTGATCTCAATGGAAAACAATCTTGTACTGAACTGCAACTTTAGGAGGTCTCTGATGACAGTTCACTTAAAGCCGCAAAGAGGCTGTCAATTGGTGGTGGAGTTAGAATTTAAAATGGAGGCAGGAATCGGAGACTTTTTTTTTGGAGTCGTTCCTGGTTCCAACGGTCGGTTAGTGAGTTTCAGCGTGTCCCCCACCAAATTTTGGTACACACGTGATCTTGTCAACTGTCAAGTATTGCAACTTTGCAAGACAGGATTCAACTAAAAATACAGTAAATGACGGGGCATTAATTATCAGCCTCTATTATGAAAGAAATAACCTCAGAATGCCAAGTAGATAGACAGACTAAACTCAAAAGGTAGAACCCCTTATTGTCAGTTACGTTACCAGCCACACCCACTACGTCACATCATGGCCTTGATCCCTGTCGGCGACACAGAGAAACAGGATTCTAGACCCGTCGATACCTGGCAGCGTCGTCTTTATGACGATTTGCACGTCAGCCTCTATTTCATCTCGATTCCTGTTTCTCCAGGTACTTCAACGTTATTTAACTTACTATCATATTCTATCTGGTGGTGGAGTTTCTCTATCCTTCTCTCAACATCTCTTCTCTACCACCTCTTCAACTCAAATCACCAGACTTTACGACTCTTTCAGTCTCTCCCAGGCCATCAACATGTCGTCATCTGTATGTACCCCTCCAACTCTACTGCAAACCATCCATCGCACAGCCACTAACAGTCCCAGACCGAGCAGAGAAGCGATCTCGAAGAGGATCAGGTCGAGCAGGAGAAGCCCCAGCGCAAGACAAAGACCAAGAAGTCAAAGGGCGAGCGACGCAAGCGACGCGCCCGATTCGACGACTACGATGACGAGCAGGACAACAGCCAAATGGCCCAGAGCAACTACAACGCCCAGCAACAGCAGATGCAGCAGCAACAGATGCAGCAACAACAGCAGCAACAACAGCAGCAGCAGCAACAGCAGGGCGGCGGTGGCGGAAAGAGTGACGCTCTCAGTCTGCATCTCGAGTTGAACCTCGAGATTGAGATTCAGCTCAAGGCGAGAATCCATGGTGATCTTACCCTGTGTCTACTGTAAGTTCTACCCACAGATGCTCCAGACCATCACTAACATCTCACAGGAACTAAACACTTTTACTACTATAATGTTCATAAACACTACCTATGAATGACACACGACTGTTGGAATTATCACGGCGTTGGGGTTTATGACTGGATTGGATTGACATTTCCTAGCATCTATCTACTATATACACATACACATGTACCAAACAATTCTCTTAGCCATGTCTTACCTCAAAAGACATGGCATGACTATTTTATATACTTATTTATCTACCTGTCAAAGTAAAAGTCAAGTGAATTGAAGTCAAAACTAGTGACGGTTAAAACGCTCGGTCGCAAGCTAATTGTGAGGCTATCTCAGTTCCGCGATGCTAGCTCCCCTGCAAACGTTGCACGGTGATCCAAAGATCAACTAGCGCTGTCAAAGTCTCCATTGAATTGAAGATCTTGGCTTGGCTGACACTCACCAGCCACGTCAGCCATCTTGTACTTGTCCTTCTTAGACGCGAATCCACTGTCAACATCGCGTCACAATTACTGCGCCATGGCTTTTTTAATAACTTGGCAGGACGATTGATGATGATGCAGATAAGGTATCGATAAGAGATAATCTACAGTACAAGAGCTTCCTCGTAGAGTATCTTACCCTATACCGTCAATTGCATGCAGTATTGGGAGCTTTTCTACAACCAGAACTTGGTGTGAACCTGCACTGATAAAGCCCATTTGTTCTAGCTTAAGCCGAATGTTATATGCCACATCGAGATTAGATTGCTTTCGCTCGTATGACGCGCTTGAATGAGTGGTTTGCCATCGTGACCACATTCGTTGATGATGTCCACATAAAGCAAGTCACTGGGAGACAGGGAACTCAAATACTGATTACGTTAAATTGAAAACGCGTCATGACTGGAAATCAACTAGTTGAGTGAAATTAAATGTCGGAAGAGACCTGGTTTAAGTTTTACTTATCAGTCTGGAGATATATGCGCAACTTTCAATGATTTATCTGTGATCGTTGGGGTTTAACTCTCTCTTATAACGCGATCGTGGCCCAACGAGCTCATCCTCCCTTATAGGTTTACATGTTAATAGCTTGAATGAATATAACGAATCATTCTCCAACTCGAATAGATCGGCCATTATCAAAGGTCAGTCTCAGTACTGCAATTTGGTGAATGGTTGATATCAAAGGTATTCTGTTGAGTCCTAGAGGGGAGTTGGAAGAAAGAGATGAAAGTACCAGGCAGAGCAGAACGGTAAAGAGAGATTGAAAGACATATTGAATAATCTATGGTCACTGTTCAGTCTGCAGTTCAGTTTTCAGATATTCCAAGAGGCTTCTTAGAGAGAAATTTGTACGCTTGATACGATGGAACTGCAAAGGTAAAGGCAGGTTCATGATATAACAGAAGACATTTAATACCCATTCAGATGGCAGCAGAAGCTTAAGCAGGTCGTAGCTATAACGAACAAACCCTGAGGCAGTTCTGGAGTGGCAAGTTAATAGTCTCATAGAGTATTTCAAGCCATAGGGCTTAATGAGGGACATCGAGCTTGAAACGACCTAAATCCAAGTGGCTGAGGTGTGGAATTGATCTGATATGCAGACAAGGTTAACTCTGTGGGGAATCAAGGACAACAAAGTGTGGATTCCGTACTTGTATGCCGAAGCTGGATACGAAAGGCTTTCCCAGTATTTGCTTTTTACCAGATCTCGGTGACCATCCTTTTCGGCATGTTACGGGAACCTCGGGCATCCCCAGCGGCTGAGAACAGAGAAACAAAAAAGAAGATTCAGATCTTTCAGTCGAATGATTATTGCATATTCACCACTTGAGAGGACTCCATTTACATACTGAATTAGGAAAGACATTGTAAGGTGGGAGATCTGGCCATGTGTCTTAGAATCCTCTCATCTCCGATACTGCATAGACCCAAGGATCTCGTCCGGATCCGATGCGGGTCACACGGGAAGAAATGCAAGTCATGCGGAGACGGGAAGATCAAAGAGGTCTGACCGAGTGGGTATTTTGTAGTTGAACATTTCAAAGTGAGAGGTTGATTGGGAGAGAGCAAGGTCAAGGGTTTGTGAGGCTGAGGTTGAGGCCGAAGCTGATACGCGATATAGGTAAATAATCAGAGATTCAGTATCCACTGGCTAGACGTTTCTTTTGGTGTTCAGCGCTAAAGTGCAAAATGAATCCATTCCCTCAGCCCTTGCTATAATGCTGATTGACTCGCGGAATTTCTCGGACTACAGAAATGTCTCACTCATCTGTATGTCACGCATAACCGCTCGTCCGAGGTCACTTCTGTAACCTTTGCCGCTCAAAGAATTATATCTCTCTAGACCCTAGTCCTTGTCCCTTCTCTTCTTCCCCTCGCCCACTCTTTAAGGTCAGTATTGGAGGGTTACATGATCTACCTTGCCTTCTCTCCGTTGACAGCTACCGTACTGTAACAAGGGGTTTTACGACGTGAAAGAAACAGTTACAGATCTGCGAGACGCACCTGAAACAGATTGACGAGAATATCGAAAGATTTTGGAATATCCTCATATGTTTTTTCTTATTCTAAAACAAGCAAAAGATTTGCCATTAAAACTTACTCTCTTCTTACTTCTTGATCTCTTCGTCTCGGGTGTGTTTTATTGGAAGTTTCCGAATTGAATAATCTGACAACACAGTGAGGCGGGTAGATGCATTCCCCCAGGTACTGAGGGTAGTTCTCGGAGTTCATCGCAGGGGATGCTTGGCCTTGCAGCCCTACCTGACCTTGTTCTTTATCAAAGGCTGGTCCTTGTCTTTGAGTTGGCTACAGCGGCATTTTTGGGACCGGATGAGAAACCGGATGCACGACAACTCGTCAACGATACTCTTGCAATGACAGCGGCTATTGCCTGGTCGATCATGATCAGCCTGGAAATAAGATCCAATTGGAGTGTATGTCGATAGTAGATGCAATATTCATTACAGTATCATTAAAGTACAGCCAGACCTATAGTACAGTAGTTTCCCTTCATGATATGATGATACGTAGCCCAGTTGAATAACGCCAGTAAACAAACACGAATCATAGAGGCTTGCTATCAAACATCCTCGACTGTTGGCTTCCTATACGAGCCTGCCTCACTCATGGAGTGATTATTGTTATGACCCTTGTCCTTGCTCTTTTCTTTTTCCTTTTCCTGCTCCCCCCATACTGAGCTCGCCACAGTGGCGTCCTCTTCATTGTTTGTACCCTCATTCATCTTCTTGGCCAGTGAGAAGATGGAGAAGTCCTGACTGAGACTTGTTAGAATGCTGCCGTCAGAACCTCCCTCACTCTTGGTAGGGCTGTCGATGTTGAGGCGACTGAGAGCATCGGCGATGCGTTGGCGCTTGGCCTCCTTAGACTCTGGATCAAGGAAGGTTGTCTTCGTGATCTCGGGAACCTTGGCAGGAGAAGTTGGCTCAGCGCCAGGATGACGACCAGTTGCGATGAATTCGGCCCTCTCGGCCTCTTCTTTGGCAGTTTGTTCCTGGTGCTGCTTCATCTTCTCGTCAACCGTCTTGGGTGCATTGGGATCAGGGACAGGCTTGGGTTCCTTCTTCTCGCGACGAGTGAGCTCTACTTCGAGAACACGAGTGCCCATAGCGACTTTTGAACGTAGACCATCGTCATCACGATCGTAGTAGAGGGCCCAGATACCAGGGAGTTCTTCTACAGCGCAGAAGCCTTCCCAACCTTCACAAGTCATGCGACGATCTTGCTTGGTGCAGTCAAAGGGACCAGTGATGTGGCCTTCAGTGTCAGCGCGAACTCCATACTTGACTTCGTAGGTGTTCTTGTCAACGTAGATCCAGTTCAGGAACGGAGGGTCGTCGCTGATGGTAGTGACCAGGCCCTCGTACTCTGCATCTGGGAAAGGGAGGAAGTATCCTGAGAATGCATAGCCTTTGCTGATGTTATTCTTGGGATCATGATTGTAAAGAGGATGTTCATTGGCAATGTAGAGCTATGATATGGGTCAATGATCTGTTAGGAAGAGTTGACGATATCAACGTACCTTTGAATCTTTCAAGACGACCAATTTGTTGTTGATATCACGACTTCTGATAGAAGGCTTGACGCAAGAGACAACGAGGTTGCAACGTCGACCACGATGCTCCTCTCGCTTCGACTTGCTCTGACTCTGTCGAATCGCTTCTTGCGTACCCAGCATAGCGGGGCAGACAGTAAGAGCAAGGAGCATGGGAATCGACATGATGACTTTGTCTTTGTCGTCCTTCTGAACAGCTTCTTTGAGTTTGTCGACTTCTTCCAATAGCTTCTGTTTACAGACACCACTTAGGAGTTGCTGGAGCTTGCTTTCGGTTGAGTCTTGTTCTTGTTGGGGCTGGGAAGAGGATGGGTATGTTGATTCAACGTTGGGAGTCGAGGATGAGGGGGACGACATTGAATGTCGTCGGACAAGTGGCAATGTTTACGGTGGCAAGGAGAAACCAAACAAGGGACAATTCGGGCTCTCAGGGTAGTGAGTGTAAGGTTTGAGGTTGGGATGGGTTGAATGCGAGACACGCCCGATGCACAACGTGGATAGAGGGGAATGTTATTCCAGGATGCTATAGGTAATTTCTGAGCGACAATATACAAAGACACAATATTCAATCGGGTAAAGATGTATTGTACCAGAATAACTAGAGTGTAGAAGAGGTTACGGTGGCTGGATGGACACCCTGTACCTACCAGCCAAGAATACAACACCAGGATAATTGCGTGTCATACAGAAAGGACTGCCGGTGTTTCCCGACAGAATCATGCCATCTTTGTTTGATGCGTGCTACGTTGGAGACTTTTTGAGTTGGGATCAAAAAAGAAAGTATGTCCAAGGGACCTTGATCCCTGTCTATATCCGACGCGACTCTCTGAATCGAGATTCTATACTACTAATGTGAAACATAACTCAGGCACGGGTACCCCTGTCAGCAAAATGCCACCGTCGTTCTAAAACACGACCCTTGAGGACTGCTAAGCGAGGCCGATTAAGAGAGACCCTTTCTATAAACGCCCATTCAGGCATGTTGTGTACGGACAGCTAAACGAGGCTTTTGTTTAGTTGAATGAGAACCAATTGAGTTGATTGCATAATTAATTGACTGAAGATGCCCTCTTGGCAGGTGATTGAACCGGCTACTGTCCCGGGTCTCAGCACAAGAGAACGTTTGTATAGTTGCCACCGGCTGTTCCCGTGTCTACAGATAATTAGTTACAGGTACTAACCATGTCTTGTTTCTCAGCCCCAATTAACTAACTCTCAACTACCCTTGTTTCCCCAGGACAGGATCTGTAACTAGCGTCGCCACAGCACACGCCAACATCGGATGATATCTCTAGAGATGTGTAACTCAAAGAGCCCCTCTCGAGTCTCTATGTGTTGTTTCTGTAACTAGCCTCGACTCTTGTGGATTGTCCCTTTTTGTTGAATGGCCTTATCTTGAATGACAGCCCATTCCCCATACCGGATCGGAATACCCGTAACAGGTGAAGCTCCCCTTGCGACCCTGAACGTCTAGTCCTAGATCCTTACGGCCTGAACACTGGGTCTAGAAACTGTCCTTTTTGTTCTCGAATTGCGGCTGCGGCTGCGGTTGCGGCTGAAGTAGTCTCCAGTCAATCTTTCCCACCTAAACATGGACATGGCTATCAACATGGGTGACCTTGCACGCATCGCATGATATCGTGGAGCATCAGTCTGGGCTCTTGATTGGAAGTGACCCCAGAATTTCAACCTCAGCCGCGCGCAGTAACCCAACTCTATTGCACAGATGACCTGGACCTAGACCTAGCAGCTCAGTGTGAGACCGCATGAGTCGGACTTCAGTACAGACAACCTAGAAGAACAACTCATCAATGACCTTCCATTGCATCTAATACGGAAATGCCGGATGTTGCTTCTGTCACTGCTTCAACAGACCGGGGCCGGTTCAAACCTCTCTCGTTTACGGTCCCTCGGCATCGGGATGTTTCGCAATGAAGATCATACTGCAACGTGAAGTGCAGTGCAGCATGGATCTAGACTCAGATATCGCAACTCTAGACTCAGTCAACAGACACAGATGTGACCCCTTGCTGGGGCCAAATCTTCTATATAAGATGGCCTCTCCATCGCCTTCAATCAATCTCATCTCATCAGCACTCACCATCCAATCCATTCAACAATCATCTACTTGAGCCTCAGCCTCGACCATCTTCACCACTACTTCAACGAAAACCAACTTTGACAACTCTTGTCCAACACCACCCAACACAACACAATGTCTGCCCCTACTTCGTAAGCAATCCCCTCTCAACTCTCTTCTTCATTCTACACTTCCCTCCTTCATCACTATACCATAACTTCCAAGTCGGAAAGAAAGTCAAGACTGACTAACTTAGCACCGCTTCTCCCCCTCCTGCCTCTGAACTCCCCTTTGCCAACCTTCCCTCTTCCCCTGCTCCTGCTCGCAACTCGACTACCGCGTAAGCACACTTCTTCAGTATGTCTTGAGCAATTCGCTAACCATCTTGGCTCTTACAGTCTGTCCAAGCCCGCCTACGCCTCCGACTCTGACTCCGATGGTCAGGCTCGAGGTGGTCGCCGCGGCCAGAAGCAGCAATTTGTTGTTCCTCTGCCCACCTCAACCGGTCTCTCTCAGCCCGCTGGTCAACTTCTCAAGGGTGCCACCGATGAGAACGGTAACCAAAAGTCCGCCGCTCTCCTTGTCGGTATCAAGCTCGACCTTGAGGCCGAGGTCCACTTGACTGCCCGAGTCAAGGGAGACATCTGCATTGGACTTTACTAGACGACTATCGCTACTACTACTACTTCGACTTCTTATTGGGTTTATGTACTCGGTGATTTGGTCGCGGGACACGGTTGATGGCCATGTTATGATGACGAATGGGATACCTCAACATGCCTAACTGTCTGGACGGGCTGGCAAGCGAATGGGGGTGTTAAAAATGGATGGGTTTTCTTTACTCTGGACTGGTATATAAAATTTGTAGCTGGCATAATGATAACACTTTGCTACTATCTTTTCTCTTTGTCAACTGTGCTTTGTGATGTGATTGAATGAACTTTACCACTTAGTCTTGAGCGATCAACAAAGGAGTTGAAGCTCTAACAAAAGCTATAAGATCATCTGGAAACTATTAAGAAGTTTATTGAAATCTGCCCATTAAGCTATGTTCACCGTTGATAGAAACATGGTCGCTAACGGTGACTAACGTGCCCCATGTCGAGCCAAGACTTGGTCTGTCCCTTTCCAGGGTCTGTAAAGTCAGCCACCGAAATTCTCAGGGAAAAGGTTGCAATGGTCGCTCCCGTCCAATCGTCACTCTTGGATCAGTCAAGAGTGGAAATAGTTTACTGTAAATCTCCGAGAGATCGTAAGATTTTAACCAGATGTGGTATCCGCTGCGCCGCGACCCTGCGTAAGGAGAGTATCGAGTTCAGATGGCTCTTACAAAAGGTTGCAGCAAAGATGAATGAAATCGTATGTCGTTGATCGGATCTTGGTCCCTGCAGCTTGGTTATCCCCAGTTGTGTGTTGGTTCAGGGTAAATGACAGAGAAGCCATTGACATCAGATGAAAGCCTGATGAAGTTTGGGGAGTACGCAGGAATCACTCCAAGTGAATGTGGTATCGTGATTACTCAATTGATTATCTGGCCAATCTTTCGTGAATAGGTGAGAGAAGTGAAGGTCAAGTACCCATATCGCTTAACTTTTAACAGTTGACGTCGCTGGGGGGCGATACAACTTAGACTTAGACGGAAGGACATGATTGTGGAGACATGGACCAAACTGTACCTGAACTTCTTTGACTCCCGCGTCGTGACCAAACCCGAACAACGAAGAAGGAGAAAGACTTGCACGCAAAACAACCATTTGATTCACTGAGATTTCATTCAAGGAGCTGTTAATGTGGTGTTGCTATTTAAGTTCAAACCGGGTTATCTGATTGTTCCGCCACCGGCTCGAAGAAGCAATTCCAGGTCTGCGACGCGCCAACGGCAGGTACGAAAGTGCAAGAGTAAAGGGAAAGAAGGTCTCCACTTTCTTCAAGCTATCACAGGAAGGAAGCAAAAGCAACTCGCTCTTTCCCTTGTGTTTTCGACATTTCACGATTTTGTGACGTCGTCAAAATGCCGAAGCGCGCGCATGACGTTGTCGACCTAACAGGCGACGATGAAAGTGAGACGCGTCAAAAACGGCCCGCTACCGGTTCATCAAGTCAGCGCCAACACCAAAGCCAAAGCTATCCTGGACAAGGTGGAACCAGCGTCTATGGCGGTTCATCGCAAAATGTCCCTTCATCCACTGCTGAACCAGATTATCTTGACCTGACTCAGGATGATGAGGACCCTCCTCTTGAATTATACGGAACATTCCGTATGTCGCATTCCTAGGTTATAAATCATGTCATGTTCTGACAGTGTACAGATGGAAAGATTGTTGGTGTAAGATATTACGCAGGATACGCATCACCAGGTGGTATGTTCTTCGTTCTCGCCATCACATACTAGATACTCACAATTACACAGAAGCTGTTCTCTGCAAACGAGAACCCAACAACCAGGTTCGTGCTACCCCAAGTGGTCTCACTCTCTGTCAATATGGCGATATCATTCTACTGAACATATCTAACCTGCTACAGTACGATAGCAATGCTATTCGGGTAGACAACGTCCTTGGCCATCAGATCGGTCATATCCCTCGAAATGTCGCGTCAAAAGTCGCCCCATATGTGGTAAGGCAAACCATTGCGCACGTTGAACAGCCTCTGTCTGACACGAAACTCAGGATCGCGGCGATATCGTCCTCGAAGCCCAGCTCACGGGAGAAAAGGCTTTCTATGATTGTCCAGTTAAGCTCTTCTTCTATGGGCCTAGCGACCCGCAGGAGCGCTCCAGGATCGAGGAATTACTCAAAAAGGATAAGCTAGTCAAGGTGACTGAACTCAAGAACACTAGAAAGGAAGCTGAGGCCCGCAAGAAGGCTGCAATGGGTCTGAAGAGCGGCACCTCGACCCATGGAGTTGGTGATGCACTTGCTGTTCCCCAGAAGCCAGAGATCACCATGGATAATGTGCTCCAGAACAGTGAAGCTGTTGAGATGCGCAAAGGCGGTGATGCTATCAAGTCTCTTGCGATTGGTGAGGATGAGTTGGAAAAAATGCCAATGGCTGAGCAGCCCGAAGACCTCAAGGCACAGCTTTTGCCATACCAGCTACAGGTATGTTTCGTCGCGATAACACATGGACTCCACTGACTTGTTGAAGGGATTGGCCTGGATGACTGCCAAAGAAAACCCACGACTCCCACCCGAGGGTTCCAAGGAGCCTGTACAGCTCTGGCTGCAGCAGTCCAAGAAAAAGTTCTATAATGTTGCGTCTGGCTTCGTAACAAGTACCGCACCGAAACTGCTCTCAGGAGGTATCCTTGCCGACGACATGGGCTTGGGCAAAACTCTGCAGATCATCAGCTTGATCCTGACTGGTGGCAAGGGCCCAACTCTCATCGTTGCACCTGTCAGTGTCATGAGTAATTGGAGCCAGCAGATCAAGCGACACGTCCATGGCGACAAGCAGCCCAGCATACTCACATATCATGGAAGCGAAAAGGCGACAGCGAAACAGCTCCAGGGTTACGACGTTGTGATTACCAGTTATGGAAGACTGGCCAGAGAGCGTGATCAGGGTATAAATCGAGTCTTGACCTCGCAGCACATCAAGTGGCGCCGTGTGGTTCTCGATGAGGGCCACACTATTCGAAATTCCACTACAAAGGTGGCCCAGGCTGCCTGTGAGATCAATGCAGAGTCTCGCTGGGTCTTGACAGGAACCCCAATGTGAGTTACGCTCTACTTGAATGATATGCAAGCTAACCTAGGTAGTGTTAATTCGGTCAAGGATCTACACTCTCTTGTCAAGTTTCTTCACATCACCGGAGGTATCGAGCAGTCTGAAATCTTCAACGCGCAAATCAGTCGTAGACTGGCTTCCGGAGACAAGGGCGGTGAAACGCTTCTTCAGGCGCTCATGCACGACCTTTGTCTGCGTCGCAAAAAGGATATGAAGTTTGTGGATCTCAGGTTACCAGCCAAGAAGGAGTACGTCCATAGAATCCCATTCCGAAAGGATGAGAAGCGCAAGTACGATGCATTACTGTAAGTTTACATACCATGAGCACTCTGGATCAAATATTGACAAAGAAATAGGGATGAAGCCAGAGGCGAGCTTGAGCAATGGCAGGCAGGCTCCCAAGTCGGACAGAAGGGACGCTTCCAGAACGTACTAGAGCGCCTGCTTCGTCTTCGACAGATGTAAGACCACACCTTTGACACTATTTAAATATGTACTAACTAGGCTAGTTGCAATCATTGGACCCTCTGCAAAGAGCGTGTTAGCGATATTCTTAATCTACTCAACGAGCATGAGGTAGTTCCCCTCAACGACAAGAACCGTGGCCTTCTTCAAGAGGCTCTCCGTCTGTACATCGAAAGCCAGGAGGAATGCGCAATCTGCTATGACAAGCCAAACGACCCCGTTATCACAACCTGCAAGCATGTGTTCTGTCGAAACTGCATCACTCGCGCTATCCATATCCAGCACAAATGCCCAATGTGTCGTAACAAGCTCGAAGAGAGCAGCCTTCTCGAACCAGCGCCTGAAGATCCTGGCGAAGAAGAAGACTTTGACGCCGAGTTACAGAGCTCCAAGACGGAAGCGATGCTGCAGATTCTTAGAGCAACCATGCGCAAGGAAGGATCCAAGGTTGTTGTCTTCTCTCAATGGACGTCGTTCCTCAATATTGTTGAGGCACAGCTGAAAGCTGAGGGAATGGGTTACACACGCATCGACGGTAGCATGAAGGCGGACAGGCGTGACAAGGCCATTGAGGCTCTCGACAACGACCCCAAGACACGCATCATGCTCGCCAGCCTGGCGGTCTGCAGTGTTGGTCTCAACCTCGTAGCTGCCGACACAGTCGTTCTCTCTGACAGCTGTAAGTTTCCCCGTCTCTGTATTTTTAAGTCAACTAACACCAATTCTACAGGGTGGGCTCCCGCCATCGAGGACCAGGCTATTGACCGCGTTCACCGACTGGGGCAGACCCGTGAAACGACCATATTCCGCCTCGTCATGGAGGGTTCAGTGGAGGAGCGCGTGCTTGATGTACAGAGCGAGAAGCGAGAGCTGGTGACAAAGGCGTTCCAAGAAAAGAACTCCAAAAACAAGAAGCGCCAGACTACACGTGCAGCAGACATTTCCAAGCTGCTCGGCTAATAAGCCATGATTTGGGCGTTTAGGACAGGCGTTTGATTGTAGATATCCGGAACGGGGCTGTGAGAAGGGCGTTATTACATTACACGCAGCGTCATGAGTTCGGAGCTGTGAACCTACCGCACTCTCTTAGTAGGAGTTAATGTTACTCGCAGAGTCTATACTCTCTACAACTCGATGTTGTTTTTGCAACGAGCATTTTGCAATGGATTGAGTGCTATTATGGTAGAACTTGCTTACTGGTACCTCTTGGGCGCCGTAACATCACAACGTGGGGTTCTCGGAGTTCTAGAAAGTCAAGACATTGAATGGCATTTCTACTCATGTCGTTTATGCAATCTAGCTATGTGTATAGAGTACAATGGTGCTGTTTCTACCCGCCCAGCAAGGGCTAGTATACATAAAATATCGTCACACTCATAACAAACTCCAGTCCACTAGCTGCTTAATGAAGCCACCTAGCGTAGGCCCATCTGATACGCTCCAGTGCCCTGGTCTGCAGCTGGATACCCTTCATATTCGATAGGTCGTCAAGATCCTCGAGGAACTCCCTGCCAATCTCACGAGGCATGAGCTTGTCGACAAGGTTTCTGAGAATGTGGACTTCAGCGAGCAAGAGACCGTGATCCTTGTACGAGAGAAGATTAGTCTCTGTAGGTCGGGCCTCAGATAGAATGCGGTCCACATTGCGGAGAACACGGATGGCCTTGCCAGCCTTATGGGTTTGACGCTGTCCAGATCGTCCACCAAAGACGCCACGGAGGTATTGGAACAGGCTATACGAGACGAGAACACCGGGAGTAAGACCAACGAAACCGAAAACAAGTTCTTGGCTCTTGAGAAGAGAGTCAATACCAGTCATGGCAACCTCGAGGTCAACCTTTGTCTTCTGGACCTGGATAAGGAGGGACCGCACGAGATCTCCACGGATCGTACCCATGAAAGGACTTCGGAGATCTTTCTCGAAAGCTCGCAGCACAGGAGTAACATCGCCTTCAGCAACCTTGTGTCGGATATCATCCACTTGAATATCAGTCAGAGTGCTTCCAGCTTCCGTGGCGAAGTGCGGCTTATCGAGCGCAAAGTCAACTACCATACGCTCAAGGCTCTCGCGGTCGGCCTTGAGGCTATCCCTGCTCATGATTGCAATTTCGCTGGTCTTGTCGTGTCGAATAGTTGAAATAATCTTCGAAGTCGGTTCGATGACCCAGTTAAACCAGAAATCCCGGATAGTAGCGCCGAATCCAACGAACCATTCAATAATATCAGCTTTTCGGTTAACCAAAATACGTAGGACAGTTGTTGAAGAAAGAAGACCAATAATGGTAGGGAGCCAGTAACGAACGAGAGCACTGGGTCGACCGTTCTCTCTCGCCAATGCATGCATAGCAGTGAGGTGCTCAGGAAGAGACTTATCAATAATGGTGAGTAGTCGTCGAGCCAGGATAGCTGGTCGATCCGTGGTGGTGTTACCGTCCATGTGAACGGAGAGCTCAGGATCCTCCTCGACTCCAGCAAAAACCTTGTCCTCAAAATCGCTGATGTTAACATCTAGAGTAGAGACTTCTTTCAGAACCATATCGATGAGTGCAACACTGCGCTCGACGACACCCTTAAGATCGTGGTGGTCCTGAAGATCAGCTTTATCGTCATCAAGCCCAAATTGGAGACCTTCATCCATCAATACACCAAGACCACTGGCTGTGATTTCCCGCAGTTTCTTCAGCTGCGCCTGCTTGCGTCGAGCCTCTGAGCGAGACAAAGCAACCGGTGACAGAACTCTGCGTTGAATATTGGCGATTGACCGTTCCCGAATACTGTCTTGCACGATACCATAGAATTGAGACCACTGTAGCGAAATGTTTTCTGTTGTAGAATCGACGAGTTCGCCCGGGGCATGGTGAAGAGAACCTGCCTGAACCCGTAACTTGGTAGTAGTGTAGACTTCTTGGGACCAAGCCCAGACCCTTAGAGGAGACGTCTGAACAGCATAGAGACTACTGTAGGAATAGGTCCCCAAGACTTCATCCCAGTACCAAACATCATCATTAAGGGGGACGATTTGATCTAGGAGTGTGTTGAGGATAACACCATGGAGTTGAATGGTGGCTTTGCTCACGAGAAGCCACTCCAGCTCATTTTCGTAAGGACTCTTGGCGTCATCAGATTGAGTTTCCTTCACTGAGAGATTTGCAGGGGCAGGGATTTCAGATGAGGTAAGGAGATCTCTGATACGCCAAGCCGGTAGAAGAGGTTGCGAGGACGAGGTAGTACTCAGTGACTGAATGGTGCGAAGCAAGTGATCGAGACGCGGAGTTGAGAAGGCATTAGCCACAACAAAACCATGCTCTTCAGTCTCTGAGCGTTCATCTTCGGAAGTTGCCTCGGATAGAACTGGCAGACGGTCCAGGTAGGCGTCAAGCCGCCGCACTTGACTATAGGCACGGTCAGTGGCTTGTAGGATTGTGACAGTAGATGAACGCAGGAAGTACGAAGTTTTAAAAGTCAGGGATAGAGAAGATCAAGGTTGGGCAGACGAACTCAGAGACAAGCGTCATGGTAGGACCAAGGATAAGCTTGTTTAGATCTGATAGCTACGAAGCCAATGGCTAGAGCACCGCATCAGTCAGCAAGAACCCGGGCTCGTAAGACAAAGCAACCCTGTGCCGGGGATAGCGAGAGATGAGACGGGAGCTCGAGCTCCAGAAAGTCGGTGGAGAGCTCGGCAGGTAACCCCGGACGGGCGGCGGACTGTAACGGCGTTTGCGGCAGTTTGCGGCCGGTAGGTAAGCGCCGAATCACGGGGAACACGGACAGTAAGCTCGGAGGCTGCGCAGCCGCTGGACTGGGCGTCAGGTCGCGTGCGGATGGCGAGGGTGAGAGTGTGAGTGCAAGCTTCTCGAGAGCTTGTACAAGCTCAACATAACACGAATGCGATGCGGGAGATGAACCTAATGTGGGGAAACAGGCTATGGCATGATGCCACACGTCAATCAAGGTCCATTAAAATCAAGCACAACTGTTGGCTGTCGTAAAAACGGAAGCTGAATCAAACAGGGTAGAAACGCTATAAGGCTGTTTGCCCATCATATGACTTTGTATTGATCAATTGCACTTCTCTGAGAAGGAACGCACAATGTAATGCATAATAATGACATTGATACATGACGTGGTGTTCATGGGGAAAGAAGGTGTGAGTGGGTTGGGTTGGAGTTGCTCAGAGTGTCCTGGCTTATTCGTATTCGGATCGCTTTGTCAGATATCGCCATCTGAAACTGTCCAATCACGTGTAATAAAATTGTTCTCAAATCATGGGATTGCTTGCGAGTGCCAGATAAGTATCTTATTGCATCGATAAAGATACAATGCTGCCATGGTAGGTTTGATGCAGTCAGCTATGCGCATAGATACTCTACGCTTATGGTAGACTTCCATGTCATCACATGCAGTTCAGGGTATTCGTATTAGGATGGTGTCTGAGAACGCATTCTCAGAGCTCCATTAGATATGCTTGAAGCTATGCAATTGTGCTTGATTAGGTCTCGAATGCTGTTGAAACTTGAAGGACATATTGATAGACTGTATTGACAACTACATGATAACCTATACTGAGAAATTGAGACTCCTCCGCCGTTATGTACAATCCGTTACGATTTCAGACGGAGGGAGATATTCGATGACTCGTATTCGGTATCGCGTTGAGGCGTGCCGGGGAGTGAATACCACTAATCCCAATCCAGTATCAGCATGGTGCTTTTTCAACAGCCGGACAATAACGAAGAAGTCTCTGATCGCACCATCTAAGACGATTCCATTGCAAGGGGTTTAATTGAAATGCAGTGGAGGTGAACAATCGATTAAACCCGCTATTAATCGCACGAGTTGTAGGAACGAAGACGAACGGGAGAGGCGTAGAGGATGAGAAGAGATATGTTCTAATTATTCTAAACCGAAAACGAGAAAAAGTGAGTTGCGCTGTGCCACGCGGAACAAGGCGACAAATCTGGAGTAAGGGGGTGTTCTATCCGTATGACCCAGCAGATCGGAATTGATAATCGGATACTTTGCCCCTCGACCTGATCGGCACTCAAGCAGTGGGTATCTATTTAACGATTTTTTCTTGTTGCCTCACAACGCTTTACCAATAACACACCACTTTCCCCGATTCCTTGACGTCGGGAAGAGAGCCCTGCCGACGCTTTCAGGGACTTTTCCATCGAACGGTCGGCAATACATGGACTAAGATGAGATCCTAGGCTCGCAGACCCCTGTGCCAATATGCTATCATACAGGACGCATTGAATGTAAACATCACCTGTTATTATGAGGATACGGACAGACTTGTTGCAGGGATACTGCAGGTACTCAGACAGGACGGGAACAACAGTTACTCAAGGACTTCTAGATCAATTTCACCTTGGTGAACAAGACTGAAGATGCACCAATCAGCATTTGTAGTGGCAAGTGCATCAGGCCTGATTGAGATCTTCACCGCCCTCAATCGCATATAATACCAAGCCGCTGTAAAAGAGGCGGACAGTGCCTCTAGCAGCCAGCCGACCCCTAGTCTTCGAAGGAAAAAAAAAGATTAAACAACCACGGATCCATTACAAGGACTCTCGGATGATCCGACTACATTCCTTAAAATTCCCGTGACATCCCCGCGAATTCAATAGATTCACATACGATTTTCCTTGGGGCGGTGACAATCATCTATCGATTAATGTTGGCTTTGACTGCTTAACTGGGCCCGGATACCGGAAAGACAATCTGGTTGTGGCCTCATTCTGGAACCATTTCTAGCTGCCATCTGCTATCGAGGCTGCCGAGTGCACGGGCCAGATAAAGCTCAGGGGTCCTCTGATGTGGTTGGCTGACTGCCACAGGGTTTGGAGATTTCAAGTCCCTGATTCGGATTAGTTACAGGGTGTGTGATGGCAAATCTGAGGTGCAATTTTCGCGACGGTGCAGAGTACGTACCGTCACAATGCGAAACGGTGCAAGAGCTGGGTCTTTTTGCTTTGCTTTCCTGCTGTAAACTTCCATCTGTAGGTACCCTAACGTATCCGTAATGGAAGTTAGGGACGCTGGGCGTGTGGCCAAGCCAAGACAAGGCCCGCTGCCCACCATTTTCAATGGGGACCCCCCTTTGAGATTCTTTGGGCCGGGCGATCGAGGAAATGATAAAACCTCCCCAACAGCCACCGTCTTGTCTCCTTTTTCAACACCGCCATCGCCATTGTCGACCTTTCCCTAATAACAAGAGCCGCCTTCCTCGACGACTCTTGACTTGACCTGGTGTCTGCTGGTGTCTTACTTCTTTCCCTAAAGGATCATTCTTTACTCTACTCTTGTCATAAGTTAACACCTTCACCATGGATGCGCTGTGAGTATCCCTTATATTGCAATGCAAATTGCGCCAATGGCTCAGAACACTTTCTAACATGATTTTCTCCAGAAACGCGACCACTTTCGCGTCCTTCAACCAGACCAAGGACTACTTTGTTGTCCTTGAGGAGGTTTCCAAGTACAATGTTCAGCTCAACTTTGCCGAGAAGCTCTGGGCCGTATGTCCATCCGATCCCTATCGCGAAACACAAACACCAATACTAACAACCAATTCAGGCTTGGTACCTTTGGATGCAGAACGACACTCTTGCGACCGGTATCATGAGTTTCGCCCTCCACGAATTCGTCTACTTCGGCCGCTGCATTCCCTTCATGCTGATGGACTACATCCCTTACTTCCAACAATTCCGAATTCAAAAGCAAAAGGTTCCTACTCTCAAGGAGCAATGGGACTGCGCCGCCATTGTTCTCATTAGCCACTTCACCGCCGAACTTCCTCAGATCTGGTTCTTCCACCCCATCGCTACCTACCTCGGTATGGACTACGGTGTGCCTTTCCCTCCTGTGTGGAAGATGGCTCTCCAAATCGTTCTCTGCTTCATCATGGAAGATGCCTGGCACTACTGGTTCCACCGTGCTCTGCATTACGGTCCTTTGTACAAGGCTATTCACAAGATGCACCACACCTACTCTGCTCCTTTCGGTCTCGCCGCTGAGTACGCTTCGCCCATCGAAACCGCCCTCCTCGGAATTGGTGTTGTCGGCTGCCCTGTCGTCCTCCTTGCCATCACTGGCGAGCTCCACCTTTTCACCATGTACACCTGGATCACCCTCCGTCTTTTCCAGGCCATCGACTCTCACAGCGGCTACGACTTCCCCTGGAGTCTGCGCCACTTCCTCCCTGTCTGGGCTGGTGCCGCTCACCACGATCTTCACCACGAGAAGTTCATTGGCAACTACTCCTCCAGCTTCACCTGGTGGGACTACTGCCTGGACACCGAGGCCGGTGCTGATGCTCACAAGCGCCGTCGCGAGAAGAAGCTCGCTGCCATCAAGGCCCAGAAGCAGCAATAGATTGCTGTAGAGAAAATCTGGCACACCGACAAGTAATCGATTGCGGTGAATCGAGTCTGGCTATGCCAGGATTTCACGACCATAAACAAAAGAGAAGGGTGTTGATCATGATGGAGACTTAGACCGGTCGCTCAGCAGACATGCATCGTCTGCATTGCTGTACTTGCGACTCGAGCATTCGCACGGCGTTTGGGATGTTAATAAGAACGACTTTTTACGCTTGCATATACAACCATTGCCCCGGAGAGGCTTTTAGACATATTTAATAATCAACTTCGTTCGTTGTCTACCTTTTAGCTCGTACCAGTGATTTCCATCATGACACCTATCATGAGAAGTGATGGCCTTGTTCTGAACCTTAAAGATATGTAGATACCCCCTTCTGGATCTTTTAAGTCCAGTAAACTCTCCCTTGATAAAGCTTGAAATATGGCTCCTCAATAAACCTTCAGCTTCCTCTGGGATCTCCCTAGCCTCGGCGTGTCAGAAGAATTGGCCCTTGGAGGCTTAAGAGACGAAATCATTTGGTCACTTTATGTCAGCTTAGAGTAGCTCTTCGGTTAACTTATTTTGATAACCTAAGCCTCAGAGGACAATTCTTCTGCAACCCACCTGGCTAGGTAGGTTTATATAGAAATCGTCTCCTCCTTCATGCCGGACGCTGCAAGCTCTCTTCACGATGACGGTCTGCATGATACAAAACCCTACCATGAAAGTATGGTGCCATATTGGCCAACTGACTCATTCTACCTGCCTGCTCTTTGTAGTTGTATGAACCTCGTCTTGATATTAAGACAACAATACTATAGTACAGATTGCCGACATGTATCATACTATTTACTCTTGGGAGTGCAGCAGTCTCCCGCTGCTCCAGCTGCCTGGTCCGCCAAGCCACGAATCGCACAGCTTTGATCTCCCTTCTCGGCCGTAGATGGGGTCTCCGGCTCCGGGGCCAGCTCGCCTAGTTGTGCTGCGAGAGCGTCGCATTGCGCAGCCATGGCGATGTCCTTATCTGAGAGACCAGCCGGGTTGTGCGTTGTCCAGCGAATGAAGGTGGTGTTATAGACCTTGTTTCATTATTAGCTATCTGAGATGACTTGAATATATGAATATTCTCACGTTGGACCATTCTGGGTGGTGGTTTTTGATCTTGCATTGAAGCGAAACTCCTGTCATGAAATCCTGTGTTGTATTAGCCAGCATGCTCATACCTTTGGCTCATATTTCCCGACTACAGAACACCAACATCACCCACGGCTGGAAACGCTCATTGGACTAGACTCACCCATGTCTTGCTAAAAGTCTTAAACTTGAATTGCCTTTCTAGAGCTGTGCCATCCTTTGCCAGTGTCCAACGTCCACCCTCGGAAGTGAGCAGAGCATTCAGCGCCGGCGTCACACTCACGGCGTCGGTACCAGCAGAGAATCGTGGTTGGGCCATAGTCGATGCAAAGCGGAATAGTGATGGAATGCGAGCTGAGGGCTGGAAAGGGCGCATGATAGGGCGCAATCAGTTAAGGTCGCTGGTGATAGCGGGTTGGTTGATGAGGCTGAAAGGATTGGGCGATGAGAGGCAAAAATGGAGTGAGAGGCAAGATCGAGTGTACTTTTCGCTCTGCCTGTTATGGGTGGAGTGCTGTGTACCCGCTAACACATGCATTGATGATCTGATTGATACAGATCATGAAGGTCTCTTATACGTTAAAAGGTCTTAGAGTATGTTCAGAAGTTCAAAAGTCGAACTCGCAGTTTTGAAAGTAGTCTGAATGTTCCGATTGTCACCTTTGTAGCTCTGTTGCCTATCTAAGTGGTTACTGTCGTCGAGTCGTAACCAGGCCACGGGTAGGTCTCAAGCCTATGAAGGTCAATGGTTATACCTACATCAGTAGCACTTCACTGCCGCATCTTGCATGGCGAATCGATGGATGACTTTCAATATATGATGGATGGAATCAAGTAAGCCGCCATGCGTTCCTACACGACAGATGCTGCTGAGTACCCGATACAATGAAAATATGACAGCTAGTGCACACCCTCACAGGATATTAACAAACGCCTATGTGCAACGGGTAAAGTAAACATCGAAAGTTAGTCATTGCGTCCGTCGGCGGTGATTATAACTCATGGTGGAATAAACCCCCTCTCTTGATCAGCCCGTATAGCATCTTCTACTTACACCACTCCCACTTGTATCTCGTGCATGTTATTGGGGGCCGGAAACCTCGGAAGAGGCACTAGATCCATTGGGTAGCTCTAACGAGGCGGAAGAGATTGAAGAGCTTGAATACCTGATATCCACAAGGCGCAAAATGATTTTATGGAATAGTAAGATGGCAGCATATTATGGCAGGACATCGGTGTCTATAAGGCGTGAATTCAGCTTCGGCGACCTCGACAAACAAGCCAGCTAAAATATTAGTCGAAATCAGAACCACGTGAGTCCCGAGTAAGCGCTCTTGTATGCGTGCATAGTTTAGTAGCCATCTGTAAGATCTCTTGTTCGATAGAAGTACAATGCAGTGTTGAGTTAAGGCGGATGTATATATGTGGCGCTTCTTAATCAGGCACTTGGGACTTTGTGATTTCAGCCCCTGTGATATGCCGGAATCAAAAGAATTTGTGCATGGTTCTGCTGCGAGATTTAACGTCACATTATATTTCTTTATACGCCAGGTCAGATCAAATCATTCTGAAGTTAAAAAGCCATGATAGCCATATTTGGACCTTTGTGCTCGTAAGTGGGGTTGTCGCACATGAGGAAGGTACAGAGGCGCAGGTGCAGTTGCAGGTGTTCGGTGGTCCTAGCTCCTTGCCTTAGGCTGCTCCTTGTCTCTTGTCCGCTGACAAATATTTTCCCTACTGCAACAACGTTCCCTTCTTGCATCAGTCAGCAAATCCATCCAATCTTCTCATCCGAGCCCATCGTTTATTCCCATCGCGTCAAGTATCATATTGGCCGGTGTCGGAAATAGAAAGAGACATAGAGAGAAGGGGCATTGTGATTGTTTTTTCTTGAGAAGGGATCGTCAATCTGAAAGCTTCCCAACAAAATCACATTGGTCCGTATCAGTTGACGCGTCTTTGTTACTCGAATTGAGGCTTCACCAAAGATTACATTACGGCTGAGACAGTATACCTGACTTGGATTCCAAACGAACCAGTTCGCGCGTGTTTTGAGCTTTCCGCACGAGCCGCCGAAATCGTCGTCAGCACTGAGAAAGTTCGTTTTAGTTGAGAACCAGAACCAGAGACGGCTTCGAGTTCCGTACGTGCGTACAGTAACAACGCCCATCCGCCATCAGATTGCAGATTGCAGAAGCGAGCAAGCGACAAGCGAGCGATTGACCAAACCAATCTGTTCAGCTAAACCTATCTAAGCCTAGGTTAACCTAGTCCGTCAAGCAAAGCGGAGAGCAGAAGCGTCCCCGGCCCAGCCACGCCATTTTCCGACTTGATCACCACTCACACGCTCATTCAAAAGGTCTACGGATCCAGGTTACATAATCCATCTCTCTTCCACCGGCCTCTCCTCACTCGTGCTCCGTCAGTCAGCGTCAGGTCCCCCCTCGTCGCAGTAATAATCATCGCCCTGGGTCACTACTACTTGGATGCTGAGTCAGACTCTCCCCCAGAGCTCAAGCATGCAGAACTCCTCAGCAAGCGGCGCCAATAATCAAGGTTAGTCAAGACAACTCTTTTTTACTTTTCTCTTTCCTTTCTTATTGTGTCTCGTCTGTTTCCTTGTCCGAGCGCGTCTTGGTTCCTGTTCTGAAACTAGGAATCTGTCTATTATCTATACTACACTACACTGCGCCTCACTTTGGCCTTGGTCACTTGCGACACTCATAGCGCTCCTTGTATCTCTCTACCGTCTGAATAGCATCCTTGTCGCGTTTTCGCGCAACCCGATATACAATACACTTATAGCTCATTATTCTCATCACTTGGACACAATACCCATTTTCGGCTCTTTCGGTTCCGCTTCTGCTTCAATTACTGTTGACGTAGCTGTTGAGCGCATTGGCTAAACCCGACCCCTCCAAATAGAGCAGCATCTGCGCGCACAGCTCGAGCTCCTCAAGAGCCACGACGCGACAGGCTCATCCTCGCCGACCTCTCCTGCTCCTCGTGATACCCGGCATCAACCTCTTCAGCCGGCTCCTGCGCGGCCGTCGAATGGATTCGATCATTCGCCCAATCCTCAAGATCAACCCCGAGCTATAGCCGTCAAGAGCGAGGTCGAGTCTCACATCCATCCTGAGCTTCGCGCCCGAGCCAACAACGCACCTACCGCAAACATGATGCCCATCGTTCCTCCATCCGGGCATAGTCCAGGCGCATCTGCTGGACCATCGACCGCTCCAATTGCCCCCGCGCCCCCGCCTCACATGTCGCCGGACGATCATGGTGAAGGTCGCAGTAAAGCCAAACGTGAACTGTCTCAGTCAAAGCGCGCAGCGCAAAACAGGGCTGCCCAGGTAAGCTTCTAGACTCTGGTTCAGTCCAGCGAGATCGAACTACTACTCGTCGAGCTATTTGACCAACAATTCATCAATAGAGAGCGTTCCGACAGCGAAAGGAGGGTTATATCAAGAAGCTCGAGCAACAAGTACGCGAACTCAATGAGATGGAACAGTCTTTCAAGTCACTGCAATCTGACAACCATTCGCTGAGAGAATACATTGTTCACTTGCAATCAAGATTGTTTGACGTGACAGGCGAATACCCCCCGCCTCCTCCGAATGTTGACGTTGCTCAACCTGCACATCAACCATCGGCCCCGGCCCCTGCACCAGTTCCGGCGCCCGCCCCAGCGCCAGCTTCGATTGCTTCTGCCCCTCCCGAACCTGCACCTACAAACTCCGCCGCCGGAACACCATTGGAAGCTGTTGCGCAAGCCGTTGCGGGTCTTGCGGCCCAGGAACAGATCGAGCGTCAACAATACTCTACGGCGCACGAATAATGAGTTACGACAATGTACGTCGAAGTTTGGTCTTTGTTGATGGTGACAATAGCTCACAACACCAGATTGGGTGTCTACAAGATCCAAAAAATCTGCAATTCATCTACTGAGAATGAGAGCGATCGAGTTTGAGCAGCACCACGAGGAGCGGAATTGATTCCAAAGAACACGATGAAAGTAAGAAAGGTGGTTTTGATATCCAAGATGGTGTATATTTTGCGACTCTCTGACAGAAAGGTACAGTTTGGAGTGAACAAGCTGTGCCACGCCAACCAGTGTTCTTGGCCGCATGGAACTCATGTGTGATGGCGGACACGTCAGTTTTTATGGTGCTTTGTTCTCGATGAATCTTCTGGCTTGTATGCACAGGCATATATGGAGTGTAACGAGTCTGTTAAGATCATGCCATAGAGAGACATCCTCCATTGAAGGATGACAGGATAGAAGCAGATCAGTGTTAATAGTGGGAGTTAGGGGTTTTGGTAGCAATAGAGGGTCTTGTTTTAACATACTTCTGGTGTGATCATTATGCGGATGGAATTCCATTGGTGTTTAAGAGGAAGATGAGAGATTCTGTGTATTTTGTGTGTATTTATTGAGAGAGTCCATCCACAGTTTGATATCATTGTCGTCGATCACTGACCAATAAGCTTACACTGTGACCGTCCGACCGTCCGCTGATGGGCCGTCTCTAGGTCGCCTCCGCATAAGATAAGCAGCTTCATCCTCAATGCCATGAAAGTCGAAATCCAGGTTGAAACACTCGACCTATCCTACAGCGTACCTTCATTATCAGATCAATGATTTGAGGCTTCGCTACAAAGATTGTAAATGGTGGCTTAAAGATCGCACTCAACAGATAAAGCTAGATATGTTCCTGAATAATAATGAGAACAACATCGACTATATTTCCAGAACCACAGTACCTGGATTGATTTGGGGCTTTCAGTAATGGATGATATTAGTCACGTGCGTTGTTGATCTATCCAAGGTTATAGTCAAAATGCCTGTACGCAGTTTCCACTAACATCCATAACTTGGAAGTTGTGTCAGATTCATTTGTCATAGTCGTCGCCCACTCTAAGCCATGGAGGACCACCGGTCCCTACCAGTATCTCATAGGAAAAGGCGCGAGAAACCTATCCTCAGTTGTACCTTTTGCAGGGGGCGCAAGTAAGTCTTAACACGAACAAAAAAGACTGGATATTGATCCGTCATTGTGGTAGACTTCGATGTGATAGGCAGTCTCCATGCGGTGCTTGCGCACGACGGAGCAAGCCAGATGAATGCACGTTTACTTGCTCAGAACAAGAGCGTCAGGATGCAGTGGATTATAGGCCTCATAATAGGACGCAGAAAGCGCGCCAGAGGATCGCTCGCCTTGAGAATCTGGTGACGGAGTTGAGAGATAGGACTGTGAACCCGAACCAGAATTTGGACGATACACCTCTGTTGAGCAATGACTTGGTTCGTTCAGAGCCTTCTCTGACATTACCATCAACAACTGGTAGTATGGGGAATTTAAATCTCACAGAAGAACGGTCTGTGTATACTGGTAGTTCCCACTGGGCTACTATCCTGGAAGATGTAAGTCTGGCCATCCTTGCTGGTGACCTCAAAATAATAACAGGATCCTAGATTCAACAACTCAAAGATGACCTCTCTGATGACTTTTCGGAGAGTGTCGATGGAGTGTCTCCCCCTTTTGACGGTTTCAACAATCAACCGTTAGCGCCGAGAATCTTTCTACTCAGCAGTGTTACTTGTTTTTCGACGGAACAGATATTGACTATGCTGCCTCCTCGAATAGTGGTTGATAGATATATCTCACATTATTTTAATACGTTTGACTCAAGTAGGCCTTCGCTCCCCGTTTTTCGAGGTCCATGGCTTACCTGGCATGCCAGCCTTTCTACATCGAGGTAAATTCCTCGCAGAAGTCAGGTTTCTCCAGACACCACATACTATCCAAGCTAACCTCATCCATAGTATGCAAACTTCTGGGCCAACCCCTCAGTCACGCCTATCAATTGGTTGGGACTGCTCTTCAGCATTATGAGCATGTCCGCATCTATCCAAAAGACAGAGCTAGGCGCCCATGACCCATCTGCTCAAGAATTGCAGGCAAATCTTGAGACGTTCAGAACACTGACCATCCACTGCTTGGTTGCCGGTGACTATTTGCATGCTAGCAGGTACGTCGTCGAGACGCTGATGCTGCATTTTGCTGTTGACCAGCATGCCAATATTGCCACACATATGGGTAGCTGGATTCTCATGGGCGTCATCATCAGAGTTGCTATGCGTATGGGTCTACATCGCGAACCATCACACTGGCCAGGCATCCGGCCTTTGCAAGCCGAGCTTCGGCGACGAGCTTGGACATTTCTGTATAGCGTCGACTTCTTCACCAGTACCCAGGTCGGACTGCCACGCATTATCAAAGACTCTCAGTGCGATACGCGCCCTCCTTCGTATTTACTGGATAGTGATATCAGTACTGATAGCGGCGTTCTTCCACCCGAGAGGCCATTCTCAGAACCTTCCATGCTGACATTCTTTATCAAGAGGCATGGTGTTATCAAAGTAGCAGCTGAGATATACGATACTACCGAAGCCGGACCTCCATCGCCAGCTGCTGTTACCGCCCTCGAGGCCAAGCTTCAAAGCGTCGTTGATGCTTTGCCTGCTTGGCTCAAACCAAAGCCACTTGAAGAGTCAATCGCAGACAGCCCTTCTATCATACTGAACCGCATGATGCTGGATATCATTATCCAAAAGGCCATATATCTCCTCCACCGGCATAGCTTTATCAACAGTTCAGCCGGGGAAGATAATTCCAGGTCTCATGAAGTATGCATCGGGGCAGCTCTCGCAATTCTAGAGTATCAGCGGCGCATGCAGGAGGAGGCTCAGCCTGGAGGTCTCATGTACGCCATCCGCTGGAGAATCTCTGCACCGCTTAACCACGACTTCCTCCAAGCCACCATGATGCTGTGTCATTCTTTGAGTAGATACGATGCAAGACGTGCTCTAGATAGGCGAGAAGATATCTTGCAAGCTTTGATTGTGGCTAAGGATATTTGGGAACAAAGCTCGGACAGGTCGACTGAAGCACAGAGGGCTATAAAAGCCATCTCAGTCATGCTGGAACAGGATCGAAAGAATTCAGCTTCTCTTCCAGTCCAGTCGTTTGGTAAGAAGGCTTAATCGATCTTCAAATCTTGATCTTGCTGCTAATCATCATGTCGATAGTTCCTGAGGCCTCGTTCTTTAAGCCAGCGGAAGATACTTTCGATGTCTTCGACAACACTTTCGGTCAAACCATGGCATTGGATCCGTCATTTTTCTCAGTCCAGGATGATATGCCGACATTGAGCAGTGTTATAACTGGATATATGACTGATACAGTTGCTCCTGGTCTTTCGGGTGCATTATTCGAAACCATGAGTTGAATGGAGTCTTTGTTAAACTATGAGTCAAATCGTAGGGGCGTGAGTCTTTGAACAGTTCCGAAGTCTTCCTATAGCATCGCCACTTCGTCAACCTAGGAATAAATCGTGACTTTGTCTGTCAAAGTCATGGATAACGTGGATGTAGGAATAAAGAATGCGAATCATTATCGAAGTGGGTTGCTGGCCCCATATTCACCCGGAAGGCGGCGCTGCCCCGGCCTAAATTTGATCTGCCTTGCCCCTGGAAACTTCCAGGATAGGTGACAAACTTATCGATAAGGCTCTAGAATTCTAGCGATAGGCGGCAGTTACGATGGCGATAGAACGCTGTACTTAGCTTTATTTCAGACTGGCTTACAAATCGACGTCATATCACCAGAATTGCAAAGTATCGTGTTTCTAAACTATCAGTTTCTCGATTTTTGCCTGTCCTGTATTGTCATTCTTTTGACGTTAATTGCTGAGACTATTCACTTGTTATTTCCCCGAGACCGCCGACTTGGTTCCCGTCTTATTCCTTGAGGGACCTTAATTTTTTGGCCGCCACACCCGACCACAAAGACATCCATTCTTTTGACACTGCCAGTGGCGCCATTCAATGTCGAGCGATCCCAACGATCAACAGCAGTCGGCTGCGGCCGCTTCTGCTGTTCCTGCATCGTCAGTCGTAGGAGGCTCTGCTGAGCCGCCCAAAAAGATCCCCAAGGGTGTTGTACTGGGCCCTGATGGCAAGCCGTAAGTTTCATAGTGGCAGACGCTCTGCACATGGGACCCAATTCAACTGACACTATCTTAGATGCCGAAGCTGCACTTCTTTCTCCGCATGGGCTTCTCAAACCAAGAGCACTCTCAAACAAGATGCCGCAGTAAAGACTCAGCGTCCTCCGTCAGAGTGTCCTCCGGATGTTGAGGTGCTAGGCAGGAGTACCTGGACGCTGCTTCACTCTATCGCAGCTCAGTACCCCGAGAAGCCATCTACTGGTCAGAAATCAGATCTTCTGAGCTTTGTTGGTCTATTCTCCAAGCTCTATCCATGCTGGGTATGTGCCGAGGACTTCCAGGGCTATCTCAAGCGTGAAGCGCCACAGGTCAACAGTCGAGATGAGTTCGGCAAGTGGCTGTGCGGCGCTCACAACGACGTCAACCGCAAGCTTGGCAAGCCCGAGTTTGACTGCTCCAAGTGGGAGGAGCGCTGGCGTACAGGCTGGAAGGACGGCCGGTGCGATTAAGCTGTAGCTGTCGCTGTTCTGGCCTGAGCTGAAGTTAAGGCTGGGCTGGCTGCTGGATCGACGGTCGGGCCGGGAGCTTAGCGCGCATACCGATATAAGATCAGTCTCGACTCATTTTGGTTTCAAAGAACAGGGGGCCTTCGGTGTGCGGTGTACGATTTTGGGAATGACATGATCGACCGCCGTTGGACGTTGTGTGGATACACGTCGTGGGTGGCCAGTGCCGGGCCGATGAAGCGGCGGGATGGCAACGACATTGGCTGCAGACATAGAAAGAAAGGATGCGTAAATGGTTTCAATGTCGACAAGCGGAGCATGGGAATCGCCGATTCTGTATGATTTAACATGGAACATGAGCTGTATAGTATAGTGTGGGTGAGGGCTGAAGCGATGACTGCATAGAATCTCGTCTCAGGATTGTTTTGATATAGATGTATAACAATTTTAGAACTTAGAACAAAGGACTTTATCAGCAGTTCGTAGCTCACCCTATAGTGAACGCTTCTGAATAAATGCTAACTTGATACTTCGCCGCCAGTTGCGGCTCCGTGAATATACTGAACAGCTAACCCTGTAGGTGAGGTTGATATCGAGTCAGATCAGGACAGCTCACGTATAAGCCACCACGATGAATGCAGTTAAATCCAGGAACCAAATAGGAGTGGCATTTTCAGGGACCTGGTCTCGCCAGTCTCACCCTCTATCTTTGCCTCGTGCTGTCGTTTCGACTCGACCCGAGTATCCCTGCTATTTTCGGAGAACTCCCTTTAGGCGCGATAAAAATGATCTGACATGACAACGCCGTACAACGCAACTACCGATCCGCTATTTTGGCAAAATATCCAACAATGAGCTCGAACGGTATGTCCTACGGTGTTGTACTGTACTGTAAGGCTAGGACCAAGGTGGTGTATGGATAGATTTCCAAATCTCAGGTTATCTTACCCTGCAACATCCCATCTCGCAGCCAATGCTTGTCATTGCCCCTCTGAATCCATGGTTTATTCTCGGTCGTCAAGAAATAGTTATCATCGTCCCGCAATTGTAGCACCATATTAGTTAAGTGGTGAGTATTATTCCGACGGCAATGAGCGGAAAGCATAGGAAAGAAGAGGCTTGAATGAACAGATCGAATGTCGATAGTAGGATATAGTACGGCATGAAGTCAAAGGGCCTTTTACGGAAACAAGACCCTTGTCATGAGTCATCCTAAATATTTATCGCCATAATTGTTATTGTATGGCCTTTTCTTGATCAATTGAAACGTCAATGGATGGGATGGTGGTTGTTTGAGATATTTTTCTCGGTGTAATGTATAGTCATCTCTTGCCTCAGCATGACTACGCATACGTAGTCACCGACAATCATGAACGTAACGGTCGCATGCAAGATGCAATGCAATGCAACGCGTTGCTTCTCACTGCCGTTATGGACAGATCCTCCGATGATATGTTTGAATTGCACATGGCAGACCTCAGTGTATGTACATGTGTTGTTTATGAGGCTATATTCAAGGTTGTTGATTCATGACATCCACCACCATGGTCCAGGTAAGAGAAAATACATGGTCCCTGAATCTGATGCGCACTTGAACCCCCGTTGAATCAATTGCTGTAACGTAGTGTACCTAGTCTAGTCTATCGTAAAACAACGCCATTGCCCATCCCAAGAAGTGAGGTGAGTGTAATTCTTTACGGCATGGTCCCGGCCGGTTGTCGGCCGCACAGCTCCGGACTACCCGGTCGACGAGACTTCAACACCAAGAAAAGGAAACGGATGGAATGGGATTGTGGCTAGTGGAACAAGTGCTGTAAAATTCTTATCGATAATTATTCCACTCTGATTTTGGCATGTTTCTTTGCTTTTTTCCCTCGTCTTGGCAATATCGTCCCGTAGATAACCCCCTGTTGAAGAAGCATCCGATTTCTCTACAAGAGATCCACTCATCCTGTAGCATTGACAGCAATACAGCCTAAGCAATGTTTCTAGATGTTCTTAGACCCATTCACCTTCCAAGTCTGCCCGATTGGGAGGCCCCGTATCAAGGCACATGGCATCATATGATTTTCTTGCTCGTCGCAGTTCACCGGAGATGGACAGTCTACAGTAAAAAGTCACAGTGAGGATACGGGAGAGATACAGAGCTACTGCACCTACTAACCGTAGGCGTCGTTAGTGGAAGAGCCGCCTGGGTCTCCCGCTCAGTGGCGCTGAAGAGGATGGAATTACATCACCATCACATTTTACTGACTGAGTTGTCGACCTGGAAGCTCACCACTCGAATTTTTTTCCATAGCATAGCCCGTTCAGCCCGTTCCGCCCGTCAATCAATTGGATGGACCGCTACTCACATCGCGGTTTCGGCCGCTTGATTACGGGCGCGAGCGATAAAATATCGTGACTTTGACCTGAGAGTAACGGTCAAACAGTAACTCAATTGATCTTGTTTGGCTTATGCCCGTCTTGTCTCCCTGACAGGTCCGATTACACTCTGGGTCCAGGATCCAAGTCCGGGCTGGGCTCATCGGATTATGTACAGTATGGTCTTATTTTTGGGCAATTAATCAGATCAGATCAGATCAACCCATTTGAGGTTTGGGATTCAAGAGGGAGCAAGCAGGGGCCTCCCATTGGTGACATGTCGAGTCTACACCCAATTTTTTGGTGTTGCTGCATCCCGTCTGCATCTGTACTGTATACGCCTCCACTATTGGAAGCTTCACCTGAGGTGCCTTCCTTGATACCTACTACTTCCATTGTGGTGTCGTCAACGGAAGGTACAGAGTATAAACACCTTCCTTCCCCCTCCTCTGCCGTGTCTTCTCTTCCTTCCTCATCATTCCATCGATCACTCAATCAATCCTCTACCAACCAATTCCATTCCGCTTGGTTGTCTTGGTTACTTAACAACCCAGACATCCTATCTCCTCAACCAACCAACCTATAAATAAGCTTCGAGCTTCTTACCTTTACCTTTACCCCTCCAACCTTATTTCACCTACAATACTCTACCTACCGAATAAACCGCAATCATGAGCAACAGCAGCCTCCAAAAGCCCATTGATGTGGCTGAGTACCTCTTCAAGCGACTCTACGAGGTCGGCGTTCGATCTGTTCACGGTGTTCCCGGTGACTACAACCTCGTCGCCCTCGACTATCTTCCTCAATGCAACCTCAAGTGGGTTGGCAGCGTTAACGAGCTCAACGCTGGTGAGTTTCATCATGACTTCACTTTATGTGAATAGCTTCGCCATATTACAGTTTACTGACAACGACTTACAGCCTACGCTGCCGATGGATACGCCCGTGTTACCAAGATGGCTGCTCTCGTCACCACCTTCGGTGTTGGTGAGCTCTCTGCCATCAACGGTGTTGCTGGATCTTACTCTGAGCACATTCCCGTCGTCCACATTGTTGGATGCCCCTCTACCATCTCTCAGCGCGACCAGATGCTTCTTCACCACACTCTTGGTAACGGTGACTTCGATGTCTTTGCCAACATGAGCTCTCAGATCTCTTGCAACGTTGCCAAGCTCAACAAGCCCTCCGAGATTGCTGAGCAGATCGATACTGCTCTCCGCTCTTGCTGGCTCCGCTCTCGTCCCGTTTACATCATGGTCCCTACCGATATGGTCCAGGAGAAGGTTGAGGGTGCCCGCCTCGACACCCCTATCGACCTCTCTGAGCCCCAGAACGACCCCGGAAACGAGGACTTCGTTGTCGAGGAGATCCTCAAGGCCATGTACGCCGCTAAGCGCCCCGTTATCCTCGTCGACTCTTGTGCTATCCGCCACCGTGTTGTTGAGGAAGTTCACCAGCTCATTGACAAGCTCGACCTTCCTGTTTTCGTCACTCCCATGGGTAAGGGTGCCGTGAACGAGGACCACCCCAACTACGGCGGTGTCTTTGCTGGTGACGGTTCTCACCCTGCCCGTGCCCAGACCATTGTTGAAGATTCCGATCTTCTTCTCACCATTGGTGCTCTCAAGAGTGATTTCAACACCACTGGTTTCTCCTACCGCACATCTCAGATCAACTCGGTTGATTTCCACAGCACACACTGCAAGGTCCGATACTCCACATACCCCGGCGTTGCTATGCGCGGTGTCCTCCGCAAGATCATCAACAAGGTCGACCCTAAGCAAATGCCTTCTCCTTCCATTCCTGAGGTCAAGAACGAAGTTGAGAAGAACAACGACGACTCCGAGATCATCACACAAGCCTGGTTCTGGCCTCGCGTCGGTGAATACCTCATTCCCAACGATATCGTTGTCACTGAGACTGGTACCGCCAACTTCGGTATCTGGGACACTCGATTCCCTCGCAATGTCACCGCCCTCAGCCAGGTTCTCTGGGGAAGCATCGGCTGGTCCGTTGGTGCTTGCCAGGGTGCTGCTCTCGCTGCTAAGGATGCTGGCAAGGACGGCCGAACAATCCTCTTCGTTGGTGATGGATCTTTCCAGTTGACTGCCCAGGAACTGAGCACCATGATCCGACATGGCCTCAAGCCCACAATGTAAGTTTTGATTACTACTCATATGTCAGTTTCTGTACTAACTTTAGTCTCAGTTTCGTCATCTGCAACGATGGTTTCACCATTGAGCGATTCATTCACGGAATGGATGCTGTCTACAACGACATCAACAACTGGAAGTACAAGGATCTCGTCAGCGTCTTTGGCGGCGAGAAGACTTGCAAGACCTTCCAGATCAAGACCAAGAACGAGCTCAACGAGCTTCTCACCAACAAGGACTTCAACGCTGCCGATTGCTTGCAATTCGTCGAGCTCTACATGCCCAGGGAAGATGCTCCTCGCGCTCTCATTCTGACCGCTGAGGCCAGTGCCAAGAACAACGCCAAGAAGCACTAAATGGTTACAAGATTTTGATAGACGGGGTTGGGAAACGTTCCTGGTGAACTGATATCAGGATGAGTGTCAGGTTGCATTGACCCTCTGGTCAGGTTCCTTTTGGTTAATTATAATGATTTAAATGGTTTATACTATAGAATGGGGGATGATAGTTTATGTTTTTATGTACATCAAATTGAAAAGCGATTTTCTCAACTCAATCAATGGCTCAAATGATGATCTTGGACAAATACTGTGAAGTTTAAGTCTATAAGCCAAGAATTAAAGCATACTGCTCTGCTCGCTGGGTCTTATACATGCCCTCATGTTTTTAATGATCTGACTTTAATTAACGCATAGCCGTAGAGCGACTCAGCCTGTATATGTTATTCATTTTTTAATTCTATCACAATCAAAAGTTTAATTTTATGGTGATATGCTCGATCCTCGATTCTGAAGGTGTAAGAAGGACCACATCGGCACACGTGATTCGCCCGCGCCAAAATTCTCCACGCGTAACGACCTCTTTCACTTGGCTTAAGGTACTTAAAAAGCGACATCAAGACTCAATTTCCACCTTCATTTTTGGGAATACTACGATCATTTCTATAACGATATATCTTCATTATCACCTACCATTCGTCAACATAAATCATCATCATGAGCGACGGCGCTGCCAAGCGAAAGCAGGGCCCTGGTGGCAATGGCCCAGCCTCTAAGAAGAGCAAGGTAAGCGCAAGGGCGAGCCATTGTTTGCAATTGAAATCTCAGCCAGCCTTGGGAGGCTTCGGAATGGTTTATTGGAAAGGACTAAGCTAATACCGGTCAAAGGGAGGCGCTGGCGGCAAATGGCAGACAACACACCAAAAGGCCAAGAAGACTGAGCAGATGGAGCTAGGGAGAACCTTGGAAGTCAACGATGCCGGAATTTGGGTAACTTACGCGAGAGGCATGAGAGGCAAAGCCATCAAGGAGTTCAAGACCCTTTGCGACGAGGTATGTCACTCGTCCACGACGCCATATTTCTTTATTGTTTGTCGATAGACGTGAGGGCTCAACTAACCTTGTTCAGTACGGCGAGTCGCTGTTTGGAGTACAAGCTCCGAAAGAGGATGATGAGGCCGATGAAGAAGAAGAGCACGATGATATCGAAGCTTCGATTGAGAAGGAATTGGCCAGTATGTCACAGCCAAAGCCCAAGACGAAGCAGACATTTACGCCGATTGGAACCGGCCTCGACTGTGTCTTCTTTATGAAGACGGTGAAGCCCATCGAGCCTCTCCAGCTTGTGACCAAAATTTGCCAGGATGCCAAGGACTGTCCGGACCCGATGCAGCGTAAGACCAAGTACGTCAACCGCTTGACACCCGTCTTTGACACAGACAAGGCTACCGACAAGGGTATTGAGCGTGTAGCTCGAACTGTGATGGCGTCGCACTTTGAGCTCAAGAAGGAGTCGGGAGACGATGCTCCTCAAGCGGAGGCAACTCCTTCAAAGGAAGAGGGTGACGAGACTGCGGGCTGCACGGTAAGTTGACGACATGATTCGCAAGCAAGGTCGTCTGATGAATCTAACAATCTCTTTTTCAGTACGCCATCAGGTATAACATCCGGAATCACACCGCCTTCAAGTCGAGCGAGGTGATCAAGAAGATTGCGGATTTGGTCAGCCCTAAACACAAGGTCAATCTGAGCAATCCCGACAAGGTGGTATTGGTAGAGATTTTCCAGGTAAGCGGCCGCCCCTCCCCTCGTGTATTCCACCTATCGCTGTGTCACATAAAACTAACTAGCCTTTGAGACGTTTTGCGGAGTCTCGGTTGTCGATGGCAAGGAGAGCGAGGAGCTGAAGCGTTACAACCTGAACGAGCTGTACAAGGCCTTGGACCAGAAGAAGGAGAGTAAGCCTGCAGCCAAGAAGGAGGTTGCGGAATCAACATAAGCTTTGAGCCACTCGCCTATTGATGGACGTTTTTTGTCCGTTGTGGTCGGCGACAGCAACCGGCTTATTAGACGAGCTGAACGTTTTATGCCATAGTTACACAACAACCGTCCGATTCGTGCGGGTCAGTTAAGTTTCTCTACGGTGTGGTATTAGACTACATCTAACGCTCTACCCGTAGCTTGAAGGATGTCGAAAGCATCTGCCGAGACGGATCTTCAACCTCCTCTATGCTGGGCTCGTAAAGCATCCACTTGGGCTCATCATGGGGTATGTTATGGTATGGGGGCCATGGTTACAACTCATCGGGGAGTAACAACACAGCCCCCCGATTTGAAAGGTTTCGCTTCGAAGAGGACGAAAGGATAATAACTTACGCGGTCACGGAAGGATCGCCGGCGGTGGGTTGGCATGTAGGTAGGGGTTGAGTTGAATGAATGATCATATATCGAACCGGTCAATAGACAGAGTTTCCAACGGAAAGCCGAAAAAGAACGGGGATTCCTTGATGCATCCCTTCCCTTGAAGAACTTTTGTCGCTCCCTCTAGTCTGGGTCTCCAAAGCTACTACTACCCAAGAGCTAGGATGGAGATAATGTATGGGGGGCCCTCCTTTGGCGCACGACTCAGGAGATTGTTGTCCAGCCCCGGCTTTGTTGCACACGTACAGCACACGGGATGTGTGGGACGTGGTCGTAAGGCTAGGGAAGATGACCGATGGAAGAAGAGAGATAGAATTCTACAGAGGTGCTTTTTGGTCATATGCTTACGCGCACAGATATGCGTGCATATTCGCACATATATACGACGTTGAGGCTTCAGAGGGGGACATGGACATATTGAGGCCCTCGTATGTGACGTTATGTTACCAAGGACGATCTCTTGGTACATACACGATGAAAGCCAAGACTGTTGGGTGTTTCTCTTCCCGCTGCATTTCTAAGTAATTAGTGAAATTAAAAACGGGAGTGGCTTGAGATCTCTTTAGCTGGGCAGTGGTGAATTCTGATGGTCAACTGTAACTGTAGATGGGGATTTGAGAGTAGGATACTAGGTACGTTACAAAGGGAGCGGGACTTGACAGGGATGGTTGACTTGGCGGAATGCGATCCAGGTCAGCTTCGCTTGTTGTGACCAATCATAAATTTCCCGACTCGCTTCTCGATGCACGCCAGAGGCATGGTTCATTTAGAGTCTGACATTCCGCCGTCAGTTTTGAGAAGAAGAGGTCAAGAGGTGAGGAAGTTGTGAAGCGTTGTGACGTTATCAGCTATTCTACCTATCTAGTACTCTATTACTGTAATATAGACATGATATCCAGTTATGAATGATAAAAGAGACCCAAGAATACAGTGACTGCAGTGTATAGTAGAGCCAAGCTCTGATTGGATCTCGCTTCCAGTGCGGTTCTCGTTCCGATCCGCGTCGGTTGGGTATGGCGATCTGTCTTGTGTCAAGTAGGCAGACAACAAACAAGAGTTTAGTATTAGTTAGTTACAACGCTGTATCCGTAGCTGTAGGGCTGCTGAGATCTGCACAACTAAACTAAACATCCACGTCTTGTCGGGTCTCCGATCCTTCGATTCCTTCTACTGCAGTTCTTCGGAGGATATTCCGTCCTTGTGTCTTGGCATTCTGCCTCTACTGGAGGATGGTTCGTTAAGAAAAGGAGAGGCTTGGAGCTAAAAGCTAAAAAGCTGCAAGCGTTTGCCTGCTCGGTAACTTCAGTCTACTCAATGACGCCTCGCTTCGGCTTCACCGTTCTGGCGGGACAAGGACAGACCCAGTATATTCATTTACAACACATACATACATACATACAGTCGGGTTCTTACATATGCTTAGACTTATACGGTGAGAGTAAGGAAACAAATGATATGAGGAGAGATCAGATATTGACCCAAGCTTTAGTTCATCATGATCAGGCAGTTATTGTTTGAAGAAAGAGAATATTAATAACAATGGGTACTGTACTGTGTTGTATCGTACTAAACAAGGGATGGCAAAAACTCTCGCTACGTCAACCTGTAACATTTCTCCTCCTCTCGGTTCTCTATTCCGCCCTCTCGTCAACCGTTTCCTAGAGCTGAACCTGCTGAGGTACCTTTGCTACAGCTACGCTCAGCAATTGACCAATCCGCCACAGGATAAACCATCGCATTCCCATATTTTCTCGCTTCTTTGCTCAGCAGTGACATTCTAGTTCTTTTATCCCTGTCTTGTCCTGTTCCTCTCTATTCCGCTCTTCCTTTCTTTTCTATGGTAAAATGCAACATCGCCAACCATGATTTCTCGGTCCCGACAAGATATGCTAGCGCTTGCCTCACTACACGTTTATGCTCCAATCCCTACCGTTTCCCTTAGATATTCTTTCTTTATTCCCGTTTGAGATTTGATTGCCTAACTTGTCATTCTATTCGCTGGCTTCTGCATACGCATGAGGCGTTCCAAACATACCTTGTATTGCAGCTATCTACCTACCTAATCAACATTAACATCCACCTCCATCCTTTACCCATTTCTTTATATGACCCGTTTAGACGTTTATTTCATAGAGTAACCTCTCTGATTATCCATCTCCTGACACCCTCCTGCTTCAACAACAAAGCTGCAAAGAAACCTTGTTTAGAGACTATACTGTCTTTATATACATACCCATTCACCTATACTCGGTCTCATTCTGTGTTTGCATCATCACTTCTACCAAGTATGAGTCGCAATCATCATACAAACTCGGCTTTACTCTAACAAACTGTCAAACTCGCAACAAGCCGAAACTCATTTTCATGGGCCACTACAACAAAGTCCCCATCCCCATCTCCATCCCCATCCTCGCCCTACCAACCATCGCCTTATTATAACCGTCACTCGTCTTCTTCGATAACCAAACATTTCGTTTCTCGCTTCACCTACGCATATATACCCGTCTCCTTATGACTCGACCGTCGTACCAATGCACCCTTCGGGACGACGGCAGTCTGCCCCTCATGAGCCATTGTGTTGCCCAAAAGAGCTGCAACCTTGTACATGACAATATCCCCCGTTCGGCCCGAGACTTGATCTCTTTTACTGATTCCTCTTCAACCGCAACTGCTTCTACTTCTACCTCACCTCTCATCCCCATGGCGGCTGCTCCGCCAGAGAGTTCCGTCCTTTCCCTCCTTAGCGGTATCAATCCTCGTCTGGCGGTAAAGGAGCTCGAGGTTGTCCCTTCAGCTCGATTTCAGCGTCTTTATAATGTCAAGGTTGCTGAAGGACCAAGTCTTTTGCTTGCTTTACCTCCACCTGCAGTTATACGCCTGCTGCGTTCCGAAAGGTCAACGCTTGGCTCAGAAGCTGCTGTGTTGAAGTGGCTTTCTTCTGTTTCTAGGGAAAAGAAACCCTGTTCCGGTTCTGGAGCGAAAGAATCCATGAGCAAGCCAGCTGGAGTCGCACTGGGGAGTGAGGCTACTGAAGATTTATTAACTGGATATCTACCTTTGCTCGTCAGGCATGAGTCCATTAGCGGTACATTACCGGTTGAGTACACTCTTGTTCGACCAACGCGAGGTACACCTATATCCTCTCTACCCAAGCCTCCAAGTTTCAGTGAACGAAGAGCCTTGGACTTCCAGACCGGACAACTCCTCCGTCGGATAGCCAGCCAGGTTTCTCCAACAAGAAAGTTTGGCATTGCTGCCGATGTACTTTCGGTCCCTCCTTCAGCCGTTCATCAACCACCACGGCGCTTTGAAGGAAACCTGAGCGATTCAAAAGGTGCTGAATCATGGAGAGTAGCTTTTCATAGCTTGATGGAATCTGTCCTCCGAGATGGTGAGGACTTGACTATTATGCTCAACTACAAAAATGTCCGGCATCAGTTTGCCCGCTTTGCGCATCTACTTGACGCAGTGAAAGAGGCTCGACTAGTTGTTGTGGATGCTGGAGAAGACTCAAACACCCTGGTTCACCGTTCCTGTGAAGTTGGCAAGAAGTCTAGCACGCCGGCCGAGGAGTTTAAGGCAGTACCACTGTCGAAATTGGCGCGAGTACCTCGAAAGAGACAGGATCTTATGGGAAAGAGGCGACCAGACTACAGGATAGTCATCCAGGACGATATCAACGAGAAGGGAGATCAAACGATAACAGACGGACTACCTGGGAAACAAATTGAGTTAACAGGTCTACGGCAATGGAGCAACTGCATCTTCGGCGATCCCCTCATAGCATCCATCTTCAGCAAAACACCACTACCCTCGGAAGACTTCTGGCGGGGCTTCGACAAACCTCTCCCAGGCCAAGACACCACATCACCCAATATTATCGATGACAGGGAAAACGCACACATCCGCATCCTACTATACGAGTGTTACCACGCGCTGGTCGCTCTGGTGGGAGAATACTACAGGCCGCAGAACGACAGCAGCAAGAAGGAACTTGCGGCACGAAAGCACCTCAGCAGTGTTCTGGCTCAGCTGGAGGAGCTTGACGATATGGGCCGTCAGCGGCGTAGACGACCCAGTGGTGAGATGTCGCCCGCGAAGAGGCCGCGTTCTGGTCAGGAGAGCGAGGACGATAGTGAATCTTGATGAGATATGACTATAACGCTGGCTGGTAACTGAACTTTGCTGACCAGTGGTATCATTAATACACGAATACATAAATATGAGACTTCTTACATTACATTCGATCCATTAAATCCGTGTCCACGTAATTTCTTTATATGAATTCTGTCTCTACTTTGTGCTGATCAAACAATCCTCTATGATATCAACAAATCAAGCTTTCGCTTTTCCCTTTCCTTTGGATGAGCTGCCGCCCTCCTCGTCGTCGTCATTTTCATCGTCCTCATCCCGAGGAAGTTGAAATCCCATCATACCCAACAAATTTCCAGTCGGCCCGGCCATACCAGCCTGGCTCTTGAAGCTCTCCAGCAGATTCTTCGCCAAATTGTAGTCAACATCTACTTCCTCCTCACTATCCTCATCCCCTTCTTCTTTGACATCTTCCAGACTGCTCTCTCCTTCTTTTTGGTCTGTACCCTTCAGACGTGGTTGCTTCTCGGCAGGGTCAAGTTTGAGGGCACCGTGTTCGTTGAGCTCAGCCTCAAACTCTGTGGTGAGCTTCTGGATTTCTTCGTCCTCTTCATCCAATACTGGTGGCTCAGGCTTGACAGTGGTTTTCTTGGACGTGTCAGCGTTGGAGTCTGTAGACGGTAGACCCATCATCTCTCTCATCATTCTCGCAAACTCCGCCTCGTCGAAGCTCACTTCCTTATCCTCAGACTCGCTATCGTCGTCAAAGTCATCATCTTCATCATCGTCGTCATAGTCCATGTCGTCAAGTTCTGCGCCATCCATACCAGCGCTATCATCATTAAGGAATGCCTCGAAACGTGATACGATTTTCCGGAGGTCAGATTGTGTGTTTGCATCGCCAAATCCTGACTTTGCGCTGGAAGCGTTGTTTCCTCTCTTTCCATCCAATTCCTTCTCAAATTCCTGGTAGTCGATGTCCATCCAAGCTTCGCTGTCGTCTCGGTCGGAATCCTTCCATGTCTTGATCTCCTCATTTGAAGGGAGAGCGTCGTTGCCGTCTTCTTCCAAATCCTCAAGTTCGATAGCAAGCTCACGAACAACTCTGTTCTTGCTCTTATCTGCCTTTGCAGCCAGCATTTCGAATCCACATGTGAGCTTCATACCAATATCCAACCTCGCCATGACCTTGTCCGCCTCACCTGATGGCGCCTCTTTTTGCGCTTTCTTGAGCACAACACTCCAACTGGGTGGGGTATCAAACCTCTGGGACCGTAGTTGGGCGAAAAGTACTCTGCTGAATCGGACGGATGTCGTGATGAGGTCCTGGGGTGGGAATGTCGGTGGTCCTGATGGTGAGATGACACGTTTCAGAGCAATGGGATCCCTAAGGTAGAAGGTCTCGACTGCCGGCGCAACTGATTTGGGGAGTGAATGAAGGACGTATGCCAGTTTTCTTGGTATAGTGATAAGCGAGTGGTGGATTGATTCAGCGATCTGTGCTGGGTATTTTTCTAGTCGATAGAAAGCTTCGGCTTCAACAAATCCTGAATGGACAAGAGCATCGCGCTTCGTTTTGAGGATCTCAACCGCTTCAGGCAGCTCAAGATTCCGTGTCTTGAGTCCTGGTTCATCTTTGACTGGAATGAGAAAGAGGCTCCCGTTATTGATCCAGGTTCGGTTGTTGTCGATCTCTGGGTTCAACCATCTTGGGAGCACATTTGCGGCTTCAACGAGAAGGAACTCGCCATCAGTGTCAAACACTCGGATCCAGAGGTTGGGATGAGACTTGGACAATTCTCTTAGAATGTATACAATGAGCCATTCATCCTCGACAGCATCACTGTAGTCAGTTATGCCATGAAGATACACCAAGCCTGCCGTATCAGTTAGCATACTGTAGTGGGATTTGTAACTTGGACACATACCCTTCTCATTCTTAAGCGTCAGATTGAACTCGTCCTTTTGCCATATGTAATCTTTTGTAAGTGTCGTGGCTAATTCTATGGCCGACTTTCGGATACTCTCGATCTGTGATAGTTGTTTTCTGGCGTCTAATTGAGAGTCTAAAAAGAAAAGCAGATATTCCACACAATTGTCGGGCAGGTGGTTTTTGAAGTCCGACTCTTCTGCTTGACTTGTTTCTTGAGGTATTTCTTCCTCTTCTATGATTGCAGAACTAAAAGACATGATTGGCTTGACTTTGTTCGAATTTGAGATGCTGTTGAATATGTCTTGTCGAGGGAGATGTTGAGGTAGCAATTTTATATAGGACAACTACCGGGTAAGCTACCTACTAGGTAGGTGCCTTCACTGAAGACAGTGATTCTAGTTCAGCTACAAAAGTACGCCAAGCCTATCACAGTTAGTATCGACTGCCCCACTTGGACTACCTACACGCTCGTCACGTCCTACCTACGCGTATAGTGGAAGGCAGCTTCATTAAGTTGTCCATCCATCTTCCTAATATCCTTTGTAGGGGAAAGTGACGTTTACCCTCGACGCTCTTTACATACAACCCGCATACTCTCGTTACCTGGAATCCGGTCGACTCGATAGTCTTTGGTCTATCTTCTTGTTAGGTTCCCCAACTAAACCTCCAATACTCATCCTTTAAGACGTCGCAAGGCCGTGCGCATCGTCGCTATGGCGCCCACCAAACGATCGCGGCGCGACGCTGAACAAGACGATGATATTACAGATGTACGACAAGCACGGTCAAATTTTGGGAGGGATGATGCTGTAAGAAATACTCAGAAACCACCAATCACTCACATTGTCTAACATGTCGCAAAGAGAAAACGCGCCAGGGTCACCCTCAATGGCGAAAGAAGAATGGAACGAACCCCTCCACGAGAAGAGACACCAAGCGACGAGAGCGAGGAAGACGAGGATCGCCGAACGAGAAACACTCCCCCTCAAACGCAATACGAACTCATGCGAGACAATGGCTTCAAACATCTTGAGTATGCTGACTGGGATGACGAGCAAGCAACTCAAAAGCTGGCACAGCGGAGTAATATTGTGGGAAACAATATGGTATCTGAAAGCGGCATCATCGAAAGCATTACCTGCTTCAACTTCATGTGTCACGAACGCTTGCACGTTGACCTCGGCCCGCTTATCAACTTCATCGTAGGAGAGAATGGAAGTGGTAAGAGTGCTGTTCTTACAGCCCTAACACTTTGTCTGGGTGGCAAAGCTAGTGATACCAACCGAGGAGGAAGCCTTAAGTCTTTTGTGAAGGAAGGTACTGAGCAAGGAAGCTTGGTTGTCAAGCTCAAGAATGCCGGCTCCGATGCCTATCAACCTGATATTTACGGCGAATCAATTATTGTCGAACGTCATTTCTCTAAATCCGGTAGCAGTGGATTCAAGATCAAGAGCGCCAACGGCCGAATCATATCAACAAAGAAGCAGGAGGTTGACGAAATTTCAGAATGGTACGCCCTGCATATCAATAATCCCCTAACCGTCCTGTCCCAAGACAACGCGCGACAATTTCTTAACGCTGCAACCCCTGCTCAGAAATACAAGTATTTTGTATCTGGTGTGCAGCTGGAGCAGTTGGACAATGATTACAAGATGTCGCAGGACACACTCGACAGGACGCTCATCCTCAGAGATGATCTGAACGAAAAGATCGCGCATGTCAAGAAGGAAATGGAAGAAGCCAAACGTTTGTCTGAGACGGCAGACAAGAACAAGTCCCTACGTGAGAGAGGACGGCACTACATCAACCAGCTAGTTTGGTCCCAGGTTGTGGAACAAGAGCGAGCGCTTGCGGAATATGAGAGGGACATTGACAGACGAGCCCAAGCCATCATCGACAAGGAACAACACTGCAACATAACGACACAGGAGCTTGAGCAGGTCGAGGAGAAGCTCGCAGAACGTCAACAAGCCAAGGAACTACTGGAGCAAGATCGAGAATCGTATGAAGAGAGCATTGCTAGAGCGACAGAATCACATCGGGAGGCAATAAAGGACGAATCCGAGCTGCTCATGGAGGAAAGAGACGCTCATCAGCGCTTAAAAACAATCAAAGACGATATCAAGGCCTGCAAGTTGAAAATCCAGGAAGAAGAACGTCGATTGAGTCAATCAACTGGAAACGCTAGAGCTGAGAAGGACAATGAACTCGAACAAGCCCGAGACAAGGAATCTTTGTTGAGGCAACAAATGGAAGAGATACACAGCAGCTTTCCCGATCTCCAAAGGCGGCTTAGCGAAGCTGAACAAGATTCGAAGAAGCTTTCGCAGAGCAAAGAACTCAAACGCAAAGATATTGTTTCTGTAGAGCAACAGATTCGACAACTCAAAGAAAAGACCGGAGGGCGTTTCGATGGTTACGACAGAGAAATTGCCGACTTGGTTAAGGCTATCGAGAATGAGAACGGATGGGAACAGAAACCTGTCGGACCTATCGGAGCCCATATCCGACTATCAAAGCCCGAATGGTCAGGTATCTTGGAGCGAACTCTCGGCGAAGGACTTAATGCATTCGTCGTCAGGAGTAAAACGGACCAGACAAAACTGTCAAATTTGATGCGTCGGTTCCGCCTCAGGAAACAACCTCCGATCTACATTGCCTATGGTGGGAGAATCGACACAAGAAGCCAGGAGCCTGACCCGGCCTTTGACACCATTCTCAGGGTTCTTCAATTCGATGATGATATTGTCAAGTCCCAGCTGATCATTGGCAATCAAATCGAAAAGATCATCCTTATACGTGATCGAGAGGAGGCTCAGAAAGTCATGGTCGAAGGCGTCCCTCCACGCAATGTAGGAGCCTGTCTCTGTTTCCACGACGGAAGAGGAAAGCGAGGATGGGGTCTAAGGCTCACCAACCGCAACGGCTCAATTGGAACGAGTCCAGTTCAACCATACAACATGCGACCCCGAATGCAGACCGATGCTGATCAACAAGTTGAGATTCAGGAAGAGAATCTCAAGCATCTGGGGCAGGAGATGGCCCAGATCAACCGAGATGAGCGTCAGGCGCAGCAAGCGGTTCAGCGGTGCAGGACGGAGCTTGAGAATCAACGCAAAAACAACAAGAAATACGAAGCTGATCTTCGCCGAACCCAAGCTGATATCGAGCGTATTCAGATGGAGATGGATGCGTTCGAAGGAGTCGATGACAGACTTAACATTCTGCGAGCAGAGCTGGAGTCAAGACGAACTGACGAGGAGTCTCTCGGCAGTCAGTACGGCGAGATGGCACTGTCGAAACGAGACCTGAAAGCCAAAACCGAAAAGGCTCGCTTGAAGCTCGAAGAAGCAAAGAATGACTTGGAGGATTTTGAGTCCAAAGTCAATAAAGCATCCGCAAAGATTGCCACTGCCGAGAACATGAGGCGAGTTACTGTAGCGAAGAAAAACGATGCTTTCGAGGCGGTTGATATCGAGAAGAACGAAAAGCGACGCATCGAGGAAAAGAGAGACCAGAAGGCACAAGAAGTGGTCGATTTCACCGAGCAAGCGAGACAGACGGCACCCGAGCGGGTGCACATTCCGGACACGGAGACACACGCCAGTATCGAGACAAAGTATACCAAGATCAGGGAACAGCTCAAACAACGAGAGGCCCGTCTTGGAGCCACTGATGAAGAGATACATGAGCGCTCCGCTGAAGCTCAAGCCCGATACGATGACGTTATGAGGCAGACGCAGGACGTTGATGACACTATCACCGCCCTGAAGCGTTCTATCGAAGACCGTCTGGGCATGTGGCGGATGTTTCAGCGACAGATTAGTGCACGCGTCCGCATCCAGTTTAATTATCTTCTCAGCGAGCGAGGTTTTCGAGGTAAAATTGATCTGGACCACAAGAACCATAAGGTCAATATTCAGATTGAACCTGACGAGACGCGCAAAAGCTCATCTGGAAGAAACACGAAGACTCTTTCAGGTGGAGAAAAATCATTTTCGTCTATCTGTATGCTGCTGTCAGTTTGGGAGGCAATCGGTTCGCCTATTCGATGTCTTGATGAATTTGACGTGTTTATGGACAATGTTAATCGTGCCATTAGCACAAATATGCTGGTAAGCTGTCAACGACCCAAGGCGAGAAGATGTTTGAAAGTCTGACATGATGAATCTATAGGTTGATACAGCTCGTCGCTCAGTTTCGCGTCAGTACATTCTAATCACTCCCAACGCCATTGAAGGTCGGGCGAAGCTGGACAAGGACGTCAAGATCATTCGGTTAGTATCCCTTGACAATTTCTACACAGCTACCATTTATTAACAACACCTCTCCCAGACTTACGGATCCCCGACAACGAACACTCGATGATTTCCGATAGACATTGTACGCGATATTCTTCCTGGAGTTAGGCGAAGCGGACCATTGGTGGGAAACTGGTAAACAAAAGCATGGGTGAGCTTTGTGGAGTTATTGTGTGTGATACCAAAGAACTTTGTGATTGTTCTATAGACGGGGCAGTGTATAAATGACATTACAACTTGTGCCTTCTGAGGCTTCTATATTCATGGATGGTGGTATACGTAGATCTTACAATACTTTTACAACTTTCTCATTCTCCTTCATTCCGCAGACACCGACCTCTTTAGACCCGGACGCCCTTGCTTCTTAGTATGTTCACGCCAGCACTGAGTGTGTATCCGGCCCATTGACCAAACGATCCAACCATGCCGCCGACTGACTTGACCTCGCCTAATCTGCGCTGAAGGAACTGTCTTGTCTCAACGAAATCGGGGGATCGATCGTTCGTCATGAAGAGCTCGCTTGTGCTGTAGATCATAGATAGAGTGGCACGCTTGGTATACCATGAGGGATCGACGGCTCTGTCGCCAGCAAGGAACCAGATTTCATCCGAGAGCTTGGCGAGCTCTTTTATAGACTCGGGAACGTAGCTGGGCTGAGCCATAACGGCCAATGCCTGTAAATCATGAATGTCAGTATTTAGGGTATCTTGTGGGTTTGATATGCATCTTACCTCCTGCCAACGGCCCAGAATCTCCTTGTTACCCATAAGTCGCTCCCAAGTCAATGCTTCCACTCTCGCCGCAACACCTGGCTGGTCGCTATCGGGGAAAAGCTCCTTGCCACGAGCTGCCAGAGCCTCGCGTTGGGTGATAAGATGATATCGAATCAGGCCAAAAGCGCCGTCGGGGATGACGCTCGCACTGATGTCGAGATAGCCAGCGTCTCTTGCGCCGCGACCAAGGGCCCTCTGGGAGAAACCGAGCTCGGGGACATGCTTATAAGCAGCAGTGAGGATGGTCTTTTCAGCATCGCCAAATGGTCCTGGTGGTGGGGGATGATCGTATGAGTGGAAAGGTCGACGGGAGACGAGACCCTGCGTCAGGCTCGAGGCGCGCAAGGTTGATGCTGATGTTTTGGAGAGGGTTCGAGTGCAAGCGGCCATTTTGAGGAGAAGTCACAGGTATCGTATCGTATTGTATTGAATATGACGAACGACTTCACATGGATCGACCCTTTGTTTTTGGAGTTGACGTTTGCGATTTGTTCTAGATGCTGGGTAACCTTCCTCCAATTATAACCGTCTAATGACTCGGGGTGGGCCACGGCGGATGAGCTCGGGCCACTCCGGACTCTGAAGACCGCGACGGCGCTTTCGCTCCGTTCCCTGTACGGGATCGGCAGTTCCATACGACTCCAGCATGCAGTTTCTCTGGACCATTACTGTAAATTTGTAATTTGCGGTGTAATTATGACCTAGTTTATGCTCTAGACTGAGTTGAACAACTAAAATACCGCACACCCCAGCTAAACTGTGAGTGAGCAACGATCACATAATATCGTACAGCAGGTGGTATTGGATAGAGGACAACTCTTCCAGCACGGCATATCAGTATGGCGGGGCTTTGGTAGTGCTTGCTTTCAGTCACCCTGTCTCGTTCCCGAGTGATCTGTCTGATCTGATATGCTTGTAAACGACAACTCCCCGTGCTACAGTGTCCTAGTCCAAGCCTTGTCTCACTAGCATGGATCTGTGGTTCACAATCTTCCGAAAAGCCCTCGACTTTCAACCCAAAGTATCCGTATATCTCGCAGCATTAAGTCGTAGAGTCCTACCCAATCCGCAGGACTACCGCGTATTGCAGGCGACAAGAGCAGTGATATTGACCTGTCCCAATGCAGCCATCATGCACATACAGGCCTACATGTCTACTCTTTCACAAAGTCTGATAATTCATCCTGGTCTACCTCGGAGTGAGCGGCGAGACAGCAGGCAGCCTGAATGGAAGTGCGTACTTACTCCACATAGAATGCTGCTAACGGCCTGAGCGTCATTAGACGCATTGCCAGGGATCCGTCAACAACCTTGATGATCGGACCTGACATGAACCTACTTGCTTGCGATTGTTGGTAAACCAACATGCTGATACTGTACTATGCTAGTGCGTTATGATACCCGCATCAAGCGGAAGCCTCTACAGTTCCAGCGGCTTATCCAACGATATCCCGATAAGTCCGAACACTTGTTACCGACAACGTGCCAAAAAGAACGGCTTCTCTTATTACTTGTTCTTACCAGGAAGATATGCCTGAAAACGTGATGAGACAGAGCAGTTAGCAATCCTGATCCTCAATGCGTTGAAGAGGGGCTGTCAGCGGTAAAGAACCCGCTATTGGTCGACTTCTCTTACGACTTGCAGCGTTGGCTGTTGTGTAACAACAACTTTCTTTGTAGCGAAATCAAAGGTGTGGATACAACCCAATCACAGTTCTTGTTGCATATATTCAGCTGTGCATGCTACGCTTGACTAGACACAGTTTCGAATTCGTTTCGGTAGACTGTTCGACTAAGCAGGGTTCATTCTTGTGCGAAGTGTAGTGAGTGAGTGATACCTAGGAAAAGCGCGGGAGAAGCGGCATTTTGTTGGGTTCTACCATGTTTTTGCTTTTGTAAGCTTGGTCAATGATAGAAAATCATGGTCTCAGCCTTGTCATAAATGTGACAAGCTCGTTCGTTCCGCGCCAGACAGACATCAGATGCGTTGGTGTGAGTGCGGGATGCGGGTGGATTCACGCTGCAGATCTGGAGACGAAGAGCCTGAAATCAACGATTACCCAGCCAGCACGACAGATCCCTGATCTGTTGCTGCAAATCCGCGTCTCCTTGTTCCTGGCGCTTTGCTAGTGCACTCTGGCCTAGCAGATGCTTAAGACAGCCCAATAATCGCTCAAGGGGAGACATGCTAGGCTTGATTGTGAAACTTGGCAAGCCTGGCTTAATGCCAATTCGACTACCGAAGCTGGGCCATGGGTAGACGGAGTTCGATGAGTGCTGTGATATCCGATGGTAGTGCAAAACGCTTTGATGCGCGAACCCTGAAAGAATGCGGACGAGGGTATCAGCAGTTGTATGCGTATGCACTATCGAGCCGTTTCCAGCACCTTGCAGAGCTGATTGATGATTGATCCACTGGTTCATGTTCATTGAACCAACATAAAGTTAAGTGTGAAACTGAGGTCTGAACCTTGAATAATAGGACGTTGAACCAGAGACCAGCTCCGATAATTTAGGCTGCAAAACCAAGTACCGAGACATCCATTGATCATTTTCTTGGGAAAGGCAAGAGCCCGTGATCCAACGGAGAGGGAGCATGTAGCGCTGTGTAAAGTGTAAAGTGCACCTTCCTTCCGAAGCAGACCATGATACCTGAGGCCATTACACCCTGTCCAGTAAGGTAAGCGCGCCTGCAGAGTAGCCACTGTAGTATCAAGGTTACAATTCAACAGGTGTCTGCATTTCAGAAGTCAATATCAAAGCTACAGCAGTCTTGTTCTTGACATTGTGGACTGTACCGCATACAATAGGCTGGTAACGTAACTTTCATGGCACCTCGTGTTATCATGCTCATGTCCGGTAAGCTTCATAGTGGATCCCATCAAGCCCCCGTGTCCCTGGTTCCAACCCCCGTCTCGTGTCCTCATTCGTCGCCTGGTTCTTCCTCATCTCTCGCCCAACGCGTTCTTTTCTTTTTACGACACATGAAGAGGGAGTGAGAGAACCTTGAAAGTCAGCACTAAAGAGCCACAGACATCGGAAGCCACAATTGCCATCCTTCGACCATCGTTTTCCTATCGCTGTCGTCTCCTCAAACCCCTTGGAACCGTCAGAACCCGACACTCTCCCCGTCCCTGGCGAAAGAAAAAAAGTAGTCAACTTGACCATCCCATTCCCAGAAGCTGGTATCTGGTACCGTACCACCACGCCGCACGCCGAGACCCTTTTCAGCCCAGCCCAGCCAAGCCCGCGCAACTGGACTGTGTGATTAATTCCTGGCCTGCATACGGATACAAGTGCTTGCTTGCTTTAATCGCATCACAGCGGCTTGTCTTGTTTTAGACCTTGCTGTCCAGGCACCTCATTAGCCTAGAGTACCGTACCTTGACTACTGTACCTACGCATTCGTCACCCCCATAGTTACCTATCTTCCGCTCATCGATCGCTCGCCCTTCTAATATCCCGCCGCGAAACGTGGACACCTACGGCCCGTCTCCGCTCCCCTCCGCGACCTACCCTTCCTAGAAACTGGTCGCGCCAGTTCGTTCGTCTGCTGTCCGAACTCGCACCCGTCACTCGTCACTCACAATACCAACCAACTTACCTACCAACCTACCTTATTACGCGACAAGGACACCCACCCCATCCAAAAGGGACTTTTCTTTCTGTACATCCAGAAAGACAGAACAGACAGACAGACAGATAGACGTACTACACACGCGTCTATTAAACTACAGTCACAATGGGTATGTTGTTGATATCTTTTGCTTGAAACCTCTTGTCTTGCTCTCCTGTCGTGGGCGAGCAGCGATTGCTGCTTCTTAGGTATACTACGATGGCTAGCCGTACGTTCGCGCGTCTGCGAGGCAACGTGCGGTGCGTGCCGGTCTTTTGTCGTCTTGACTTTGTGCAGTATCCATTGTCGTCCTTGATGGCTCCTCGAGGCTCGGCGACTCTGCCTGTAGTTACCATGCCCCAACCCATCCATCTTCTCCCTCGCCTTATTGGGCCCAACCCAACTCATGATCTGAGCCTCTTGATTTCCAGAGCCTGAGCACAACAGATCTTGAGTCTGCCTGCTGCTGCTGTGTCTTGCATTGTTGTTGTATCTGCGCATGCGATCCCACTCCTTGGAGTGTCTTCATCAATCAATGTGATACCACCTCTTGCTTGATGCAGTCTCGGAAGTTCCCCAATCCACTCCAGCAGAACCCTTCCAGCCGTCTCTTCTTTCTCGCGTCGTCCTTCCCCATCCATTCATCGCATTGCATTATCGAGCCCCCTTACCTGCATCTCCCGCCAAGGTCCACCCGGCTCCCACCACCCCTCCACTAGAGAGGTTGACCTCTCTGCCTACCTCGACCAAGCTACCCTCACTCCCTGCTATTTCAAACACTCTTTCTCTCTCTCACCCTTTTTCCTTGTTGCGCATCTTTCGCAGAGTTTCTGTTCTTTCTTGACGTTTTCGATTCTGAAGCTCACCTGTCTATAGCTGATACCGGTGATACCTATCGACCCGTAAGTAAACTTTAATTCGTTCCTAGCTTCCCCAACCTCATTATTCAACCGCACCTGCCTGTTGAAGTTGCCTTGTTGCTGCGCAATCGCTCTCGCCATGCCGAGCTTGTACGCTTCCCCGCGCCAGATCGTGTTGCGGCCTCTGCTCCTCCCCGCTTTCTTCGCCTGGATACTGAGCGCAACTTGAATATTTGGAAAGAGCTCTCGGTAGCTCCATTCATCCGAAACCGGCCATCACGGCGCGCTTGGATTGCAACTTCCTATTATTCTATGTGCCCTTGGGCAGTCGCTAAGAAATGCTGCCACCGTTCGCCACTGCTTGATATATGAACGAGCACTGCGCGAAAGTGGCAGCAGCCTAGGAGGGGCAGTGAATCAGCTTCATCCGCGCGCGCAACCTGGATTTTACCCGCAACCTCTCAATTCACAATTCCTCTTTCTGCATAGCGTCGGCGTTTTCTTTCCACGAAAGCAAGCTTTCGTCATGGCAACCTCACTCGTGCTTCTCCCAGCTAACCACCCCCAGCGTGAGAGGTCACGATCTCCTCGCAGACGCTCCAGATCCCCCGAACGATCACATCGACGCCGCTCCTATTCCCCCCGCAGCCGATCAGGAAGCCGGGACGACTATCGACGAAACCGTGATCGCTCGCCCATGACTAGCACAGGTGCACCAGGTGGAGGACCAAGTGCAGGATACGGAGGACAGGCCCCTCAGCGATCTTACGAAGAGCGAGCCGTCGCTCGAGAACAAATGATGAACAACATCCGCGAATCGTCCCAACAGGACCGCCGAGTCTACGTCGGTAACCTTTCGTACGATGTCAAGTGGCACCATCTCAAGGACTTCATGAGACAGGGTGAGGCTTTCAACGCCGCGGAACGCAGGTGGAATACATGGGACTGACGAAATGGTATAGCTGGAGAGGTGCTCTTTGCCGACGTGCTCTTGCTTCCCAATGGAATGTCGAAGGTGGGCTTCATCGCATGATTTTTCTTTTCCCTTGGCCGGTTTTCTTTTGTGGTTCTTCATTCCCTCTAGCTTTTATGGATGGTTGGGTTGACGGGTGGGACGTTGTCCTGGGTTAATTGTAGGGATGCGGGTAAGTCAACTTCCGTTTCATTATCCATGGACCTGACTAACAGCTGCGCAGAATTGTGGAATATGCTACACGGGAGCAAGCCCAAGCGGCTGTTGCCCAACTGAGCAACCAGAACCTCATGGGTCGCCTAGTCTACGTGCGTGAAGTAAGTATCAACGTCTGCAATACTATACATGGCCATCAAGCTAACATAGATACAAGGACCGTGAGGCTGAGCCTCGGTTTATCGGAGCCACTGGCGGAAACCGTGGCGGCTTCGGCGGCGGCGGTGGTATGCCCGGTCATTTCAACCCTGGATATGGCGGTGGTGCCCCCGGTGGTGGTGCCGGTGCCGGCCGTCAGATCTATGTGGCCAACGTTTGTTCAACCCCGGTTGGTGTATATGTGATGAACAAGTGTTGACATGCAGTAGCTTCCTTTCAACGTAGGCTGGCAGGACCTGAAGGATTTGTTCCGTCAAGCTGGTATGTATCATTTTCGCCCTCTTTCGAACCCATGATCCCGTGGGGTTGGAATCTAACCGTTACTTAGCCCGAAACGGCGCTGTTATCCGAGCCGACGTCCATATCGGACCCGATGGTCGTCCTAAGGGATCCGGTATCGTCGTCTTCGAGAACCCCGACGATGCCCGCAATGCCATCTCGCAGTTTAATGGCTACGATTGGCAAGGTCGTGTTATCGAGGTTCGTGAGGACCGCTATGCCAGCAGTGGACCTGGTATGGGCTTCGGTGGCCGAGGCGGCTACGGTGGTGGTATGCGCGGAGGATTCGGTGGAGGATTTGGTGGTCGCGGCGGCTTCGGCGGCGGACGTGGTGGCTTTGGTGGTGGCTTCGGCCGTGGAGGATTTGGCGGAGGTGCCCCTGGCGGACCCGGCTTTGAGCCCCCTGCCAGCTCCGTCCCTCCTAACCCCTTCACTGACTACGCTACTGCCGGCGGCGACAGAAGCGAGATCATCTATGTTCGCAACGTAAGACTAGTCCCCGTGTTGCTCAATCGACTCACTACTAACCTGGTATATAGCTGCCTTGGTCTACCAGCAACGATGACTTGGTTGAGCTCTTCACCACCATCGGAAAGGTCGAGCAGGCCGAGATCCAGTACGAGCCCAGCGGTCGCTCTCGTGGCACTGGTGTTGTTCGCTTCGACTCAGCCGACAACGCTGAGACTGCCATCACCAAGTTCCAGGGTTACCAATACGGCGGTCGCCCTCTTAACCTGAGCTTCGTCAAGTATCTTAACCAGGGCGGAAACGACGTTATGGACACAGATCCCCATGGTGGTCTGACTCAGGATCAGATCATGTAAGAGAAGGATGATCATGGACACTGAACTTGGGTTTTATGCAGCAACGTTCCGTTACGGTCATGGTCAACTCGTCGGTGGAGGCGCTTTTTTCGCTCTTCGCATCTTTTCCTTTTATATCGGCTTGTTTCTTTTCTGGCAATTTTCGTTTTACACATGAGCAGCAAAAAGCTGGAGGATATCAACGGCGGAATCTTGACGTACGGGTATGCGGTCGAAGTCATCATCAGGGATGTATCGACGCTTTATCCTCTAATATGGCGAGGAAGTTGGGGCGACAGGGATCTTACTATGGGCTTACCAAACAGTACCGACTTGTCCCACCTCCAGCGCCTCGACAATAGCGAGCGGTTTTAAGAACAAGGTTGCTCATTGTGTCAATGAAGGAAGGGACGACTGCTCGGGCTAGCAGGCTCATAGGAGACTGCATGGCTCTACTTAGAATGTATCTCGAGTAATCATCCGAAGGTTTTTAAGAAGAATGATGGCAGGTGGTCTTGGTGAAGGGGAAGAGCGTAGGACTCGTACGGACATGCATGCGTGCTGGCACCTTGCGTCGACACAGTCAGCTCGCTGGCTATGAGTGAAGGTAAAGGACATCATGATTGAAAGGTGAATGCCGATGTTTGGGAGTAATCTGGGCTTGATATTGCCGCAACTTCTAAGAATGACTAGTAGGGCCATGGGGTTAAGATTTATGGCGGCCTAGTTTGCCATGGATGAATAGAGCGTCTGCAGGCCGGGCCGCCATGATCTTGAAGCTATGTATGATGTGTTGCGGGGATAGAAACATGATGGTGACAAAAGCTCACCCTGGACCGCAACCCACCTTTGCTGTTGATTCATTGACGTTGACTTAGCAATAACCAGTCCCACACAATGGTTTTGGGATGGCAAGTCAGACTGTCAGTCTCAACCCACTCATAGGCCTGGGAATAAGGTGATATGTCTTGGGCAGCGGACGTCCGCCTCGATCGTGATTCGCGCTGCCGAGACAAACGTGCGCAAAGGACAAGAGTGAAGCGGTCGATCCAAAGAAACAAAGAGGTCCGATAGTCTTCGGCGAGCAACATTTCCAGGAGCATCGCTTTGTAAGGTCTGATAAACGTGAGAGCTTGTCTCATACGAGATCTTGAGGGATGTGGATGAGGACCAAGCCGGATGTCCGACTTGCCGTGCTCTAAGGGCCTCTTTGATCGACATATGCCAAGCTGGTAGTCATTCCTCCGCAGAGGACTGAGCTCCCTTGCCCGATGCCATATTGGGGTAGCTGTTTGGCAAGTTCCTCACAGCATTGCACAATTACATTTTGACTCAGATGGGCCAATGACATGTGGCTACATTTAAGCTTCGAAATAAGCTTGTCTTGCTGATCAGCCTGTGCCGGGAGTTGGCGCATTTGTAGATCCCCTCCTTTTCGTCGCCAAGTACTCTTGGCGAATTATCTGTTTTCCACAAGTAGAACATTGAGTAACTGAAGGAGTCTTAGCATCTTGGAAAATGGGGTATCACGCAAGGGCGAGTGCTCGGCTGACGATTGATGTTATCGTCAATATCGACTCGATTTAACATTCCCTAGATACTATGTCCACAATAACACATCGTCCACGAATGAAGACACACTTCTCAGACTAGTAGCCTACTTTTAAGATTCTCAACTTGGTGTTTGGTAGATCCTAAAATCTTGGCGCCGTGTGCCGTGTGGCTGTGAGATATGTTAGCTCAACACCAAAGTGCTTGGTGAGTCAACCCAGTTAGCATTGCAAGCAGCGTCACTTGGGGACACTCTGCCAATTTACGGCTTGGCCCATACTTTGTTCGTAGATGAACCAATGCCTGCGGTGCATCTCTCTACATTGTTTGATTACACTGATGCACCTTGCACACCCAACTATCCAACTTGGCGGTATGTTAGTCCAGATCTTTGGTGGATGTTGCCGCCGACTAGTTAGATGCTGGACAGGGGCTTCACGATACTCTGGAAGATTGGTGTGATGACGTTTGATGGACGATACCAGTGAGTTTTCAAGATGTCTTGACCGCGATATATATATAAAAGGCTCAGCCGCTGGTCGCTTTCTATTATTACCAACAGCAGCATCAGCATCAATTCTCACTTCAACTCTACACTACACTCTACTACACTATCAATCATACATTCTTTCATAACTTTATTCCACCGCAAATATGAAGTTCTCTCTCGTCGCAATCGCTCTCAGCACCCTCGCTGCTGCCTCTCCCACTCCTGACATGGAGCACGAGAAGCGCACCCTTGGCCTCCTCAAGCCCAAGAGCAGCGGTGTTCCCTTCACTTTCACTTCTACCTGGGAAGTCCATGCTACTCCTGACCAAGTTGTCAACTCCGACAACGAGTTCACTGGCGGGCTCAAGGGAAGCAAGGGTCTCTTCAAGTTCGGCATCAACTCCCACGAGGATATCATCTGTTACAACATCACCCTCTACGGCTTCCGTGGAGACTACGAGTCTCCCGCCGACACTGCCACTCACATCCACGAGGCTCCCAAGGGCAAGTCCGGACCTCCTCGGTAAGTCTCCATAAGTAGTCAGAGAAGCATGAGAAGATACGCAGGCTAACTCCAAACTAGTATTGCCTTCCCTAACCCCGTCGGTGACGAGAAGAGCCGCAACGCTGTCGGCTGCCTCCAGGGACCCTTCCGCACTGGTGTCATCGCTGACGGCCAGGACACTGGTGTCGGCTTCACGGTCGCTGAGATCGAAAAGAACCCTTCCCAGTTCTTCGCCGACTCCCACTCCAGCCTTGCTGTCCCGGGTGCTTTCCGAGGACAGCTCAACACCGGCAGAGTCTGCTAGAGGCTTTGAACCCCTTTCTGAATTCAGCACACAGCCTTAATACGCACACTTTCAAAATAACCGGAGAGAGTCCCTGCTTTTTTTGGTTTATTCTTTCTTATGTATCAATAATTGGTAGTCAGGACGGTTTGGGGATCAGATAGGACATCGTGTAAGATGATAATTCATTAATCGATGATATAACCTGAATCTTATAATGCGAAAATAAACAACCGTGAAATCTGATCATGCTGCAGCCTTCTTCTTCTTGGCCTTGGCCTTCTTCTTGCTCCTGTCTCTTGGTTTCAGGGCTGTCATGCCTGTCTTGCAAACGTCGGCATACCGCACGTAAAATGCTTCCAGGTCATCGGGGTTCACGACTGTGGACAGCTTGACCTTTCCGGAACGGTCTCTCTTGCCCTTGCCGTTTGACGCCCTGATTATGAGGGGTAGAGGCTTGCCAGGGTTGAGATCTGGTGAAGGTTCCTCTTCTGAGGGCTTGGGGATGTCTTGACCGTATGTGACTGGAACAGTTTCAGCAGAGATATTCAGCATGGTGGAAATTCCACGTACGTCGTTTTTGGCTCAGGTAGACGGAACCATGATCGCTGCCTTTGCGGTGATCGAACAGCTCACCCAACTTGGCGAAGAACTGGCATGATGTCAATAGCACACTCTTTGAAGATACTATGCGATCTTGGTAGACGCATATAGAAAAGGATACATACTTCGTCGTGGCTCATTTGAGCTCCAGCCATATTGATGTTGAGATATTAGCTACTGCTAAAGCTGATGTATATCGAGAGATGAGTGTTGAGAGTGGGATCCAGACATTAAAGCGACTTGTGCCCCGCCATCACATCGAGTGGCTCAAGTGTGGCATCCAATGGCTTTGGCCAAACGCTAATTCTAATTCGACAGGCGGTGAGTCTTCAGTGATTGTGCTTCGGATTGAGCCTACTAAACTGCGCTGGCTTTCTGCCGTTCAAATCTCTACGTCTCAAATATCTTTTCAACACATGATAGCGACAACAAAAGCGATTTCAGGACAATGCAAGTCAAGAAGCCTTTTGAGACTACTCCCAAAGTTATATCGAGGTTCATTTATTTGATTTGCGACAGCTCACTGTGGAGATATCACCAAAGTCGCAAAACCTCTCTTTGACCGCCTTCCGAATTAGGATTAAGTACTGTCAAACATCAAGCGGATCGCAGCTTAAAATTCCATTTTCACCTACAGATTCTGCTCCAAGCGCAACTAGAGTGCTTGTTCATTCTCGCATCTCATAAACACAATGGCGTCCACCTTGGAGCTTCAGCAGAAGCTATACAAGCGTATGGGACTAGATGTTCCAGAGCCTAAACCTCAAAGAAACGGACGACCAAAATCTAGCCATCAGCTTTCTCGAAAAGAGCAGCGAAAGGCACAGCGAGTGCAGAAGAAATCTCATGTATACACAAGACCAACCCAGCAGCGACCACAACCAACACATCATACTCAAAAAAAGCCTAGTGCTCCACAAAGAAAGCCGCAGAATAACAAACCCCAGCCAAAGCCTAAACAAGTCAGCGAGGATGAAGACGAAGACGAAGAAGACGAAGACCTTGGAGATATGTCGCTAGATGAGGACGAAGAAGAGGACGAGGATCTAGATGATTCTATGGACGAAGATGAGGAAGACGAAGACGACGAGAGTGAAACGGAAACTAAGTCTCAAAGCAAGAACGCCAAGAAGGGCGTTTCAAAAGCCGTGCAAGAAAGACTTAATCAAGACGATGCTGAAATTGAAGCTTTCGAACGGAAGCTGGGTATCAAGAAGGGGCGGAAATCATTGCCTCAATCTTTCAAGGAGGATGGCCTGGGCGATCTCTTAGGCGACCTCAGCGGCGAAGAAGATTTGAGCGAAAACGACAAGGACAACAAAAAGAGGAAGAGCGAATACGACGAATGGCTAGCATCGAAGCGAAGAAAGACTGCAGAACCTCCAAGCCGAGCCAAGGGTCTTAAGGGCGATAACCTGGATATGGACGAAGACTTCGGCGATGAAGACGACGACCTGGACTTGATGGATGAGGACGACGATGATGGTGGCGACTTTGACGACGACGACTCATTTGGTGGTTTCGACAATGACGATGCTGGAGATGACAGACCAGCCGAACCACGACAAAGAGAGAACCCATATGTGGCTCCTACTAGCGGCGTCGCTGTTGCAAAATATGTGCCGCCCTCACTACGAAAAGCTGCAGGCTCAGATGATGAACGCAAAAGTCGACTACGAAAACAGGTGCAGGGTTTAATCAATCGTCTTACAGATGCGAACATCCTGTCCATTGTCAAGTCTGTCGAGGAATTGTACCAGAACAACGCCCGTGGTGATGTTTCAGATATCATTACGGACGCGATCATGGCACAGATTTCCAAGCCAGAAACCCTTCCCGACCAATTCTTCGTACTCACTGGTGGTTTTGCGGCTGCCACCTATCGACTAGTTGGATCAAGTTTCGGCACAGTCTTGCTTCGCCGTATCGTGGAAGATTTCAAGGGTCATTATGAACAGGCCAGTAAGGAGCTCAGTGCCGAGTCAGCAATCCAAAAGGAAGCTTCGAACATCCTGACGCTTCTAACCCAGCTTTACGTGTTTGAAGTCGTCACTTGCAAGATTATCTTTGACTACATGGAGAAGCTTCTTAGCGATCTGAACGAGATAAACGTGGAACTTCTTCTGCGAATTTGCCGTATGGCTGGTCGAATACTGAAACAAGACGACGAGCGAACATTGAAGCACGTTGCTGGTGTTCTCAATCAGTCTGTCGCAAAGACCGGTTTCAATAACATCTCTGCTCGTACAAAGTTCATCGTTGAGACCATCACGGATCTTACAAAGGGCAAGCGCAAAGCCAAGGGCCTGGACTCCACAGTCGTCTCAGAGCATGTGCAGCGTATGAAGAAGCGACTTGTTGAACTCAAGTCTCAGGCACGCAGGTTGAATGGTCTTTCTCCTTTGGCTGTGGGCTTGGTAGATATTGAGGAAGCCGAAACACGAGGCCAATGGTGGTTGACAAGTGCCAGTGTACCGAGTACACTGATGGACAAGAGCAAAAAGGGACGCACATCCGATACCGAGATGAGTGATCATGAGGATATGGATATCGTGTTGCCTGACTACCCCAAGAAGGCACGTGCCCAAGGTCTGAACGGAACGGCACAGATTGCCATCTTCACAGCTCTGATGACTGCATCAAATTTTGAGCATGCCTACAGGCAATTTGTCAATCTAAAGCTCAAGAAGGATGATCAATTAGCCCTCGCCACTGTGTTGGTCCAGTGCGCGGGCAGCGAGATGCAGTACAACCCCTACTACGCTCTCGTAGGTGGGAAGGCCTGCATGCTCAATAGCAGAATCCGATTCGCCATTCAGGATCGCTTGTGGAAGATCTTCAGGAGTCTTGGAGAGTCCATGTTTGGAGAGGCCCCTGAGGAAGATGAAACAGCTGATGCTGAGCGTATGAAAGATGAGAGGCGCATAACTAACGTGGCCAAATTCTACGCGGACCTTGTTGCTGATGGAACATTGAACATCGCCATCCTCAAGCCCCTGGAACTTCCGGAGACAAACCACTGGGCATCGATGTTTGTGCAACTATTCATCATCGCTCTCATGAAGGAATGCCGCAGCAAGAAGAAGGCACCCGAGGAAGACATCAAGCTGGAGAAGATCTTTGGTGCAGCCCGAGATCTACCAGGCCTAGCTGCCGGAATCCACTGGATGTTGCGAAAGAAGATTCGGAAGACGAAGTTGATTAGTGCTAAAGAGTTGAAGAAGCTCGAAGGCGTTATCGAAAAGGTGCAGATTATCGTGCGGCCTGCAGCAATAGAGATCTAGGGGAGGAATTTTAAATAGGTCATAGACCTTCACGATGGGCAAGAAACATAGATATATAAGTAAAAAATAATACCATTGGTTTCTCCGAGCAATTTTTACCAGAATTCATTACGGCTATGTTCTTATTATTAATCATCTCAGTGACTCGGTGACTTATTCCGTAGGCGGCTCTATCTATCGTGACGTCGGTAGCCCGAAGGCAATTGACATCCGTGGCCGGGTAGGAACGGGACAGGCCGGGATCTCGGGGTTGTAGAAGACGGGACAGCCTATCGTTGGGGAGAAGTGTCTCGGCGTTGGTTGGGACAAAATGCCCGGATTGCCAGGCATAAGCTAGTGTGAATCGTGAACTATGTCTGGGAATAGTTCCAGAAGTTGGGTAGAGGGCGGTTTGCTATTCGATAGCCGGAAATACAAGTCCAGGCGGCGGGCTTCCTTGCAACGCCTAGCAAAAGCTTTACAAGGCACGCGCTGCGGAGGTGAAGGCCTGGAGGTTGATAGTGGCTCCCCTCACCGAGCTGAAAGCCAATCGTGTCAAGGTATTGGGTGACCCTCAGGAAAAAAATTACCTGATGAGCCCGGCTTACAGTACGGAGTCTTTGCCGAAAGGCCCTGCCAGATGCTGCCGCCGTGCTGTGGTTCACTGGATATTGCCCTGTGCTTTTATTTTAGTCTTGAGACGGGCGAGCTTTGTTGCGGTAACGTAACGCCTCAACCTCAACCTCACTCACCCTTGCCTCTCGTCGACTTTTTCTACCTCGTCCTCCCCCTTCCTCTCTCCACAATCTGTCCGTCCCCAATTGCACTTCCACACAACCCGCATCATGCTTTCCAGTCGCTTAATATCACGAGCTATTGCTCGCCCTGCCTTCCAGAGATCTACGTAAGTTTATTGCAATGCGCTCTGCGACGATTGGTCCAAGGCCGTGGTTTATATCAAACCTGCTTCTTTCTGTTGGGCCAAGTTCGTCATCGACGAAAAAAATGGCTCGCCAACTAACACGCTTTTTTTCTTATTCACTAGGCTTCCCAGCGTCGTCTCGGCCCCTTCTCTGTCGCGATTCAGCCGCGGATATGCCTCTGAGGCTGGTATGTTACCTCCGAGCTCATCGGAGCACGACCCCGAACAACCCGCTGACCGGATTTTCTTGCAGAGGAGAAGGACCTTGTCGTTATCGGTGGTGGCGTTGCTGGCTACGTCGCTGCTATCAAGGCTGGACAAGAGGGCATGAAGGTTGGTTTCACTGTTGATCTCGAATTTGAAACTTGGGAGATGCATGAGAGGAGAGCAATGACTGACAAGATCTTTCACGAATATAGGTTACCTGCATTGAGAAGCGTGGCTCTCTTGGTGGTACCTGCCTGAACGTCGGCTGCATTCCCTCAAAGTCTCTCCTCAACAACTCGCATCTTTACCACCAGATTCTCCACGACACCAAGAACCGCGGTATCGAGGTCGGCGATGTCAAGCTTAACCTCGCCAACTTCATGAAGGCCAAGGACACCTCCGTCTCCGGCCTGACCAAGGGTATCGAGTACCTCTTCAAGAAGAACGGCGTTGAGTACATCAAGGGTGCTGGTTCTTTTGTCAACGAGCACGAGATCAAGGTCGACCTCAACGAGGGCGGTGAGACCAGCGTCCGCGGCAAGAACATTCTGATCGCCACTGGATCTGAGGCTACCCCCTTCCCCGGCCTCGAGATTGATGAGAAGCGCGTCATCACCAGCACTGGTGCTATTGCTCTCGAGGAGGTCCCTGAGACCATGACCGTCATTGGTGGTGGTATCATTGGTCTTGAGATGGCCTCCGTCTGGTCGCGACTTGGCTCCAAGGTCACCATCGTCGAGTTCCTCGGCCAGATTGGTGGCCCTGGTATGGATTCCGAGATCGCCAAGAACACCCAGAAGATCCTCAAGAAGCAAGGTCTTGAGTTCAAGCTCAACACCAAGGTTGTTAGCGGCGACAAGTCTGGCGAGAAGGTCAAGCTTGAGGTTGACTCCGCCAAGGGTGGCAAGCCCGAGTCCGTACGTATACCATGCTTCGAGTTGTGCAACTGATTCTGACAAATTTCCAGATTGAGTCCGACGTCGTCCTCGTCGCCATTGGCCGACGACCTTACACCGCTGGCCTTGGCCTCGAGAACATTGGCCTCGAGGCTGATGACCGTGGCCGTGTCGTGATCGATTCCGAGTACCGAACCAAGATCCCCCATATCCGATGTGTTGGCGACTGCACCTTCGGCCCTATGCTTGCCCACAAGGCTGAGGAGGAGGCCGTCGCTGCTGTTGAGTACATCAAGAAGGGATACGGCCACGTCAACTACGGCGCCATTCCCTCCGTCATGTACACTCACCCCGAGGTCGCTTGGGTCGGCCAGAGCGAGCAGGACCTTAAGAACCAGAACATCCCTTACCGAGTCGGAACCTTCCCCTTCGCCGCCAACTCCCGAGCCAAGACCAACCTCGACACTGAGGGTATGGTCAAGATGCTTGCCGACCCCGAGACCGACCGTCTCCTCGGAGTCCACATCATCGGCCCCAACGCTGGTGAGATGATTGCCGAGGGTACCCTGGCTCTTGAGTACGGTGCTTCCAGCGAGGACATTGCCCGAACTTGCCACGCCCACCCCACTCTCGCCGAGGCCTTCAAGGAGGCTGCCATGGCCACTCACGCCAAGGCCATTCACTACTAAACAATGCTCGAACGGTCAAGATAGTTGGATAAGATGCTGCATGCTAACGGCTTCAGATATGTCGATTTGGTAGCAGTGAGTCTCTTCTGTGCCCTTCGCGGCGAGGAACAAACACTCTTCAATGCATACACTTGGAAGGGCGTTTGTAGTCGCCGAGAACATACCTAAAAATATACACAGGGTCAAGAAGAGGCCTCGCAAGGATAGTGCGAACGGGATAGAGCCCGGGGCGTCTCGGACTCTGGGTTGTGTAAACTAGTAGTAATTTCGGTCTGTTCAAGCATGATGAATGGAAACCACACGGCAAGATGCGTGGGCTGCGTTTGAAAGTTATTAGTTGAGTCCTTGGTGGATGAAGAGTCAACAATGATAGAATTTTTATGTCACATTGTGCTTGATATTTTGAATGCCCAACCCTGAAGAATTCCCTGCATGCCTTATCATGCCGATGCCATTTGTTTGTACCAGCTAAGAAAGTGTCAAACAAATGCTACGAGAAGTAATTAAACGACCGACCTGTATCTGTCTCATGTAGAAAGTGTACCCAGTTGGAGGCAGGGTTATCTCGACCAGTTCTTGTAGTAGAAAGCAGTTCGAATACGAATTCGAGAATATGAAGAGCTCTGTTCCTCCTACTGCATACATACAAGAGCACGCTAGCACGCAAAGCAGTACAGGGAGCTTTGCAAGGTTAATGTCGAAATCGAAAGTTTCTAGAGAGCGGGACATGCAATGTCAGCTCATTCTTGGCCGGGGTCCCATCTTGAAGTCTGAGCCTAATTCTCTATAAACAAGCTTGAGAGCGCGAACGAACGACAGCCATCTCGCATATGTTATAAACGAAAAGTAACAGGATCAGGGTTTATTGGGGCTTACATGGACATTTCACGTCTGAACCATTGTGCATACTTTTGTATGAGGATGCAGTTCCTTTTACATGTAGGAATGGATGGTTGATCAACTGCAATGGGGCACTTTTGCCTTCTTGTCGATCTTTGTAGCTGCGTTCGATCAGGGGGAACCGTAGCTGTTATCTGAGGGCGCTGATTCTAGAATAGGTACTACTCTCCCTTTCAGACTGGAAGTACACAATGGAAGGGTATTCATGAGCTATGCTGTTGTAGCTCGGTACTAAACAACACAAGAAAGATATCTACTAAGATAGATGTACTAGGAGGGTTTCAAACCCAACTGCTTCCTTCGTTCTCTAGCCGTGAGATTATATTGTTACCAATTCCATGGATATATAAGAATTCAAGAGTTGTCATCCTTTCCATGGAGATTCAGAGCTATATTGAATTGCAACTGTCTCCCAGGTCTTCATAGTGGCGGGGTAACTCTTGGCTCGCCTGGACCCGCAACTATCCCTTGCGTCCCCGCCGTTACTAAGAGGAAGATCGAGCCACCTCTTGGAAGCAACCTCCGTAAAATGGATCCTCAATTCTCTGACTCCACCACTGTTCGTGCTAGAAAACAGCACGCAGCTCACCCGTTGCCAAAGACCAAACTGTACCTACCTTTCTTTAACATGCGGTGAATTAAAGTGCATTTGATTCGCCCTCGCTATGCTTACCTGCCCCTTTTAAACTTTTTTCTTATTTAGCTGGGTCTTGCCTTTTCTTCTCGCTCTATATTTCCTCGGTAGCCCCGGAGCAAACTGCTGTGTTGCGCAGCAGTGTCCCAACACATTCTTTTTTTGGTTTCTTGTTCCTGGATCGAACCGCAGCTATGGCGCATAGCTCTATCGTTACAGGCCTGCCGGCTACGGCTAGTAATGCGCCCGAAAGAACACCAAAACTCATGAACCGAGACGATGTCGAAGCTCTGATTGCGGAAGGCAGGCATATTACCATCTTTCATAACCAGGTAATCAAGATGGATGCTTGGATGCCATACCACCCAGGTGGTGACAAAGCTATGCTTCACCTGGTTGGAAAAGACGCCTCAGACGAGATAGATGCGTAAGTTGGTCTCTATCAATTGGGAAACATGGGCAATCCTAATTGTTTATATAGTCTTCATTGTTACGAAACCCGCCAGCATGTACTGCGTTATCGTATCGGCCGAGTCGAGGGTATCTGGGAAAACCTGTTACCTCCCATCCAAGGCGGTGTCTATCGTACACGCAAAGAGATCGAACAAGCCAATGCTGAGGGGGAATCGAATAAAGACCACGATTCAAGTGCGCCGTCAACACGGGTCCCATCACCGGTTTTCGACGAGGAAGTTACAGAGGGCGTCCGGCAACGAAAGGACGACAAGAAGAAGAATGGAGCTCGAGCGCCGTCAGTATCCTCTGCCTCCAGTGTCGACGAAACCGACACGGACGGCATGTCCTACCTAGACACAATCACCCACGAACATATCCGTCTCGATCTCGAGAAATACCCTCCTCCTGATAAGGAGACACAAGCCAGAGTTGCTTCAAAATACCGTGAGCTCCATCAGAAGGTTTACGACACAGGGCTTTATAACTGCAACTATAAAGCCTATGGAATCGAGATTCTCCGATATACTGCGTTGGGTGTTGGTTCGGCAGTCTGTCTGCGTTATGAGTGGTACGCCCTGAGCGCTTTCCTCCTGGGCGCTCTTTGGCATCAGCTCTCGTTCACCGTCCATGATGCTGGCCATATGGGTATCACCCATAACTATCTTGTCGATTCTTGCATTGGAGCCCTGATTGCCGACTTTATGGGAGGTCTGTCGATAGGGTGGTGGAAGCGAAATCACAATGTGCACCACGTTATCACCAACGCCCCGGAACATGACCCTGATATCGAACACATGCCTCTCTTCGCTGTTTCCCACCGCCTTCTTGGAAGTTTGAGATCGACATACTACGAGAGAGTTATGTCCTACGATGCGGTAGCCAAGGTTCTGCTTAGGATTCAGGCCTGGACCTACTATCCGCTGCTTGCCCTTGCCCGTTTCAACCTCTACCGTCTCTCTTGGGATTTCCTTCTCATGGGTCGAGGTCCAAAGAAGGGCCCTGGACTGGCTATTTGGTGGCTCGAGATTATCGGACAAGTTTTCTTCTGGACGTGGTTCGGTTATGGCCTTGTCTACAATATGCTCCCTGACAACTGGACTCGATTCTACTTTGTCATGATCAGCAACATTACGGCATCGCCCCTCCACGTTCAGATTGTGCTATCTCACTTCGCTATGAGCACGGTCGAACTGGGCCCTCAGGAGTCTTTTCCCCAGAGACAGCTTCGAACGACAATGGATATTGACTGCCCCGAGTGGCTTGATTTCTTCCATGGTGGTCTGCAATTCCAGGTCATCCACCATCTCTTCCCTCGTGTGCCCCGCCATAACCTGCGTGCTACACAAAAGCTCGTCCAGGACTTCTGCAACGAAGTCAACATTCCCTATGCGCTGTACGGATTCGCCAACGGCAACCAGCAAGTTATTGGAAGGCTGGCCGAGGTATCCCGACAGGCGGCGATTCTTGCCAAGTGTCAACAATCTATGCAGAACGGAGATCTTGCTCATCACTAGACAAGATAGGACGGACAAATGGGCATGTGCTTTTGTGCATATAATTTGGCCCTTCTAGATTTGCGATGTTTTCAAAGGCTGGCCATAGAATAGATCAAACCACGTTTGGTGCTAGATCGCTTACTAAATAGAATGATGAGTCTATGAAAGGATTTCGCACTACCATACCCGTCGACGATCGTGATTCTGTCTCAGATATTGAGACGTATCACTACTACGAAGCGTGATTCTCGCCTAGATTGGAAGCAAGCTTTATTCTGTGCGAGACAGTCCATGTGCAGGTCTTAGTCTAGAAGTTCATAAAGTCCGGAGTCGTGAGACTTGAGAATGAGACCAACAAGAAGTGCCTTGCTTGTGCGATTTACGGTACGACCAGCGGGCATCGGCTTTCTTGCGGAGCCATCTCGAATTCAAGGCTGGATAATCACAATGGCGTTGAGGTAACATGTTTCTGTCTGGCACGTCGAGTTCTGCCCCATTCTTCATAGTATAGCCAGATTATGGACAACAGCAGCAATATAGTCTAATTACTTTCATTGCCGACGTCTTAGTAAGCTTTAATCAAATGGTTGGAGACAGGTCCAAGCCATGTTCTGATGAGCCCAACCTTTGCTGAAGCTCCAACATTGAGCGCATGAACCGGGCTTGCCGCCTATCACATGGGCCAGTCGTGGCAGTTGAGTGACGTCGATGGGTCGCACGAGGTCCTGTATGATGAAGAGGGGCCAAGGACATGGGAACTGTTTATTCGTGGATGCGTGCAGATGTTGAGAACGACATCTCATATTTGCATTTTCTCGAAATGGTATTGTTTCCTGATGATGGACTTGGTGAGATGCAAGACTAAAGTAGAGAGTGTTTCAGCGCTACGAGAGTGCGACATGAACCCAGATCGTCAAGTTGGAACCAGACGTGAGCAAGGGTATGTTGAGAATGCATGTTTCTAGTATTCTTCTGCATATAGTCTCTGAATAAGTAAACCCATGGTTTGGTATGAAGGACAAAAGTGTCCAGAAAGGGAATCACCTCTAACTACCTAGACGCGTTCGTACGTCAGATCACAAGCACGGAGTACAAAGTCCTGAAGGAGGGCGTCACCCAGCTCTTGAAGCTCGTGGGGCATTAGTGGGGGGTTGGCAGCTTTCCTCCTTCCCTGTCCAAGTTACCGTACAGTGCGTGCTAGTCAGATTCCCCTGCTCCATCTCAAACGAACCAACCACAACCGCTTGGAACCTAATTCCCACGACGACAACACTTCAACTCTCTTTCTTCTTAGCGCTCATCTCTAACTACAGCTTCAACTGTCGTCAAGGAATAAGCAGTTCACTTCAGTGCCTTCAGCAGAAGCCTACTTCGTCGCGGCCAGCGGACGATGTGAATGAGCCGCAGCTATGGATGCCAACATCCAGCGGGCCCTCAACGATAAGCTCTACGACAAACGCAAGATTGGAGCTCTTGAGTATGTCCCACTTCTCATACCGCCTTTGCGCAATGCTTCAAATTTCTATGTTGATGGCCTTGAAGACTTGCTTCGAGATCGAGGTTAAGGTTGCACCTCGGGCCGATGACCTACTACTACATTGCATCTTCCATCCTAGCAGTTCCCTTGTTAACGTTTTCTTCATAGGCTTGAACGTGTTATTCGAGATCTCGTTAGCGTTAAGGACTATCAACGCGTTCATGATATTCTCGAGCAGCTATGTAATGAGTATGCCTACGCTGTGCACCAGCCTCATGCAAGAAATGGCGGTTTAATAGGCCTGGCTGCCGCCGCTATTGCTCTCGGCTCAGTAAGTTTCACTTTCGAGGAACTCTTTCAAAAACAGAAAATAAGGGACCTCGCTGTGATATCATGTTGAAACTCATGCGCCTTTTCACCGTCTCTAACCTTCGAGTTAGGAACTACCTAGATACCTCGCCAAGATCGTTCCTCCTGTCCTAGCATGCTTTACCGATCAAGATGCCAGAGTCAGATACTATGCTTGCGAAGCCATGTACAACATAGCAAAGGTTGCAAAAGGAGAGATTCTGGTGTATTTTAATAGCATCTTCGATCAGCTTTGCAAGGTATATTCTCACACTATATCCAGATTTTGAACAAGGAGGGGGTTACTAACTACTATGACCTTGTCAGCTTGGTGCGGACTCAGAGCTATCAGTAAAAAACGGAGCAGAACTTCTAGATCGGCTTGTCAAAGACATAGTGTCCGAGTCTGCTGCTTCATATGTGTCCATCCTGGAAGCACCGCCCGAGTTTGACGGCGATGACAAAGTCTCGTTTGGGGAAAACTCCCACTTACCTACCGCATTCTCTCTTCCTCGATTCATTCCCCTACTGAAGGAGCGTATATGGGTTATTAACCCATTTACTCGTCAGTTTCTTGTTGGTTGGATCACTTTGCTCGACTCAATACCTGATCTGGAGCTCGTCACATATCTACCGGACTTTCTTGGGGGCCTTCTCAAGTTTTTGTCAGATCAGAATTCCGATGTGCGTGTCGCTACGCAGAACTGCCTGGATAAATTCCTGAATGAAATCAAACGCATTGCTCGCATCAAAAAGGGAATCTTAGAAAGCAAGCGATCCAAGGAGGGCACTAAACGGAAACGACAAGACTCCATCGACAGCGAATCCATAAACCCAGATTTCGAAGAAGGGGATGAACTCGACTCCGACGCTGCATTGGATGATGACGACGACAGTAGCGGAGAAGATTGGATTCCTGGGCAGGATGTTGAGATCAACTACAAGGAAATCCTCCAAATTTTGACGGCGACGTTGGATTCACCACTGGGTTAGTTGACCTGTTAACTTATTTTTATGATGGCTAACACATTGGCAGAGGAGGATTGTCTTCTCGAGTCCCTGCGATGGGTTGTAGAGTTTCTTGATATTTGTCCCGAAGAGGTTCTACCATTCACTCCCAAGATTCTTGCCCATATGCTACCAGCTATGGCTAGCACCAAGGAAACTATCCATCAGGCAGCGACTCGAGTTAATACTTGTCTAATGGACTATGTTGTTTCACTGTCCGATGACTCTGAGCTGACACAGCCGCCACCCGCACAACCGCCCCAAAACTTCTCGACTTCTCGATTGTCTGTACCTGGGGAGAAGGGGTCTGATGGCGTAAACAGCAATCGCGTATCTTTATCGAGCTCCAAAGACTTGGAATTCCGTAGTCCTACGCCTGCGCAAGGTCGCTCGATATCTACCCCGGTTGATATCAACATCACTCAAACGCAAGCCGACCTGGACTATGCCGCAGCTGTCAATTCTCTCACTCTCCTCTTCCTCAACGATCATGAAGCTACCCGGGTGGCAGCCCTGACGTGGCTTATTATGTTGCACAGGAAAGCTCCTCGAAAGGTACTTGCTTTTAATGACGGCACGTTTCCGGCGCTTTTGAAGACATTGTCAGATCCATCCGATGCTGTTGTAACCAAAGACTTGCAACTCCTTTCGCAAATTTCTCGGAACACGGAAGATGACTACTTCGCCAATTTTATGGTAAATCTGTTGCAGCTCTTCTCAACAGACAGAAAGTTACTCGAGACTCGAGGCAATCTCATCATCCGACAGCTTTGCTTGAGTTTAAGCCCCGAGAGGATCTACAGGACGTTGGCCGATTGTATCGAGAAGGAGGAGGATGTTGAATTCGCCAGCATAATGGTACAGAATCTTAACAACAACCTCATCACTGCCCCTCAACTGGCCGACGTTCGCAAGAGGCTACGAAATCTTGAAACCAGGGTAAGCAAGAGCCCGGATGATATCTTCAAATCGGACAATACTAACAAGTACTAGGATGGTCAAACACTGTTTGTGGCTCTGTTCCGATCATGGTGCTATAACGCTGTGGCTACGTTCTCGCTTTGCCTGCTGGCTCAAGCTTATGAGCAAGCATATAACTTGCTACAAATTTTGTAAGTGCTGCAGAGATCCCATCTTATCCCGACTAACGACTTTGACTTAGCGGCGAGTTGGACATGACAGTCAACATGCTCATCCAGGTCGATAAGCTAGTACAGTTGATTGAGTCACCCGTCTTTACATGTAAGCTTTTACTCTGGCCAAAGTTCAAATTAGAAGCTAATTAGTGGTCTAGATCTACGCCTACAGTTGTTAGAGCCCGAGAAGTATCCGTACCTTTACAAATGCATGTACGGTATTCTGATGCTTCTGCCGCAATCTTCGGCGTTTGCTGCACTCAAGAATCGACTCAACAGTGTCAGCTCTATAGGATATCTACATACAGCACCTCGAGCGTAAGTTTTCAGATGATTTCTGTGGCACTGACGACCAAAGAGTATTCGTTATTCTTGGTTTACATCTGCCACTTTCCACAACAGCATGCTGACGCTCAAATAGTGCTCCAGCACCTACGAGTAGCTCCAATTTCGACAGGCCAAATCGACTCAAAAGCAGGGAAGAAGGAAACATACGTTGGGTTGAACTTCTGGAGAAATTCAGAAGTGTCCAGGAACGAGCGCGGCGCGCGCAGCGTCAAAACAACATGGATGGCGACGATATGCTACCAATGGGAGTCAGTGAGCTTCGCATCGGCGACGGAGCTGTAGACATCAAGGGCAAGGAGACGCGCGGTGTTGGCCTACAGTCGATTCCCCAGAAGGAACCGACACCTGCCCCTCCAGTTCCAGCGAAGAGGACAGGGTTGGGCAGACAGTTTGGAAGATTGGGCGGCGCAGTGGCAGGTAAAGGCCGACGCAATCAATAGAAACTGCACGAAATTTGGTTATATAGGTATTCAGCGTTATTTTGCCCGTTTGTCAACTTGCCGCGCAAGTGGAGTTGATGGTGTTGGTATGTCATTAATGTATAGTATCGAACCAAAGATCGATGGAGACAGTGTCAGCGTCGTCGTTTAACCGGACTCTCACGCTCCACTAAACCTTCGAAGACTGCATCACGTTGTGATTCTATAGATCGAAGTTCCTGTCGCAGCTCTTCCAATTCTGCTCTCGCCATGTCTGGATTGCTTGGTAACCCCTGAAAGACGGCCAGTTGTAGGTCAAGCTCTTTCTTTTGTGCCAGGACTGATAGATATTCTTGCTCGTCGCGAGAGAGGTCGGCAATGGTTGGGTGCGAAGAGTTGGAAGATGCAGCAAGTGAAGCAACCTTGTCTTGGAGCTCAGGGAGCTTGGTGGATAAAGCCTTAATCTTGCGCTGCATTTCGAGGTTTTGTTTGGCCAGATGCGCCGGAGGCTGGTAATCTTCGCTTTGGAGGTCTTTGAGTATATTGTTTATGCGAGCTGCTTCCTCGTCAATGTGCTTGTGCAGGACTTCGACGCGGGTCTTCATTTGTTCTGCATCATGTATGCTTGATTGAAGCTGAATCATCCGTTGACCCAACGTCTCTGGCTCCGGAAAGGCGACACCAAATTGCAGCGCTATGTTTCCCATAGCATCAAGAGCTGTGTGTCCATCGGCAGGGAGGTTGTGTTGCACAGCTTCGATCAGGCCTTCTCGCAACGGCCGACTCTTGTTCTCGATCTTAGCTTCGGAGTCGGTGAGCTCCTGTAATGCGGCGGCTTCAGCTTTTGCGACCAAATTACGCTCCTCGTCTGCCGATTCGTTCACAGATGCCAGGGCTAGTAGAGCCTTGAGCGTATCGTTATTGCGCTCGAAGGAAGGGACTGGACGAGGGTGGAATTTCGAAGAGAGCCAGGCGTCGATATATGACCAGTCGCGGGCGGTGGAGGCAGCGATGCGAGCAACGGAAGGAGAGAAGATGGCCGAGTCTTCACTGAGTAGGCGGTGATGCGCCATGGTGAAATGCGCCACGCAAAAATGTGAAATAGGTGCTGTTTGTCTGGACTTCAGAAACGTATTTGGTACGGCATGCTGCACCGGAGTTGTATGTAAATAAATTGTGAGATTCAGGGTCGAGACCAACCTAAAGTGGTGACGCCACAGCACAACAAGCCCAAGCCCAAGCCGCAGGCACAGTTGACAGGCACATGCAAGCTGCAGACTGCAGTCCAGTCGGCTGCCATCAGAGTGGATGATCACCCCTGTCCCCTGGCACTGTATGCGCAAGATGATTCGGTCCCTTTCTAGACTAAGCTTATAGCGCCCGGCGCTAATTCCTACAGCACCCATGGAACCTACAGCCTGGAACTGCGCCCGAAATTCCTAGCACCTGCTAGTTAAGTACTTGTGGCCACCTATCACAATTGGTGAGAGGCCGTGTACCTGATTGACAGATACCAACTTTCCCTGTTCAGTCAATCGGAGGCACTTGGCTTTGTTGGCTTCTTTCGTGAATAAAGTTGTCCTCTTTGCTCTCGACTGTGACTTGCTTTCTTTCCCTTCTATTGAGTATTACGAGTCTCTCGCTCAGTCGACTTCTGGTTCTTTCATTTACTACAATCGTCGTCTCATTGAATTGTCGTCGGCTATTGCAACCATTAAGAAGTTGATGCCTCGCCTATAGACATTATTCACCTGCGACTTGCTTGCCCTTCTACTTCTCTTATACTTCGAATCGACCCAACTCCTTCGAAATGCACTTGAACCTTGCTGCTCTGGCAGTGGCCGCTACGACTTTGCTCGCTTCGGCCAACGCTCTCTCACCTCAGGATGTCCCGGCCGACCTTCCTGTTTCGCAGCTCCTTACTACGGCGCAGTCGCATTTGTCTCGTGGCGAAACCAACGAGGCTCTTGTCTACTATGATGCCGCCATCGCTCGCGACCCTACCAACTACTTGACTATTTTCAAAAGGGCCACCACGTACCTCTCCTTGGGCCGAACTTCGCAGGCGACCGATGATTTTAATAAAGTGCTGTCGCTGAAGCCTGGCTTCGAGGGTGCCCACCTTCAACTTGCCAGGCTGCGTGCCAAGGCAGGAGATTGGGACGCCGCAAAGACACAATATGGACTTGCTGGAAAGCCTTCTAGCTCTGCTGAGGTCGTGGAGCTCGATGAAGCCAAACTGGCCTACAGTATGGCTGAGATGGCTGGCAAGGGCGGGAAGTGGGATGAGTGTGTCAGCCATGCTGGTACGGCCATCGTGGTTGCGAGTCGATCTCCCCATCTGCGCGAACTTCGAGCGCATTGTCGTTTCGAACTTGGGGATGTCGAAGAAGGCATGAGCGACCTGCAACATGTCCTCCACATGAAGCCTGGCGATACCAGCCCGCATGTTGTCATCTCGGCTACCTCTTTCTATGCGTTGGGCGACATGGACAATGGTATCGGGCAGGTCAAGAAGTGCCTTCAGTCTGATCCAGATTCCAAGATCTGCAAGAAGTTACACAAGCAGGAGAAGAAGCTCCAGAAGGCGATCCAGAAAGTCCAAACCCAACTCGGCCGATCCCAACCTACTACAGCAGGCAGAGCGTTGGTTGGTACTGCTGATGAGCCTGGTCTGGTCCCCGAAGTTCGACAACAGGTGGATGAGCTGAAGAAGAACAAGAGCATCCCACACAACGCACGCACACAACTATTGGAACTCTTGATAGAGCTCACCTGTCAAGCACAGAGCGAGGTAAGACTCGCTTTTGTTTCGTTTCTCTCGTGGGTCACTAACAATCATTCTAGTCAAATCACAAAGACGTTGCCAAGTATTGCGACGAGTCGTTACAGCTTAACCCCGACTCATTTTGGGGTCTGCTGCACAAGGGTAAAACACAATTGAAGAGTGAACTATACGACGCCGCTATTGCAACCTTCCAAAAGGCTGCTGAACTTCGACCCGAGCTAAAGGAGAAGGTCAACCCCCTGCTCAACAAGGCAAACATTGCTCTCAAGCGCAGCAAGACAAAGGACTACTACAAAGTCCTTGGTGTTGAGCACGACGCCGACGAACGCCAGATTAAATCCGCCTACCGTAAGCAGTCTAAGATCTTCCACCCAGACAAGGCGGCCAAGCAAGGTATTCCCAAGGAGGAGGCCGAGAAGAAGATGGCTAGCATCAACGAGGCATACGAAGTGCTTAGCGACCCTGAATTGCGAGCGCGCTTCGACAATGGTGATGATCCCAACTCGCAAGAAGGTCCCAGAAACCCCTTCCAGCAGGGCAACCCCTTCGGCGGTGGCGGACATCCTTTCATGTTCCAGCAAGGTGGTGGTGGGCCCAACATTAAGTTCCAGTTTGGAGGTCAAAACTTCGGCTTCTAAGTATACTCAATGGATTTTGGATTTATTGCAGATGAAACTTTCAGATATTCTTTTACAGCGAAGGGGTTCGAAACATTATTTGGAGTGGTAGAGAGCATTGCTTTCCGAGAATTGACTATATATATATATATATTCACAAGGACATGTCTCTTCCTCTGGAGTACTTTGGGGTCATGGCGTGGGAGTTTTCGTAGTTTCTCTCATTCTCATTCTATATGGAGTCCTGCCACACGCACAATTGAGAAAATGCCAACGTTCAAGGACTTCTTGATTCTCAGTAACCAACTGTCTGCATCTCACACAATTTTCCTACAATGCGAGGTCAACCAGACTCTCACAACTTTCACAAGCCGCACTTACCTTGCAATGCTCGACATGCTTGCTAATTCAGCATGGCCAGACATCGAGAAGCAGGCGAAAACATTGTCACTTATGGAAAGCTATATTGCAGTGATGGTCGGCACTATTTGGCAACAAACGTCAACTGAGGCGAGGGACGGCGCAAGTTCACACTCGCCAAGAACCTGCGGAAGGCCAAAGCATGCATGCTAGTATCTTGACATTGACAAAGAACTCGCAAAACTATCATGACACAATCCACGCCGTCTAGCTGCGCAAATGAACACCAACACTCCCTCACCCGTTTCCGATCCTTTGTCGCCGCTCTTGTCCGTTTTGTTCGTAAGAAATGGTGATGTTTCGTTATGTACACGATCCGTTGCTATTTGTCCTGGGCCTTGCTCAGCCTAGCCTATGGGAGAGGCAATGCTGATCTGCAAAGTCAGTCGACATTCTCCAAGTAAAGAATGTAAACCGAGCCAGGGAAAGCGCCAAATCAAAAAGGTAGTTAATGGTTGAGCAAACCTCATGGATATGCCATCCTCGTTCCCAAACTTTCCAAGTTTTTATCGTCATTATTTTTCACTCTCAAGTCTATCCTCTTCATGAACTGAGCCGTCGTACTTCGATAATGGAATTGATTTCTACACTTGGTCAAGAACTGGTCGCTTTGGCGATTGACGATTTCAGGCAGCGTCGTTTCGCTTGATAAAGTAAGACCTAACAGGGAAGTCCGGTTAGCTTCGAGCGAGATATTAGAACTATCAACATACTTGGAGAACTCATAAGCTGACCAGCAGATGGCTGTGCTGGGCATTGTGGTGACAATACGAGGTCGGACGCCCTTAAAGAAACCCGCGACGCCAGCTCTTTGGTATAACAGCCTGCATCCTCCAACAAAGCTGTTGACTTGTCTCACTTGAGGATCGGTCGATGTTCCACGTGTTTGAAGCATTGTCTTGATGACATCCATGGGAGTTGTAAGACCGGCAGCAAATCCACCAGCAACAGCGCCAGCTAAGCAGTGTGTCATAGGGTCGTAGTTCTTTGCCGGGTTCATGGCGGTAGAGATCGACTCGTATGCGAGGAACTGGAGGGCCGTGAAAGGTACTGTCATGGACAGTGTCGTGGGGTAAGAGATGTAGAAAGCTCCTAGGCCTTCCGACCTGTAGACATACTTGGCGCAGTCAAACATAGATCTGTACATCTTGCTAGAATTTTGGATCTGCATACGTTGCTTGATAACTACAAGGGTGTCAGCGAACACGGATTCAACATGCTAGAGGGTGCGGCATAAGCAGCGTACCATCGAAAGGATTCATGAAAGCATCGCTAGCAATAGTAGCGGCAGCACCACTAGTAGCTACGAGAGGCGAAGTCAGCAATGAATTTGGACAGGCATTGGCGCGAAATGTATTTACCAGCAGCAAGAGGATGGTGAACACCCGCCTGGTTGCCACCCATGGCATGTTTAACTGCTTCGTAAGTCGCAAAGTAAACGGCATGTGCAGGTCCTAGAAATTGTTAGCGATCATGCATGATGGGCCAAGCTAGCTCGAATTCTAGCATGACGTGGTTGACTTACCAGCACCAACGATGACACTGGACATTCCGCGCCATAAGCTAAAGAAGCCCTCGGTACGGGCGATTTGAACAGTATTGCGGATGACACCTGAATAGGCGGGAGTGGTGCTGGGGTTAAGTATCTGCATTCTCGTCTTGAAGCGTGTCAGATAGTTGTTCAATACTCACAGAGAATGGGAGAAACAAACCTTGATCGCATCAATCGGATACATGGCAGTGTGCTCCTATGCAAACATGTAAAATTAGCCATGCGTGTCATGGAAAATCCGGACAAGTGAAGCATACTGCTATACCAGCAAAGGCACCTGCTGCCATATTCTGCAGCAAAGAGAAGTTGGGTGGCAGAGATTCATAGCTGCGCAACAAATGGTCAATCTCAAGCTCCAGGTAGCTATATCGAACAATGCTCACTCGTAATCCTCGACTGGCTCTGCACTTGGCTGGGCCATGGCGGCCACAGCTTCCGATGCTCCGCCGAAAGGCTTGGTCTCGAGGGCCGCCAGATTGGCGACTGGAGGGGATATCGAGGTAATTTCGCTGTAAAAAGGACGGCGATCGAGTCGTGCCGGATGTCGAGTGGGCTACGGTGGTTTTTTTCTCGAGAGAATGGAGCTCGGGGTTTCGGAGTTGTTGGGGTGCGCCTCACGGATGGTCGCAGTAAAGAGGAACGATGACGATGTCGATGTCGATGTCGAAGTTGATACTCGAGATAAAGACCCAGGGGCGAAAATAAGGCCTTGCACTTGACAAAGCCGAAAGTGCCGCGCAAAGTCGTCGATATACCCTGTGGTTTCTTCCCTTCCCAGACCTACTCGGTCTATTCAAACAGGCTAATGAATGAGCAATCTGACTCCGGGTTGACGGTTATAGAGAGCAAAAGAAAGAAAAGCGCGGGCAGCCGAGCGGAGGCGATGGAGCAAAAAAGCAGTTCAGAGGGTTAGGTAGGTTGGCGTCTTTGACTTGTGCTAGGTCTACCTAGACGGGGAAAACTCCAGGTCAGGTAAGGTACCGATACAGCAGTTTAGTAGCTGGAGCTACCTGTAGAGTGATACCTACGGATAGAAAAAAATAAATTCTGGGGATTGAGAGATGGAGCTCCGTTTACGGCCTCGGAGTCCGGACAAGAGCTAGGGATTTTAAGACCCTTGGATGTACCTTTTGGGCTAATCTTTGGCGATAAGCTACATGTCTTGTCATTTCTCTTTCCCCTCCTTCCATTCTGATTCTGATTCTGATTCTGATTCCAATTCTTTTTCCCTCTCCCCTCCTTTAGCGTCCTTTTCACCTCAAACGTGCGCTTGCTTTACCTTGTAAGTATCCCTAGACTAGACTGAAGTAGTGGATGCTGTTAGTTAAAGTCCTCGTTATCGCACATTTCTCTGTGGTAATTGTCCCGCGGAAGTGTCTTGATAGCTCCATCCAATATCTTATCAATTCACTTGATGCCGAGGCATAGCGGTACTTAGTAGCCTAGCCGTTACCGTTCGACGACATATTTAATTTTACCTGTCAATTATCATCCAAAACTCAATGCCTGAGAGTTATGATTTTTTTTTGTACAAAATAATCTCAACGACATCAGTGCCTGTTTGTGATTGAGCGATTCTGTGAAAACGACTCAAGCATGTCTCGGATCCTCTTGTTCCTCTGCCCGGGATCCATCCATACCCATCCATACCTTATCCATGGATATCATGGAACCTTCCGACCCTGTACTATTCGTTACTTCTCAACGCGCATCAGCGCCTAGAGCAAGTATAGTAGGTCAAGAAGTTTGATTGTATGCATGAAACATGTCCAAATCCCCTGCCCTGTTATACAGGGAAACCCGTCTCGTCGGTTTCAATGACAGGGTTGAGTGAGTGTCAAGAACCCGTCGTTTATTAGGCATGTCACACAACTGCTGGGAGTGAGATCTAACAAACATGCAAGTCTCCGGACAAGAGATTGACAGTGGATAGAAAGAACCTCATGCGTTATTCAACGACCTACGGTAGAAACAAACAAACATATTCTGGTTGGGGTAAAAGATTCCACATCACCCTGGGTAGAGTTATGCGCGAAACATTCGCTTAATTTAGATTAGAGAAAAGAACGAGGGTTCTTCCTCTCACTGTGAGTGGCGCTGTCAGAAAGTAGCTCACCTTGGCTGCATAGTCTAGGTCATTTGTGTCTTCTATGGAACTTTTATCGTAACAAGAAACAACATTATAGACCTCTTTCAGAAGTAATCAGTCACTAAGGACAGATATACGACGCACAATTAAGCACAGCCATCAAGGTATATATCTCACTACTGCCCAACTAGACTGTCGCAGTACCCAAAGACCGGGGCATGTACAAGGGCTGGGTATCTTTGCACGATGAAATTAAGTTATCAATCAGCAACGGGATCCATTATCCGTAATCAATCAGTTCAGTCGAGTCCCTTCTTACATCTGTTATTACTCCACTACCACTACTTGAGTCGAACTACTCTTTTGTTAAGTTGTTCGCCATGGATGGACATGGTCATTCAAATAGTTGGTTTATCTCACTCGTAGTTGATTGCCATCATCATGGCACCCTCTGGTTGTAATATACCATCACCGAGTGGTTTTGAATCAACGTTTCCATCTACTCCCGCATACGATAGGCCATGTGTTATAGGCTACAAGTGTTCGATGCCGACGTCGGCGCTTTCACCCCGTCAGATCCGGTGGCCAGCATGTCACACCTCGGAATTGCAGCTCCGAGCCGGGCCTTCGTCAATACTGTATACCTTAGGAATGCTCCATGCATTTGCAAAGTGACACCGATGGCAAATCAAGTTGGTGAGGCACGCTGTTTATTCTGCTGCCTACCTACATGAACTGCCTACACGACCTGCCACGGCCGGCGGTCGTAATTCTGTTACCCAAATGAATCGAGGCCAATCTATTCAAGCATGTGCTCTGAATTCCTCGGCATCAATCGGATGAATCCGCCCGCGATATACAGTAACCAGTCTAGAAAGAATAAACGCCAATAAGATCAACCTCCGTCTTGGGAGGACTAGGGTATTCTGGGGCTGATGACTTCCAACAAGCACCATGACGCCAATGCCACTTACCATTCGAGAACAAACAAACCCAAAAAATGAACATGCTTCAACTCACACCATTCCACCACCTCGCCGAGGCCTTTGAGTCTGTTGAAGTTGATAAATGAGACCAAGCACCCCTGCTTCGGGGTCTTCAGTGTTGGCCGCGCTATTCTCTCGAGTCACTCCTCTTGCTGGCGAAGTTTCCCATATCGATTCACCCAGCGCACCTCCTGGTTCATATAACTCATCGTCTTCTCCATTTCGCCTAGAGGCACTGACTTCACTCTCTTCGATGATTTGGCTCTCCCCTCGATATCCTCGCGGGTACCTTGATGCATACAGACTCCGTGCAACCGCATTACCCCCAGGAGGCTGGTGATGCTGATCCAGTAGCATCGACGCCATTGGAGAAGGCTGGGGCATCGCTCCCATGCGTGCGCCTCGTCCACCAGGAGCTCGACTTCTGTTGCGCCCTGTCTCTGGTCGACCAATATGCGAACCCTGCATGTCTGCTGCCAGTGTAGGAGATCCGATTCCTGGGAATGATGGGGGAGGGTGGAATGCTGGTTTCGGTCCGGGGGGAAGATGGCCAGGAATGCCAGTCTTCGGGTTCGCTGCGTAGTTATCGAGGAATCCGTAGTAGGATGCTGCCATCTTGCCATGTTTTGTAGAGTAGTAGTCCTCACGGACATCTGGCCGAGGCCTCTGAGGCCCAGTATTGCCGGGACCTTTCTGAAAATCAAATACAGCGAACGAGCAGACATAACCGAGTCCATCAACATGGATTGTGAATTCTCGGAAAAAGTCGACGATCTGATCACTGCACTTCGGGAGTGAGAATAGCAGTAGCATGGGCGTTGTGACGATTCCCATCATTTCCTCCAGAAATATCACCACTTTCATCTTGTAGAGCTCTGAGAATTCTTGTTTGACCTCGGTGCTGTGAAGCTTGTTGCGCCAGTGATCCGGCACATATCGCGTGTATTCAATGACATTCCGGAGTGCGTATTCCGGATTGAAAACCAAGGTCTCTTCAGACACCATACCACGAGTTGCTGCCCAGATGGCAGCAAAGATACCCAGATAGAACATCACAGGCCTGTCTTTGGTGATCTCAAAACTAAGAAACAGCTCGGAATCGAGAATGGATCCAACTCCCAGGATGGCTGTGATTGCGCCTGACATGAATGCAATGCTTTTGGCGACTTCTTCAGTTATCCTCTTGGGGAATTGATCAATGTATCGAGTTGCAAATGGGTATGACATATGCAACCGCTCATAGAATATATGTGGTAATTCGTTAAATTGTCGAAATTTCCATTCCGCCAGAGATGTGTACTTTCGCGCTGCAGCCTGTTTAGGATCCTTCTGGTATTCCTGTTACAAATTAGCTTTTCTGTCAATTATCCAAGGGGCTGTTCACTGACGTAGTAATACGTGAAGAAATAGACAAGGACTACATATGCGAGCACGACTGGCGCAAACAAGAGGTTAAGGAACCCAGCAAATAAGAAGCGCTGTCTTAACTTCTGGCTCAGTAGACGTCTGCGATCCGGACGAAGAAAGTCTTGCTGAACCTGTCCAAGCTCGTTAAAAGCCATATCGAGGATACAGTATTGGAGATACCATTCCATCGTCTTGGAGAACAACTGGCGACCCCGCAGGAAGGGGACCGGCAGGGACAGGTCCAAGATATCCTTGTTGATCATCGCTATAAGATAGTTTTCCTTGCGCATCAGACGATTGGCAATGTCGAGTGCATCGAGCCGTTCCTTAGACTGGCTTCCCATGAACTGGCGCAGTCTCGGTGAAATATTAGTTGCAGTTTTTGGGTTCTCTTCGCGAAGCGCCATAATGCGGCCTACCACGTCCTGCCACGAGATAGTCTGCATGTCTTGTTCCGGGATCTCAAGGAGGTAGATATAAAAGTCTCTGATGTACGTGAGACGACGTAGCTCCACGAAGTATTGAACACACTTCCATATGAAAAAGAAGGTGTAGAGCCAAATCATAAAGTTCCACAGTCCGGACATTTTGCGAGTGCATTGCGGGACGATAACCTCATGCAAGGAGTGACTTTTGGGGATTTCTGAGTAATCGATGCACTGACTGAGAAAGGTGAGTAGTACCGCAACGAAAAGAGTTTCCCTGGCATCACAGGTTAGCTGTTGACAAGCCATATTACTGAAACCTAGCACACTCACATAAGCCACAAGGCGTTGGTGGAAAGGATACACCAGAGTCCTCCACCCTCGTAATAGTCGTAAACATCGCGCATGAAGCTGTCCAGATTCGATGTGTTGACCCACCTCCACAATGCTTTTTCTCTCGGATTGTTCATCATGCCGCCCCCGGCAATCGGCCTTGGCTGTGGTCCTGCAGACGTACTGTATGGGTCTTCCTGGTGAAGTAGTTGTTGTGCGGTTGCCGCCTCCCACTGAGCCCTTGTCCGTGCCGACGATGGCCCTGCACTTGCAGGCGTACGTGGGTTTCCGGAACGAGCTGCTCGCCTGGGAGGCGATGTTGTATGTGGGTTCGTCATATCTTTTGGTTCCATCAATAGCGAGGCAGGTACTTCATTATCTCCCTCGTCGTCTTGTTGATGCCATCGTGGCGGTGATCGCCCAGGGCTTCGAACATGCGCTGTTGGTTGAGGGTTCGCCTTCCCTTTGCCTTTTGGACCCGGTACTGCGCTTTCCACAGTCATGCGACTATCGCCGATATCAAGTCCTTCGGCGTGAAAGTCCTCGAACCGGTGACCAAGATTCTCCTCATCAAGACCGGGGTCATACTCGGGGTCTTCTCCAGAACGTAGCTGTTGGTAGAACGACTGCGCTCCCCTCGAAGGGGATTTGTTCCGAGAAAACATATTGGAAATAATCAAATATTCGGTAATCCGATCAAAGATGAAGAAGGATGGGCATTTCGGTTCAGTGTCGAGATTCGATGACGGTAGCTTCTTAGTACGAGGTGTCTACGAGAACGAGAACGGTCTTAATCAAATGTTGCGTGATGATACCAGGCTTTGGGAGATTCAGCAGAATCAAAATACAGTTCAGGATGGGTCCTAGGAGTCGAGAAAGTGTCAGTTTTGATATAAAGGTAAAACGGGTGGTCACAAGGGGATGAATCACGATAAGCGTGACCTAGAGCACATGCCTATGGTAGGTAGGTAGGTGCCTATCTACAGTAACGAACGGACCTAGTTGAACCTGACCCAGACTTGGACGAATGGAGTTGTGACATACCTTTTGGACTTGTATTGTGAGACAAAGCGGCTATACAAAGAACTCCTAATAAACAGACAGATAACTGGAAGTTTAATAGATAGACGTACTGTCCAGGCATCACCGGCTGCTGGTATGACGCTACAGAGCGGTGAGAGGTTCTGCCAGACAAATACCGATAAGACCCCCACGATTGGCTAACCACCGCCTGCCTGATCTGGGGTCCACTCACGACACCGTTGCACTCAGCATTAGATGTTAGTTAATTAGGTAGGTAGTCTAGTATCTACCTGTCTCATTAATAATATTCATCCCTCTTAATCATTCATCTTGAAATAACATAACATTGTTTATTCACATACTCCACGAGATTTTCGACTTCGATTCATGGGCTTGTGTGAGATGGAATAAATATTGTCACAGCAAGAAGTTACTGTTACTTCAACATTCGAACGAACCTCCTTCAACATGACTCCTTCAGATCACTCTTTGTCACTCAAGAGTCTTCCTTTGAGAGATAATCTCAACTCCGGGATCTCTTCTGCAGAGGGCTACCCACAACCTCCAGCTACTCCCAAAGGCATTACGCCCCTGACCTCCAAAGTGACGAGTGTCCTCTCCACGACACATTCCGATGCTGAATTCCGAGACGCCTTGTCTCTTCTTGATCAACGTGGGATTCAAAACGACGCCGAGACTCGTCGACGTGTTCGATTAGACTTGCAAAAAGAAGTCATTGACAGTAATGGCGAAGTTATTGCCGAATTCGGGCGCGTAGCAGAGGTGGGTTCCAATATCTTACAAAAGGATTTATACCAACTCGCAAATAGCAACTCAGGCGCATTAAAACAACTATCGACAAGCTCAACAATGGGTATGATGAAATGAAAGGCCAAGTTGTCGAGGCTCACAGACAAACTTTACCGGCACTTTCTGAGGCATCTTCTCTACTAGAGCAAAGAAGGCAAGTTGAGGTCAAGCAGGAACTTCTCGGGGCTTTCAGAAAACACTTCATCATGTCTGACAACGAAGTCGCTGCTTTGACACAAACGGCTGAACCGGCTGATGACCATTTCTTCGACGCTTTGAGCAAGGCAAAAAAGATTAGCAAGGACTGCGAGATCCTGCTCGGTTTTGAGAAGCAGACACTAGGACTGGAGCTTATGGAGCAAATGTCGAAAAACATCAACCTCGGCTTTCAAAAACTCTACAAGTGGATTCAACGGGAATTCAAGACCCTGAATCTTGAGAATCCTCAAATGAACTCTTCGATCCGTCGGGCACTCCGAGTTCTGGCTGAGCGACCGTCGCTCTTCCAGAACTGTCTCGATTTCTTCTCCGAAGCTCGGGAAAGAATCCTCTCGGACTCGTTTTACACAGCACTGACTGGTACTTTGCCATCAGGAGCTGAAGATCAATCTGTCAAACCAATCGACATGTTGGCACACGACCCATTGCGTTATGTTGGAGACATGCTAGCCTGGATCCACTCAGCTACTGTCAGTGAACGAGAAGCATTGGAGGTTCTCTTCGTTGCCGAGGGGGAGGAACTTGCCAAGGGGCTCAAGTCTGGACGAGATGCCGAGATATGGCGGCTTGTTGCCGAGGACGACGAAGCTGAAGCTGATTTCAATGCACTCAAAGCACTGAATGATCTGGTTGATCGTGATGTTTCTGGTGCTGCCCGAGTGCTTCGTCAACGAATGGAGCAGGTAATCCAAGCAAACGAGGACACCATCCCAGCCTATAAACTTGCAAACCTCATCAATTTCTATCGCATTACTTTTCAGAAAACACTGGGCCCCAACTCAAACTTGGTAGAGTTAATCGGAGGTCTGGAAACAGAGGCGCTACGGCAATTCCGAGCACTGGTAAGGGATCACATTGCAGCCCTGCAGGGTGAATTTCAACATGCCCCTTCAGACCTTGGTCCGCCCGGTTTTCTACAAGAGTCCCTCAAACAGCTCAAGGCTATTACCAAAACTTACGATTCCTCGTTATCTGCTTCAGAAGATCGAGAGAGCGAGTTTGAGAACGTATTAACAGAGGCTTTTGAACCGTTCATGGCCGGCTGTGAGAATATGGCTAAGAACATGAACACACAGAATGGCGCCATCTTCCTTATCAACTGTTTTTCTTCGGCAGTAGCATGTTTAGAACCGTTCGAATTCACGCAACGAAGAACCAAGCAGCTACGTGAGAAATCAGATGATCAGGCCAAAGGGCTCATCACCAGTCAATACCACTTTTTCCGAAAAGGCTCAGGGTTGGATGCCATCTTCTCCAAGTTGGAGGAAGACGATGATAAAGATGCCACCTCATTGGATGAGAAAGCTCTGGCTCAGGCAAGCCAAACACTGGATGACTTCTTGCCATCGGCACTCATGGACGCTATGGAGAATCTAAAGCATCTTCAAGACGCCAAACTGGCCCGGCAGATCACTGAGGAAGCGGCCGAGCAATTCTGCAATGACTTTGAACAACTAGAGGAGGTGATAACAGAGGGTGATGACGAATCCGTGAACTCTGAAGAAGAAGATCAAGGGCTGCGGTCTGTGTTTCCCAGAACCACAGCAGAAATTCGCGTACTGCTTTCCTAAACTACCTGACTACCTGGTAAACTCCAGCAAAATTAATACCTAAAAGCGAGTTAAGCTCCCAGATATAGATCTGCAAATGCGACATAGAAGCTAGATGGCTATGATATACTGCATTAACGAGTGCTTTACCAAACGCTGCTTTTCTGTGTAATTCATTTAGATAGGTATCAAAATGACTCACTGATGTCTGTTCATTGCAAGTGATTCAGCCTCTTTAACAACATTCATCTCCACAACTCCTCTGCATGACTGTATCTTGGAAGCTGACAGGGCTGTATGAGGCTGAATCTCAACTATGGACCCAAAATACCCCGCCACTATCGGATTGCGACGAGGGTGGGCGGTGCGAGTCTGGACTACGTCACCGCCTGCCCAAGTTTACCTGCTATTCCATGTTCAGGTACGTAGGAACGATCTAGACTACTTCATCACGAGCAACTACCGTCAACAAGGAGAGTCTCGTGCTTTCTGTCTATCAACACAGACTTTTTCTCCCACTGACTCCGAAACGTTTACGAACGCGAGGCTCTCAATTGCATTCCCTGCGTGGAGGCATTTGCTTGTTAACTTAGTCACAAGCCTGTCTGTACCCACCCATACCCCAGCAGAACCTGCTCGCCAAAAAGCACAGTATCGCGACGATCTGTAAGAGTCGGCGGACTTGAGCGCAACGCGTGCCAGTTTCTGGGCTACTATGGTATTGGCCTGTCGCCGGAGCCATGTTACGGAACAGGGCCCTGGCTGTTCTGCAGAAGACCTACGATGATAGCTATCTAAGCTGCTCAACTGCCATCTACTATGAAGGCCAGGTAAGGCCAAACAGTTGCGCTTTTGTCAATCGAAGACTGATCGCCAATGTGAACAATAGGGAAGCGAAGCTGAGGCGATGCGACACTGGAAAGCTGCCTTAGATCAAATATACGACTACAACGCAAATCGGGCGCCTCCTTCATACAGTCCGCGTACAGATACCGAGAAGGCTTTACAAGAGGCTCTGAAACAACTCGAACTACAATGCAAAGAGCGAATCGACCTCCTCGAAGCTCTCCGAGTATCACGACAAGAAGATTCGACGCTGACACCTGGCAAGTTGACAAAACGTCCAGGTCTACCTGAGGGTAGTGGCTCTCTAGGACAGGGCACAATCACTGCCATGCAATACTCGGAGCTTTCAAGGCCATCCCTTCCGCACCGCCCATCGCAACCTCGCCGCACATCGTCAGAGCTCGCTACGGTTGATGGGCCCAGCACATATCTCGATCCAAACCTTCCTCCTATGCCGCGATCTGCTTCACCTGGAGGGCCTGCTTTACCTCCAAGACCGAACAAGACGTTACGAACACCAAGTCCCGAAAAGCACACTATGAGAACCACATTGCGCTCCGGGAAACCAGGAGAGAAGTCTACTAAGCCACGCAAACCATCAAAGCCTCTTGCCGAAGGCTCAAGTAAGGCTGCGACTTTAGCATGGAGTGCCCTGGGCTCTAAAGATAGGTATATGAGAGGAACCCAATCGGAACTCGCTCCAGCTACTGTGAGCCCCAGTTCCCGTACGTCTCTGGATCAAACACGAAGGCCAGCGCCAACGCAGTGGGATAGCCACTCGCGACGACTTGTTGTACCCCGGGATCGTGATTTTGACGGAGATTCGTCTGGAAATACCCGGCACTCTGATGAATACTGCTATTCTCGCCCGTCGATGTTATCAGTGACCGCTGCTTCCAGCGCACTCAATTCTTCGTCATATCAGGACTTGCCTTCTTCGGATGCCTATGCCGGCCGAAGTGAGCGGCCACCGAATCCTTTCATTGCTTCGCCGTCGCCTCGCAAGGTCTCTCGACAAGAACTGGCCAATGATACCGAGACTGCCGATGATTCTGGTGAGGGCTCAGAGCGGAGAAGCGCTTCAAACAATATTCCAACTAGGGGTTCAGCAGCCAGACAACCCACAAGGCCTTTGAAGCCTGCAAAGGTCAATTCCGAGGCTCTAGATCGCTCCCGAAGGCGCGGTCGTAAAACCCGACAGGCTTCGATTTCCAGTACATCTGGCGAGGATACAACCCAGCGAGATTCAAAGCCACGCCGTGTCAAAGCAAAGGAAGCCCCTATAGAAGCTGGCTCACAGGAGGAAGATTCGGACGCATCTGAGGCAGACAAGAGCCCCGATGATATGACTGAATGGAAGAACAAGAAGAAACAGATTCTTAAGAACTTGCCTCCAGGGGTTGACACTGCAGCTGCCAAGCAGATCTTGAACGATATTGTTGTTCAAGGTGACGAGGTCCGTTGGAATGATGTGGCCGGTCTCGAAATAGCCAAAAATGCTCTTCGCGAAACTGTTGTGTATCCATTTCTACGGCCTGATCTATTCATGGGCCTTAGAGAACCCGCCAGGGGCATGTTACTGTTCGGGCCACCAGGAACTGGAAAAACTATGCTCGCAAGGGCTGTGGCAACAGAGTCCAAGTCTACTTTCTTCTCGATCTCAGCCAGCAGTCTAACAAGTAAATACTTGGGAGAGTCGGAAAAGCTAGTGCGAGCTCTGTTTGGCCTGGCTCGAACATTGGCACCCAGCATTATTTTTGTTGACGAGATCGATTCGCTACTGTCTCAGCGGTCAGGTTCGGGAGAACATGAGGCTACTATGAGAATCAAGACAGAATTCCTCATCCAATGGAGTGATCTCCAACGAGCGGCTGCTGGAAGAGAAACGACGGAAAAGGACAAGGAAAGGGGAGATGCCAATCGGGTTCTTGTACTAGCAGCAACAAATCTTCCTTGGGCAATTGACGAGGCAGCGCGAAGACGATTTGTACGACGGCAATACATCCCGTTGCCCGAACCAACTACCCGTGAGACGCAGCTCCGGACTTTGCTAGGGCAACAAAAGCATGACCTTTCCAATGAGGATATCCTCAAATTGGTTGAAATGACGGACGGTAGGTGATCTTTCATGAATCAAGCAAAAGTAATAACCAGCTGACCAATACCTGCAGGGTTTTCGGGCTCAGACATTACAGCGTTGGCTAAGGACGCAGCCATGGGACCATTGCGGTCTCTGGGAGAAGCACTGTTACATATGACGATGGATGAGATTCGACCAATTCAGCTACTTGACTTCGAGGCAAGTTTGACAACAATTAGACCCAGTGTTAGTAAAGCTGGCTTAAAGGAATATGAGGATTGGGCTCAAGAGTTTGGAGAACGAGGTGGATAGATTGCACTATATCTTTGTATACAGCATGCGACCACAAGGCACAGGTACATTATACACCCAGGAGTACTGTGGAACAAGACCCAAAGGTAGATATTGGGGTCTGGGCATTGGAGTTGTACACGGGCTGGATGTATAGTATGTCATTTTATATGTTACAAATGGTACAGTTGGTTTGAAAGCCGCCATTTCGCTGTGTAGCTCTCTTCGATATATCATACAGGGCCTGGTTATTGGCTCAGCCGGTATATCCCTATCATGCCTCATATAGGAACTGCCCAGCATTATCCATTCCTATTCCACTATCAGAGTCAGAGATAGCCGTGATCATGTGTTGTGATGTAAAGTTTTGGTAAGTTCAATCGACGTCGCTTGCTGAGGTCTCCGATTTGCGTTTTTGTTGAGCCTCCCAGGCCAGGCGTCTAGCTTCCCTCGCTTCGTTTTCCAGTCGCTTCTCTTCCAGTCTCTTGCTCTCCTCTTCTTGCCGTCTCGCTACCCTCCGCTCATCCTTAGCAGCCTTCTTAGCCTCATACTCCGCTATTCTCTCCTCCATTGTAGGCACAGGTGGACGTTCATGCGCAGGAACTCCGTGGGCGGCAATTATTTCCTTGATAACATGGCGCTTGTGTTGGGAGGTTGGCCATCCGGGGACAATAGAAACGACATCGCCGGTTCGTAGGGATGAGTTCGGATCGTGGACAAGGTAATGTTTGGGGTCGGCGAACCACTGGTAACAATATGTCAGCCGATTATTCCCATTTTTTTATCTGCCGCATCAGACAGTGCCTCTCACCTTGTTGACAATCTTATTCCACTTCTGGCCGCCGACTCGAACTTTGACAGTCTTTTCCATAAGACCAGCAGAGACGACGACGCCATGAAGCTCGTGCGTAACGCGGCGCGCGGCCTTGGCGACTTGAGAAGACATGGTTTCGATGCCTCTTGTCTTCAATATATTATAAACCCGAGTATCTGGGTGGCCTGAAGCGTCGGCGGTCGATTGTCTTGATGTGATGCTCAAATGTTGGATCCCAGCTCGCAGAGGCTCACATCTAAAAATTGGTGACCAATGAGATTTGAACTTGCTGCTGTAGAACGATTATGTAAGGTTACTGGGGGGTTGCGCTCGTTCGATTGGCTCGAAAGACCTCACACGACTCACGATATCCTCACATGTGCAAGGTCTAGATGCATACTGTAGAGATTATTGAAGTAACTGGTATGCAACAGATGTTTTATGGCATTGATATAACGATGGTACTCTTGGAAACATGTCCCGAATAATAAGATGTATGTTTCCCATACTTTCCTATTGATAGTACGTACATGCTCCGAAAGGCCGTCCGTCCGTAGGTCGGGGGCCGGGACCCGCAGACTGTGCGTGGATATCGGAACAGGTGGGGGCACTACAAAAATTTGGCTTGGCCTGAGGGTTCAACTAACACCTTGTCAGTCGAGGGAACCATCCGTATCCGTATCTACCGCCTGCCGCTTTTTTCCCTTAGACGAGATTTAATCCTTACCTTCTTCGCTTGTACGCGACAAACATTCTCCCGAAAACAAACGCAAACATCTTCGTCTGACAGTTGAATTATTTCGTGGTCACTAACCCATATATTTCTACTTACCTACTGTGTGGCTTGCTTGAGACAAACTCGAGCTACCAACGTCAAAACTTTACAAACCCCCACTTCCTCTTTATTTTTTTCTTCTCTTCATCATGTCTTCGCCCGAGCGTCGAACTGCTGGAGTCAAGCGACCTCGTAAGAACCAAGAACACGCAACGCCTGCCAAAACTCCAGAGCGGCCATTGACATGTCGGAAACTATAGGCACTCAGTCTCTTCCTCCTCCCTCGCTTCCTCAGTTGGTTGCCGAGCAGAGCACACCCATCCCTCCCACAGACAAGGACTCTCAGCGCCTGATCGTTGTTCTGTCCAATGCCAGTCTTGAGACCTACAAGGCTTCTCACGGCGGTACCAGCCGCAACCGTGAGGACAAGTATTCTCTGCTCAACAGCGATGAGCACATCGGTGTTATGCGTAAGATGAATCGGGACATTAGCGATGCGCGTCCTGACATCACCCATCAGGTTTCAACTCTGAATTCTTGAGTCGGCATTCAACATGCTGACCATTTCTCTTAGTGTCTACTGACCCTCCTGGATTCGCCCATCAACAAGGCTGGCAAGCTTCAGATCTACATCCATACCGCCAAGGGCGTCTTGATTGAGGTCTCCCCCTCAGTCCGTATTCCCCGAACATTCAAGCGCTTCGCCGGTCTCATGGTTCAGCTTTTGCACCGCTTGTCTATCCGCTCCACCAACTCTAACGAGAAGCTGCTCCGGGTGATCCAGAACCCCATCACCGACCACTTGCCGCCCAACTGCCGCAAGGTTACTCTGAGTTTCGATGCGCCATTGGTCAAGGTTCGTGAGTATGTCGAGTCTGTGGATTCTAAGGACAGCATCTGCGTCTTCGTCGGTGCTATGGCCAAGGGTGAGGATAACTTTGCCGACTCTATGGTGGACGAGAAGATTTCTATCAGCAACTTCTCGCTGTCTGCCAGTGTTGCTTGCAGCAAGTTCTGCCACGCTGCTGAGGATGTCTGGGACATCATGTAAGACCCATCCATCCTCAATGACGTCGGCGAGGGGGCCGAAGTTGCGAAGGACGCCAAATGCCGGCTCGCCCAACGACGATACAACATCGTCGCTGGGGGCAGACCGGTTCGGCGGTAACTTGGAATGCCTGGGGTGTTCGCTGTCGCTTGTTTTTGCAACCAAAACATGGGGCGTTCAACATCGGGTCCAAGACGTGAATGTCGTCTTGATGGGTCATTTCAACCTGGCCCACACTTTCCTCTTTGTTCTTTCTTTTCTGTTGCTCAGCGAGTCTGCTCTGTTTTGCTTCTTACTATTTGAGAGCTATCACGCCAAGTTGATTCTGGATCAGACATGCACGTCTTTATTACTTACCGATCTAATCAAACAGCATCCCCTGGATAAAATGACATCTAGGCTATGTTTGAGATAAGTTGGGGATACGATATGATTGGGCTTGGTACTTCTGGAGATTGTGGTAGCTTTGAGGGCATGGCTGGACAATTCACCGCGCCGCCAACATGGACGGACAGACAGACAAGTCGCTCGACAGTTGAAGGACAATATGCATATGCTGGAGGATAATGGGATGTAAAGTATTCCATAGGTAGCGAATAAGTGCACACACGTGTGTCACCAAACAAACATCAACTAGGCCCTGCATCCAAACCAAACACGTCTTCGAGGTTGAGGCCACCGAGCGAATTAAGCCCGCCGCAGCCGCGAATGCGCATACGCATGCGGCTAAAATGGGGTTGGTGTAGCACCAAATCGCCCCGCACTCTGTTGGTCTCGTATGTCCAAAATTACCGACGAGAGGAAGAGAAGAGAAGGAAGTAAAGCGAAGTGAAGTCATGGATGAACACATGGCAGGCGTGGAGACATGATGGAGGATTATGCCAGTACAACACTCACCTACCTCAAACGCCAAGATAGTATTTATCAGTGTCAACAGTCACATTAGAAGGAATATTTCTTGGATGTAGTATCTGTAGCAAATACTGATTGATCATTGGTGGTGGGTAGTAGGTAGTAGCTGGGGAGTTCTGAGCACGATGACCCCACGTAGAGTTGGAAAGAAAACATCGGTGTTAATTATCCATCATGCATCGAAGGATCGAAGAATGGAAGAATGTTTGACTAGGCGAAGGAGACGATAACCAGGAGGTTGGTTACAAGTTTGGGGCCAGGTCTGAGCTCTAGACCGCCAGGCGCCTGGGTGATATGCACATGCATCGCATTATGCATTCCACAATTTAGGCCTCGTCGAAAGCGATCCGGTTTCTGTAATGGTCATGTCGTCGCTGGAGAATTCATTCTGGTTCTAGACAAATGCTGTCGTGAGAGAGCAGCAAGGGCTTCATCCTAACTCACCTCTGAGTATGAGAAATCTAACAAGACATGGGAATTCAAAGCCCGGGTACAGGCCGGGGGTGAGTGCCGGTGGATGTACGGTGGATCAAGCCGGCGGCCGTGAGTCCAGCCGCTGGGCTTGACGTGGTCACGCATCGGTGGCCGGGAGTCATTGGGCCAATACGGGTATCCACGAGCTATTCTCCGATGATCGTACAGTATAGGAGAGGACGCAGAAGGCATAACCACAGCAGCACACTATGTTGAGAGGAGAATAGCGCGTGGCTCTAGATGCCCAAAAGCAAGACTCTGGTCAGCCATGTGGTAGTCATGGCCAAACAAACAAATGGCATGAGCGGGACGAGCACAGGAAGGAAGTCTATGCACTGCACTAGTTTAGTTGGATATAAGAGAGACAGCAAGTTTGAAACGCTCAACTATGTACAAAGTCGAAATGTGTCATTGCTACTAGCCTATCAGTATCTACCTTACATACTACATATACTGGTCCGTATACAGATATAGTTGTGTATTTTCTCGTGCTTGTATTCGCTTGTAAATGGTTCTGTCACGAGGGAATTTTAAATCAGGAAGGACAATACAGGAAGCTCACATTGGAAGTGACTGTGATGAAACGGTAGATACTGTAGTAGGGTAGGTACTACCTAGCGACAAGAGGCATGGATGGAACTTGGCTTGGCTTAGTACTGTCCAAGCTGCCCACCCATTTATCGCACCATGTCGACTGCCCCTTCCTTCTAGCTGCAGGTACCGAGTTAGGACAAGTCCTTACAGGGATGGCTCATGATGTTCCCACAACATGCGTACAACATATTTTATTCAGGTGAAAAGACAGAATCTTGGTCTCATCACCACCAAAGTCTGACTGACTCAAAGCGCAGTGGGTAGAAAGACTCGATTAATTCACTAACAACTAAACACATGCTATCCGTTTTTGGTTCAGATTTTGAAGGGTTCAGGGGTGATCATGAGCGGGTGCTGCCGGATGGCGCGGGGCTAGTGGACCATCTCTTAACCCAAGACGGCAATGCGTACAGCGTGCCTACCTTGACTCACACATGTCCAAGTCTAATTATGCACAAATGCATAATTTTACAGATCACAGCACACAAATCCCCTACAGATCTCTATCGAATTTAGGTCTTGTAGTCGCTGTAATTTCATTTAGCATCCATGCCATGATATAATGGATGTGAATGGAGTAACTTGGATGAGAATGAACCAGGGCCTGTCAAGTATCTTTGACCATCCATCTACCCCTCTATGGTACCTAGCATGGCTGGACTGGGCTGGGTCCAAGAGGGTCAGATGTCAACGAGTCACAGAGCCACTGTCACAAGAGGTGCAGAACTGGGCCGTTGACTTGTTATGAGACGCAGCGGGAGGGTTGGCTGAGACGAGACACCTGAGCCATACCTAGCCATCCCATCAGTGAGACTGAACTCGTCGTGGCTTGAGAGAGGAGAGCGCCTGGGTCAGGTACCTGCTAACATTAGTTCAGTTAGAACCCGCCCTCACGACACCTCCATTCTGAGAGGGCTCCCGGCTGATCTTCCTTTTCTTCTCTCTTCCTTCTTCGCTTCTCCCCGAGTCCCTCTTCTTTTTCAGTCTTTAGAACCTCTAGTCCCCGGATTCTCTGATCTGAGCAATTGCTGCAATTGCTTTCAGCAGTCAACGAGATCTGACCAGACGAGACAAGACGGTGCATCTCACTGGACATTATTGTCTGTCGTCTTCGCTTAAAGCGCCTGCCTAGGTACCTACGGTATTCAGCTCAGCGATCTTGTATTTCCGTTTATTGTCAAATACCTATCCATTCTGCCCAAGTCTGGAGACTCTCCTCATATTGACTCATTCGTCTGGAATCACGAGGGTTGTTCTCAGTCTCGGGTACCAATCGATCTTTGTGCGCCCTTGATTATCTCGCATCTTGAACCTGGGTATTCCATCTCGACATCCATTGAATTGGGCGTCAAGCATCAGCAGCAGCAAAACATAGCAGCAAGCAAGCGAGGAATTGACCGACTAAGGAGCAGACAACTCACCACCCCGACTTTTTGTTAGGCCACTCCAGAGGACGGACCCATTTGATCCCTCCCAGTCCTTCTTTTCGCACGACACTACGGATACTTCACCTTGCCTTACCTTACCTTAGCTCGCCAACTCATTCACCTCATCTCCTGTCAGTCAGGCTCAGGGCACCGAATCGGATTCTCTACGCCTTGGTTCTTGCCTTGGTCGCTTCTCAATCCCTACCATTTTATTCTCGACCGCCTTCTCTCATCCACTCCGCCACCTCACCTGGCCAACTATTTGCTTGCCTCGCTGTACTTGTTAATACTCGTTGGATCATTCTTCTTTACGCCTTTTCCCCTTCTAATTCGTCTTCTTTTTTCTTCTCTCCTTTTTTTAATTGCTCCTTCCCAACCTGGGGTTGTTGCTCTACCTACTCTACTGCTTTGTTTCATCATTACTCATCACCAGTCTTGACCGATATTCCAGTCTCCCCACCAGCCCCCCGCCTCTCTTTTACACGTACTGCTCGACCAGTCAAGCACGAGCAGACCATTTATTTGTTTTCTTCCTGAGTTTTTTGGAGTTCTGTAGTAACTCCAAAAACTTTCAGCCAAGGCATCCGAGCGGGTACCTCACAGCAGGCAGCCGATCGGAAGTTCCTGGCTATTCCACATACTCTATAAGAGACCATGACGGTACCGTTTGTTGAGGTGTCGCATCTGGCATCGTCCTCATCTTTCTACTCAGCCATTCTTCAGATAGTTGGCTTGCGATTCTTGAACGAATCTCGGGACCCAAGTTCATCCGTCGGAACTGTTACTTACGGACTTACAGCTGGCGTTACCAAGACTGGAGGCAAGCATCGCCAAGCCCTGACCGACGGACGTGGAGAGGAAATAAAAGGACCCCAGCCAGTGCTTCAAATCCGTGAGGTGTCTCGCCCGTTTGATCCCGTTAGGAATTCCACGGTTGTTATTGCGGTACCATCCCCTGGACAAGTCGTCGACTTTCACGAGACCGCTCTTACCGCAAATCCGTGGCTGGCTGTCCAGACTGATGGTGACCCAATCTATTCCGGCGGTCCCAGCCCCAAGCCTCGCCTAGGTATTGATGGCGGTGAAACTCCAAGGCGAGCAACAGTCCGTGACCTTGACGGCAACACTATCCAGGTCGTCTACCGCCAACCTACCTGTCCTCGGGATTACTATGGTCGAGTAGTTGAATGGACTTACGACGGTGCCACTCATTCGACTTATAAAACTACAACTACCATAACTCGTAAGACTCATACCAGGAATCGCTCCTTGTCACAGCCACAGCTTCAACCTGTCGCTTCCGCTCGTTCGTCCTCCTCTTCTATTGATGGGCTTCCACCCTTCCAGCCCCGTCAATCACCCGCCAAACACGGTCCTAACACCGTCACAGCTGCCGAGATGGCTCAACGTGCCGCCGCTCAACCCGAGAAAGAAGACGAACCGGTATCTGTCTCCCCCCGCCAGAGCTCCAACAACAACGGTCTCAGTACCACTACGGTCGTGGGCGCCATTCTTGGAGTTGCCGCTGCTGGTGCAGCTCTCACATACGGTTTCGCAAGTCATGCGGCCAAGGAACGGGAACGAAAACCTAGACAGGAATACGATGCCCAGGCTCCCCAGCTCCCGCGACGTTCGACCTTTCCCGAGAAAGCCCCAACGCACAAACTGCACACTGACGACCGCCGACCCGTATACGGCGATTACGGCGATTACGGCGATTACCCTCCCAATGCTTCGCACTACCCTCCACACCCTTCGCAGTTCCCTCCTAATGCCTCACAATATCCCCCCAATCCTTCACAGTTTCCTCCCAATGCTTCGCAATATCCTCCCAAGGCATTGCCCTATCGAGGTCATGGTGGCTTCCCACTCCCAGATGTGTACCCAGAAGGCTATCCGTTCCAACAGAATATGCAAAATGACTATGCGCCTCGCAAGATGTCTCATCACAACTCATACCCACCTCGTAATCTAGGGTATACCGAGGAAGACAGCAGTGAAGACTCTCCGGACGAGCCACCGCCCCGCAAAATACAGTATCTTACTCAGGAGCCCTACAACGAAGAGAATCCGTGGGCCTCTGACCCTCGAGCCAGGAGCAGGAGCAGGAGCAGAACCCGCAGTGTAGCCAAGAGCACGGCTAGAAGCGTTGCTGCAAAGAGCGCTGCTCCCAGCACGAGGACTGTTACAAAGAGTACTGCAAGGAGCATTGCTGCTTCTCGAGCTCGATCGCCGAGTGAGGCCCCTGATGAAGGGTATGAGACGACCCGAAGTCGACGTCCCTCAAGGCAACCCGAAGACGCTTATGACTATGTGGAAACACGCAGTCGTCATACTTCAAGACCTCGCGATGACGACTTCGAGCCACGGAGCCGTCGTACGTCAAGACCTCCGCCTAGCGATGTTTACGATAGGCGCAGTCGCAGGTCGTCACGACCACCTCAGGAAGAAGGGTTTGAAAGAAGCCGTCGCTCGTCAAGGCCCCCTGTGACTGAGAAGCCTCGAAGTATGCGGGCACGTAGCGAGGCAGGCGTCAGTCGTAGCAAGTCTGTCGTGCTGGCCGATGATCTTCAAAGCGAGGCGCCTTTCAGTCGGAAGTACGACGATCGCGACCGCCAGAGTCACGCAGGTTCCCGGCCACCTAAGTCATCACGATCAGTTGTTCGTGGTCATCGACCCACGTATGATGATGAGCGAACATATGTTTCCACCCGATCACGCCCGTCCTCGCGAGCTCCTCGTCGATCGTCGCGTGCGGAGATGGAGGATGATATCATAGAAGCCCCAGAGGTACCCGAGGTGCCTGACGCCCCCGAAATCCCTCTGGACCCCAATATCTACGATGGACCTGATGATATGATGCCAAGGAGTCAAGCTCGAAGCCGGTACGACACTCGAAGGGCCAGTGGACCCGAATACCAACACATGGGCTTCCCAGGCAAGCCTCCTCAAAGCTACATATCTGCTCGGGATGTCAATCTGCCAATGAGTGGCGTTGGGAGTAGTCACGCTGATTGGGACGACGACATGGTCAGTGTTGCTCCCAGCGACAGTATCAGCTGTGTCGGGATGAAACCAAGCAGACGGAGCCGCAAGATACGATAAAGATATACGATGACGACACGATGCAATTTTCTACGAGCGGCGATTAGACGACATGATTGACGAGTTGATGGGCAGATAGAAAGCGACGTACGACTGGTTTAACAGAATGAGATGGAGGACTAGGCGGTATTTTGGTTATGCATTTGATATGGAGCTACATGAGTTTCTTGTTGAGAGTTGGGTTTCGAGCCAACTTGATGTGTTTTTTTGTTTCTTTGGCATAGGAGGAGGCGTTCTTATGAAATTACTGGTATCTGCTTAAGTTCAAGGGTGCTATTTTCCGGCCCTTGAAGAGCGGTAACTCTGCATTCAACATTTCTACTTTCCTTGGGTAAATTGCATTGGAAACATAGCAGTTTTGTTTTATACCATGAGCTTCGGCTATGGTAGGACTAGACATAGGAAAGGGGCATTGGAGAAGAAAGACATATATACTGGAAGAAGCACTTTAGAAAGACACTACAAACACACAATACAGAAAGAGGGTATGGGCATACTTCAGTCTATTGCCGCACTATCTACTGTTCTCAATGAGGCCGTATCCTCGTCAGATCTCATGCTGAGTTAGTCCCAGAACCCCTCACTCAATATGCCGCAATGAGGATGCAACCCACTTGTGATACTCCAATATCGTTCGTTGGTGTTGAATGTGAATGTGGGGGTCAAAGTGGACGGAGTCACAACAAGATAATCCCCAAGTCTTTACATTGTGTTTGGTAAAATGTTACTGTAATGGGATTGTTCCGAGTTCCGGGTCTAAACATCGTCATCTCTCGCCCTTTATCCTTGCCATGTCCAGGACGTGATAGCCTCAACGAGGTTAGAGAAGGATGACAACATTTTAGCCCCGGGATTCGGAGAGAATAGATAGAGTATTGGTCAATCATCAAGTTACTTTACCTTACCTTACCTATGTTAGTATCCTTGACGAGTCAATTGTCCCACTAGACTAGTATCCTGACCCAGGATAGTTCAGGTTCTCCAGATTTGGGGCCTAATCTTCCGACTATCTATGGCTCATACAGTACAGTGCTGTCTGTACACGTACGGGGGTCTCCTCCGGTTCTCGGCCATTTTTCTTCATCATCCAACCGCAACGCCACCAATTCAAAGAAAAAAAGTTATCCTGGTTATATGCACCTATATAAAACTTATTTTCCGAGATACAAGATCTTAGCAGATTCAGATTAGGTTTTGTCTATCTCTTTTTTTAATCTTGTCCCCTCCACTTATCGCTTTGTATTCCCGTCTTCATAAGGATAACATCACCATGCCTGTGATTGACCTGGGCGAGTCTATTCCTCCGGACACAGCACATGTGAGTTAATACTGCTCTGAAATAGGAATATCAAAACGCACTTACTGACCAAGTGTGCTACTATAGGCTGTTAGTGTCTCCCTTCCAACTTGGAAGGCTAATGTTGGATATGAAGAGGGTGAAGACTGGGTTGTCAAGCGTATGACAACAGGCTATCCTCGGTGAGCCATGCCTCATAAACGATTATCTTTCGGTCTTACTTACAAATCGCTATCAAACAGTTTCTTTGTTCACAGAGGCATCCAGGCTTTCGCCACAGAAATCGTGGATCGTTATGGCAGTCCTGGTCAGCAGGCAATGCTCTTCCCTACATCGCGAGTAGCAAAGAGATGTCTGGATTTCATCGTCCAGCGAATCTCCCCTGAGTTGGCGAGCCAGGTTCGCATCATTGACTTCACTCTTGATAAGTCTAAAGAGCTCTCGCCTGTCTTGAAGAAGCTCACTTCCACCATCTCAGCCGTGATTCACCCCTCTGAGGTATTTCCTATTGCGAAGCAGTTCTGGCAGCACACTGGTGAGGGCACTTCCAGCAGACGTGCCGAGTTCTGCCATGGTCTCTTCAAGGATGATCTTCTCATTCCGACGACTCGCACACGGACTCCTCCTGAGGCCGCCCAGAACCGACCTTTCCGCGGCCCCAGACGCTACACTCGTCCTGGTTCAATCGATGGTGTCTCTTCCCCAATGCCCACGACACCCAAGCAACCTTCCCCGGAGACCCCTGTGGAGTCAATCGAGAGCTCTCGGTTCCTTGAGGAACGTTTTGGTAGAAACCTTGACTTATCTATGGTTGAGCGTGCCAAGTCTGCAATTCGTAGACGTATTGCAGGTGCTATGGCTCACGAAGTTGATTTGAGCAACGGTCCGCTACCAGCCATGACATCCAACAATCGCGGCATTCCCAACCTCGAAGAGGCCGACGTCTATCTTTACCCTGCCGGCATGAACGCCATCTTCAACGCCCACCGTGCTCTGCTCCATGCGAGAGAGCCAGCCGAGAGTATCAACTTTGGTTTCCCCTATGTCGACACACTCAAGATTCTCCAAAAGTTTGGTCCCGGTTGTCTCTTTTATGGACATGCGTCGCCCGAAGACCTTAATGACCTGGAGGAACGACTAAAGAAGGGCGAGCGATACCTCGGACTCTTCTGCGAGTTTCCTGGAAACCCCCTTTTGACGTGCCCTGACCTTACTCGCATCCGCAAGCTTGCCGATGAGTACGATTTTGCAGTTGTAGTCGACGAAACGATAGGCACATTTGCCAACATCAACGTCCTACCGGCTGCAGACATTGTTGTTAGCAGTCTCACCAAGATCTTCTCGGGTGATTCAAATGTTATGGGTGGAGGTCTTGTACTTAACCCTGACAGCAAATATTACAGCGCACTCAAGACAACCATGGCGGAGATTTACGAGGATAACTACTGGCCCGAGGATGTCGTCTTCATGGAAAGGAACAGTCGCGATTATGAGTCTCGAGTGGTCCGCATCAATGCCAACTCCGACACCATTTGCGAGGTGCTACGAAACCATCCTCTCGTCAAGCGAATCTACTATCCCAAATGCAATGATTCCAGAACACATTACGAAAAGGTCAGACTCCCCGATGGAGGATACGGTGGTCTACTGTCTGTCGTGTTCCAGCGTAAGGAGTATGCCCAGGCCTTCTTCGATGCGTTACCCCTCGCTAAGGGGCCCAGCTTGGGAACCAACTTTACCCTGGCATCGCCCTATGTTCTCCTGGCGCATTACCAGGAGCTAGACTGGGCCGAGTCATTTGGCGTCGACCCTTATCTTATTCGTGTCAGCGTTGGATTGGAAGAAACTACTGAGCTTGGGGGTATATTCACGGGCGCTTTGAAGGCGGCCGAGGCTGTCACGGTTACGAACTGATATCAGATGAAGAAATAATAAAAGTGCCGGTTTTGCTCGCACTAGATTCTATTTGTCTATGGAGATGATGATATGTACCATTATATGAAGGTGTAATTTACCGCATGCTAAGAAATTGGTTAGCCATGTCCATCGCATCATGGTTGACTGTAGATAGACATAGTGAGGAACTTACCTGGCCTTTTCACATTGCCAATGACCAAGTCTGTGCTAATTCTAAATCGCTTAATAATGCCGTGATAGTAATGGTATTCGTGTCATGTCGTATCGTATCGTATGCCAGAGCTTTCAAGAGCTCACATTATGCAACACTCCTGGTGCACATAGCCAGGGCCGTAATCCTCAATACCACGCTCAATCTCATTTGCCCTCTCCTTCTCTTTGACTTCCTTGGCAAAGTACTTCTTCATATACTTTTGAAGTTCATAATCGAGGTTCATGGCGGAAGCTTTCAAGACAACATCAGCCCTGCATAGCGGGCAATGCTTCTCCTTTCGGCGCTGGATCTTGATGACACAGCGGATGCAGAAAACATGCTGACAGTCTAGACGCACGGGCATGTATGCTACCGAGAAACAGACAGGGCAAAGATAATCGTTGAGCTGAGGGACCTTGGAAACAAGCTCTTGAGACATTTGTGCGCAGACGTCTCGAGCAATAGTGCCCGCTAGGAGCTTGTCGGAGTGTACCACGGTAGGAAACTTTCTCGCGACGCCCAACGCTGTCCGTTTATCGAATTCTGGTACAAGGTCAATACTGGTAACACAGCAAGTCTCGTCCTTATTCTCATTTTACTCACTCTTGAGGATTTTTGCAACAGCAGTCTTGTTAAGCTCCTGGAACTGCATGTTCTTGAGAAGAGATGCATTCAAGTTGATGAAGCGAGTGAAGGCCACCTTACTCTCGGGGAGCTTGAAGTCCTGAACCAGGTGCTGCTTGGCAACCTGGTCCTGGAACCACTCCAGCTGCTTCAAGGCTTTCTGGCTCGTACGGTGACCATGATCCTGCTCGTGAGTAGCGAAGAAGATCTCAGCGTCCAAGTAAAGCTCAAAGATTTGTCGCCAACGTGCCAGGTCAGTCCTAGAAAACCGTTTGGGCTTGACCACTTGCTCGACTTCTTTTCCTAGAGCAACGATCTCCGAAGTCATGGTCTTCTCTTCCTCTGATTGCAGGGCATCCAGATGGTTCACATCGCTCTGGAGCATCTCGAAGAACTCGGCATCGAAGGTGAGAGGGACTTCAATGATTTCGTAGGTCCCCGTGATCGCATCGGCTGCGGGCGAAGCGGGTGAAACTTGATCGGAAACATTCTGGGGAGTTTCGGCGCGTGGTTCGTTCTGCTCGGGTTCGATTGTTGGTTCCTTGGAGGCGTTGACTTTCTCGTCGGCGAGCGAAATAGCGAGCTTCTCATTTGCTTCGTTGGCAAGTGCATCGATGGCTTCGGCGGAGGGTACAACGGCAGTGTCTGTAACGGTATCGGGTGCTGTGGCGTCTTCAACAACGTTCAAGGTTTGCGATTTGTCGGTTGCCTGCGAATGCGACCATTGGTTCTGGGGCAAATTAATAGCAATCCTGTTGAGAAAGTCGCGCGAGTTGGGTGCAAGCGAGGCATCAATAGGTACGCCATCCTGAAGATGGACCTGGACGGTAAGTTTCGGGCGCAGGTGAGAATCTGTACCGTCTGTGGGAAAGTCAAAAGTCAGTTTTGATGCGAGGGGGGAAACCGTTGGAGGCACAGAGTACCGGGTTCATACCGTTGAGCTTATACTTCAGGGCCACAGGGGACGTTGCGTCGGGGTTCAGAAGCTCGCGCAACGTCTCGGGGTCAAGACCGAGTTCATGCAACTCTCGGGCGACTTTCTTGAGACATTTCTTTAGTTGACTGTAAGGAATTGCATGATCAACCCAATGAGCGGGAAAGTCTGTGTATTTTTGGTCAGACAGAGGTACATATTTAGCTGACTTGACAGTGTATTCAAGTCAAGTCCATGATGGATGGTTTAGTTAGACATACCTTGAGCCCGAAGAGATTCTTTAAAATCGTGACCAAACTTCATGGCTGCCAAACTGATGCTGCGCCGAATTCGAGGTCTAGTCTATGGGCATGAGAGGCACGCGACCAGTTGCAGTATTAGGTAGGTACTGTAGGTAGGTACTGTAGGTAGGCGACAGTTGGTGGCAAAAAATGCCTGCCTAGGACAGGGGCTGGAACTACTCGACAAGAAGAGCAATAAAAGAGGTCTAAGGCCAAGGCTTGGAGAGCATAATCACAAAAGATTAATATGTCGCAAAGGGTTACGGAAGAGAAGGATGTGTGAGAGAAGGATGGAAGGAAAAGAAGGTGAGGGAGGAATGAATGAAGAATAAAGGAAAACAGAATCAAGTCACGAAAATGCGCCGCGTGAACGGACTTGGGTTTAGGCTGGACCTGGATCTGGATCTGGATCTGTACATGAAGGAGGAGGAGGAGTGTTGATTGATTGAGTGAGTAACCAACTGACTGATTGATTTATTGATTAACTGACCTCGTGGGTGGATTAAAAAAAAAAAAAAAA